CCGGGGGGACCTCGGTCTGACTGATGCGGAACCCGAGCAGTCGGTTCTCGAGCAGCTCCGACAGAGGACCGTCGGTATCGTTCAACAACCATTCGTCCCGGATCGCAATGATCATAGTACTTATCTCCGCATCCTTACCCTCTGCCGTCTCTGCCAACACAGACGCAAGGATGACCATCTGACAGTCGTAGATCAACTGCGATAGTATAGATGTATAGTTCCCAATCGCGAGCCATGCTCCTTGCGTAGGGCTCCAGAAGCGAACCACGGCATAGGAAACAAGGACTGAATCAAACTTTCGACGAGAAACCGGGTGCTGGATGATAGCAAGGCTGAATTGAAGTACGGCATGATCTAGCCGGGCGCGCAGATCCTCCCCATGCGGACTATCGACCTCAGACCCACTAAGATCCACAATCTGACTTGCGATCTCGGTTACTTCGACCCATACCTCAAGCTGCCGCGTACTGGCTTGAAAGAGATTGTCCCGGAGTTGCTGCTGCTCTACGACGCGCTCCCAGTAGCATACCAGCTGCTGCCAGGTAGTGATGTATCTCTGTCGCGTACGTTCATTCTGGAGATCGGAGAGGGGGTCCTGGGATGTTTCTCCCCGGGCAAAAGTGTTGAGAAGCCGTGCGTTACGGCGACTAAGCTGGCGTACCTCTGTATCTTGGTCATGTACCAAGACCGCCATTGCTCCCTCGAGAACACGTTGGACGCTTTCGCAAATGACAAAAAGTAAAGCCTCCTGGTCCTGTCGTGGTGTTCGATAGCTAGGACCAAGATCTTTGACCTCGAGCCCTTCAAGGTGGATATGGATACCGGCCCGCTTCATAAAGGGAGTGACCTCGGATACATGGCGCGCTGCGGCGATGGACTTCCGCGATGATTGAGAGAGACTCTTCTGGTATCGGCCCATGATCTGTTTCCATGTATCGCCGGTGAGAGCTGACGAAGGGGGTGTCTCGGAACCAGATGGTGGTACATAAGTAGGAGCGTTGGCATGCCGATATATATATTGAGGGTTGGAGGTCGGAATCTGGTCGGCAAGAACCACAGCAAAGTACTGTTGGCTTTGTTTCTGGAGAAAGAGCGTCTGCATAAAGGCCTCATGCCATGGAATCGCCCCCTGCTGCGCGACCTGCCACTGATGATGCTTATTATAATGTTGGCGGATCCGGTCCTTGCTGGTAGAGCGAACGTCGCAATCGGGGAAGTGGCAGATGAACCCGAGCACGGTCGGCAACCCGCGAATCTCACAAATCCCATCTTGAGGCTGGATGACTCCAGTGCTGTATTGTGCCACGCAAGCTAATTCTCGTGCGGACTCGATGGTTTGCCGCTGTTGACTCTTAACATGATGTTTGTCACGAAGATGGCGAGAGAGACTGGTTCGAATGTAGCAGGAACCATGGGTTATGCATAGGACTACCCTAAGTTCCGGTAGCACTTGCAGATACGACGGCAAGGGGTTATCAGTCTTAATTTCAGGCTCCGTGGCAGAATTTATATGATCGTGATTAGATTGTGACATTGTAGAATCTAGTAAAAATAGTAGATGGTATGGATATATAAAATTTAATTAGAAGTAGAATGGTGGATATCAGTATGATTATGGGTTCCCCTGAATGTCACCGTACGCTAGTCTGTTTATGGATTAATGTGATAACACTGGTTAGAAATGTGAGCAATCCGATATTGTAAGACATTAAGGCACTGTAGTGATAGTATACAACTGCTTAATACAGGGTATCATATACTCAGAAAGGATAGGACCTGAATCTGTATTAACTTGGTACTAATATAATTCCTTAGTATTCTACTTGGATTGTGGTCAGAAATATATTTGAGTTGGGTGGTTGTAAGTATAGTCGGAAGGCTAGACATTCTACAGTCGGAAATAGCAGTCTTGAATAAAACCACTCAAATTTGAATACGGCGATTGCAAAACTTGCAGAGTTAGAATTAAGATTGTTGTGATTTCCATGCAGCCTTCAGAAAGTAAAAATAGTATGTGAGTGATAGGAGGAGAGTTCTGAATAACAGTGTCCGTTTTCCTGAATAACAGTGTACGCTAGTCGGTTTTCAGCCTAGCTCCCGCTCTCTTAACTATGGAGGGGTTCAGAATTACACTGTAGTTCAACGTAGAATAGTTATAGGCCCTAAGGTAACTCTAGTGGCGGTGGTATAGGAACTAGTAGAGGTGTAAAGCGGGGTAAGAAGAATAGCGGTAACGTTATCGTTCTTAACGAAGATAGTGACGACGGTAATAGTGCCGACGAGGATGATAATGACTACGAGGAGTAGAGAGGAGTAGGGAGGTATCTAATATAGACTGATTTAGTCTTAAAATAGTGAGGTTATGGCTTTTAAGCTACTATATGGTTCTATTTACTCCTATATAGTGCTATAGTTCAAAATATATGAGGTAGGTATGGTTCGAAATATATGAGGTAGGTGTGGTTCGAAATATATGAGAAGGGTATGGTCGGAAATGTATAAGTTAATATATACATTATGAACCAAGGTATTCTCGTGCATTTTGAACCAAACGCTAACCCGATTAGGAAGTATTTTACTAAGTCCTATAAGAAGTCTGGTCTAAAACGCCTAAGGTAGGCATGGTTCGAACTGTATAAGGTGGGCATGGTTCGAAATATATGAGGTAGGTGTGGTTCGAAATATATGAGGTGGGTGTAGTTCGAAATATATGAGAAGGGTTTGGTTCGAAATGCATGAGAAGGGCATGGTCGGAAATGCATAAGTTGATACATATATTATGAACCAAGGCATTCTCGTGTATTTTGAACTAAGCGCTAACCCGATTAGGAAGTATTTTACTAAGTCCTACCAAAATCGTCTGAAACTAACGCTAACTAAATTTGAATTTTGGACCAAACGCTAACCGGATTCGGATTTCGGACTAAACCTCCCGCGTGAGGTAGAAAACTTTGAACCCGTATAACAAAATATATAAAATAGATAAAAATAAGCGGCTTCTATATTCGTACTACCTATATGAAAGTTAAATAGGAAAAAATATAATATACCGTAATATCGGAAGGATAACTCTTAGATCCGAGCCTGTTTTCCACTACTAGAATTCGGCTTATTTGATATATTTGGTTTATATTGCTGCATCCGTAGGAAACCTAGGGTTGTATTCTTATTGTTGTATCTTGAGGTTTCCTCGGATTTCTGGATGCAGTTTTCCTGAATGCGGTTGTCATGCATTTTTCTGTGTTCGTAATTCTTCCATGTTTTTCTGTAGTTCTTTGCTCTTCTTTGGAATTCTTAGATGTTCCATATTTTCTGTTGTCTTGTTCCTTTTTGTATGTTTGCTTGTTTTGGAGTCTTCATGGAATTTTTTAAGTATGGTGTTTGCATGTATTGTTTTTCTGTTCGAACTTGTGTTCAAGTTCTTGTGTCATATTGGGCTTATGTTTTTAACTTCTATTACGTCTCTTTTTTATTGTTTTAAGTTTTCTTTATGTGTTTCTTTATGTTCTTATTCTTTTGTTGAATCTTGTTTTATTTAATATTGATATCTACGACTATAGAGAAGGAGACAATTTACAACAATGCCACTTATTTCCTGATTCGAGATTTATGATCATTATGCTCCTTGATATAGCATCTGATTATCCCTGATAGGCATCATCTGTCTAGAGCTCATAGACCTGACTTATTGTTGGGTTTTCTTGCCACCATTTGTCGACCCGTCTGTTTTGACCAGACTGCCATCGAGCATCTCCCATTTCACTAAATAAAAGTCGAATAGGGAAAAATATAATATACCGGAATACCGGACGGATAACTCTTAGATCCGAGCCTGTTTTCCACTACTAGAGATGGGCTTCAATTTGTTTCTACCATCATTGGGTTTCTCTGGGTGGACGAGCCGCACTTGGGATTTGACCCAACAATCATCACAGCAGGTGGGAATCGGTATATCGAGATCGAACGTAAATGCCGGTCATAGCGCTTGACCCTCGACAAGTTGATGAGTCGGGCACCTTGCATAGCTGCTCGGGGAACGACTTGCTGGATACCTTATCACACTGAAGACTTGCAAAATCCGCTCGTCATCAAAGATTCCTGGCAATTCACTGAGCGTGGAGAAGAAGGCGAGCTGCTCTGAGAAGCCACTGATAAAGGTGTGACACACGTCGCTCGATATTATTTATTATGGGTGGGTGATCACCAGCGACTCCTCACTGTTTTATGTCTTTGTTTTTGTATTTTTGAATCATTTTTTGTCTTCTATCTTGTGAATGTCGATTACAGCCATAGTTAATTTATTTGGGCATTGTATCATCTTCTACACCAAGGTTCGCCATAACAAATCATTTATCATTTGCATACACCAGATTAAGATCAGTCAAGACAATTGCACGCAAGTCCCCCTGCCTACTTCTGAGAGTTGCTCATAATAATGTGTAACCACAAAGGGTTCAATAGCTATACAGACTGTATAAACTGTTTTCGCATTTCTGTCGGCGCTGCCCCAGTCATTCATTTGGAAAGAGAGCCCTATACTGGGTCTTTGGCTTTGTGCTAGGTTGTATAAAAGAAATCTGTGGCTCAGGTCAGCAAATCGACATGTTAGAGTACAAGTGCATGGTATTGGGCTTACCTGGATGTTTGTCTCCTAGGTCTTCCAAGCCTTTGCGTCGTTCGGAGCATGCATGGTCCGAAAATTGCTCGGTAGCCTTACTTTTATTGATGGTACTGAAATACCATCGTAGACCCAATGACAGTACAAGGGAAACACAAGATAATCCAAGGGCCGATATATTTCCTTTCCGGTCTGTTGGTAGCAGGAATTTCAGATAGGAACATTGATGTATGGCAAAGATTTACTTACAGTATGGCGGGTCACTGTAGGCCTGTGTTCCGCAGATTGCGAAAAGCTGGGAGAAGATATTGCTGAAAGCCAATGAAGATCCTCTGTTCAATCTTGAGTTAGCTGTGATTTTGAATTGCTGCTCGATTCGAGTTCACCTTCGTGTATAACCAACAAAGCTCATGGCCGACCAGGAAAGCTGAAGAACCACACTCGGGTACACTGAGAAGGCGACAAGGCAAGTTGCGCCGAATCTGGCTTTCTTATTCTCTAAACCGAGCAGCAATGAGTAGCCCACGATCGCTCCGCAAGTTGATGCTGCGATTGTTAGACCTCGAGCGTTTGTTCGGTCAGCTACCTTGGCCCAGAATAATACACCGGCACAGGCGCAGCTGTATACTATGACGGAAAACAGTTGAGTGTTGATCGAGGTGTATCCAAAGCCCTATAAAATTGTGAGATATCAATACAAATCTGAACGAAGATCGGAAGTAGGCGCACCTGGATAATCGCAGGAAGAAAGTTGGAGATCGACCCAACGCAAAAATGGCCACAGCAAGCAATGCCAAGCAAGAGCCAGAAATGTAGACTGAGAAGCACCAGTGGAACCTTCTTTATTTCAAGTCTCGCCTCAGGGGTATTATGGGCGAGACGGCTGCGTCGCACTACCAATGCTTTTTCCTCTGCTGTAAAGCCGAATTTCAAGGTCTCGGGGCTGTTGGGAAGTAGAAACAACACGAAGACCGCCGCCACACAAGGCATAACTCCTTCGATTAAAAATATCCAGCGCCAGGCTCTCCAGCCACGAAGCCCATCCATATCTTTTTCGATACCGTAGGCGATCAACCCGTTGAATGCACCCGCCAATGTACTCATGGAATAGAAGATAGCCCCACGCGTGGCAAGCTCGCTATACTGATACCAGAAAGACAGGTCTAAGCCACCAAATAATCAGTACGTGAGTTACCAAGAAATAAAAGTATGAGGAACTTACAAAAAACTCCGCCCTGAACGAATGCCTCAGCTGCTCCGGTCAGAAAGCGCAGGGCAAAGAGTTCGTCTTTGTTGCGGATGGCGACGGTACATGCGGTAATTGCACCCCACTATTTGAAACATGATTAGACAATGATATCAGTCGCGCGAGAGAAGAACTAGGTTCTCACTATGAGCATGGCTCCTGCAAACTGTCTCGCCGACCCAATCCGCTTGATCAAGAGCGTGCCCGGTAGCTGGAAAACGACATAGGCTACCAATAGTACCGTTGCCGCATTTGAATAGTCTCTAGGAGAGAGTTTCAACTCATCTGAGAGTCCCGCAACTTGGGCGTTGGCTAAGTCTGATCTTCCCTGCAATTTGCGACCGGATCAGTATCCAGTAGTTTATAGAGTCATGGCATGATTATAAGCTTACCATTTGTGCAAAGAAGTATACAATCGATATGATCGGCAGAATAAAAAGATCCAACTTCCATTTTACTCGAGAAAGCAGTCTCGGGGATATGCCATCATCGGAGTGTAGCTCTTCGTGGGAGAATGCAACTTGGTTCTCGTCGACATTTTTGGCGTCGGTACTATTCGCCTGCATAATGAGTTATATTTCTTCTTTTCTTCGTAAAAATACTGCTCTCTCAATTATATGATTGGTATCGTGTGTTGGCATTTCCATCTTTATAAGAAGCAACTGAGGATTCGATGTGGACCTAGTGGATGCCTGCTAACTAGGAGTAACTAGCCGGACGTAAGTCTGGGGTAGAGATCCACATTGAGCAAGCGAATTTCGGCAAAACAAGCGAAAGGAAAGCGAAAGGAAAGCGAACGGAAAGCACCACTCTGCCTCGGCAGATCGACGCTGGCTTGAAGATTCGCGCCGATGTTATTGTGTGGGCCGATTTACGGCAAGCGAAGCGAATTTCGCTTCAGCATTTCCAAAGTACATATGCCGCCAAACTTCAGGCTACAATGGTGGCAGTGCCCCCGAACTGAAACCTTTACTGTGGTCTATGCGCACATTCCAAAATGGATCAACCTTTGTCGACGACCGATATACCTAAAGAGTTCCTCAGGGCCTGTTGCATGGTGGGCCATGTTCCACTGAGGGCCTTGGCCTGGGATCCACGCGTTTCCTACGCGCTCTACATACCTCCGAGTCGATTCGATGCCGATCCTAACCCGACCAAGCTTCACCTGCTAGTCTGGGTTCATGGCACAGGCAGGGAATGGAATACACTATTCGAAAATGAAATGGTTTCTTTTGCCGATCAAATGCCATGTGCAATTCTCGCCCCACTGTTTCCTGCCGGTTTGGATGGTCCAAATGATTTGGATTCGTACAAAACATTGCACTCATCCTCGCTTCAGTCTGCTCAGGCTCTACTGGAAATCCTTGATGAGGTTGCAGCTCGCTGGCCCGGAATTCAGACAGACAAAGTTTTCCTTAAAGGTTTCTCTGGCGGCGGCCAATTTGCTCACAGATTTCTTTACCTCTATCCTGAACGCCTAGCTGGTATCAGCGTAGGAGCCCCGGGAAGGGTAACCGCGTTGGATTTTTCGAAAAATTGGCCGAAAGGTGTAGCCAACACGAAAATGTTGTTCGGTCGGGAAGTGGTTCCTGGAAACATCTGCAAAGTTCCGATTCAGCTGGTAGTTGGCTCGGAGGACAATAAAATGCACGGGGGCGAAGCATTCTGGAGTTGGCTAGAGAATTTCCAAAAGGAGAGAAGAAAGCAGAAATCAAAAACTACAGAGCTTTCGCGCATGGAGCTTGGACGATTGCAGACTCTGGAAGAGCTTCACAGATCATGGAAAGCCGATGGAATTGACAGCCAACTGGACATAATTCCAGGTATCGCACATGAAGCAGGAAAGGCGCGCTCTTGTATGTTACGTTTTATTGAGCCATTGATTCAAGGCGGCATTAAGAAATAAACAATTAAATATGGACAGAACCTAAATATGCAAAACACATCAACTAACAACTTCAATTGGACAATGTAACAATTGTAGAAATTGGTGGTTGCCATCACCGTCATCGCGACTCGCCCTTGCCAAGACCGGCCCACCACTGCGATGTCGTTTGCTGACCAGCATTCCTCTCTCATCAACAGCCACATCAACAGCCACCCGCGTAATAATGAACAAGAGCACGAGAGCACAAGGTCGAGAGAACGCGCCCTCTAAGCGTACATCGATGGCGTGTACGGCGTGTCGCCAAGTGAAGGTGCGCTATCCAGGACCCTACACTGGTTGGATACGACAAGCTTACATTCCCTGCGACTAGCTGAGGTGCGATGCCATGGATCAATTTCCAGTGCCCTGCACTCGATGTATGAAGCAGAAAATTAATTGCAAGTTCGATCCTAAATTCAAACGACAGCCTGTTCGCGGGTAGGAACAACCAATCTTACGATTGTCTACATTTTGCTGATCATGCCATGTCAGATCACTGGAGAAGGCTGAGAAGGAAAACGAAAGGCTGCGAAGTCTAGTTCATGAAGCGGAATATACATCTTCTAATTCACCTGCAGATGCGGCCTTGACAGCACGTGCAGGTTCTACAGATGATGGAGCTTCAAATATCCAACAGGAAACCTCGGTCGTCGAGAAAATGACCTCAGAGTTACCTACTCCCAGGGAAGTAGAAGGTTTTCGCCTTGACGAAGCTGCAATTCTAGCACTTTTTGAACAGTAAGTTCTGGCTCTTGCATCATCATCTGTCCAGGGTACTGAATACTGACGCTTCGATAAGCTTCGCCGCTCACTATCTGCATCATCTTCCGATTCTTGACCTGACGAAGTCAATCGACCAGATATGGAGCGACAATCAGCTACTATTTTGGACAATTGTCATAACATCAGCCAACAAGCACCCCCATCATTCGAGCTACTTTGGACCTCTTCAGGTGCCATTCAAAAGACTTCTCTCGGAGTATCTAGTCGGCTCTATTCGCTGCATATATACAGTCCAGGCTATGTTAATTTTAAGTCTTTGGCCATTCCCGGTCGCCAAGCAGCAGGATGACCCAAGTTGGGAGTACATCGGAATGGCTATTGCAGCAAATTTGAAACTGACATCGGTTGACTCGCAAACGAACTGGCCCGGGTCAAATCCCTTGTTAATCGACGAGAGTTTGCGACAAAAGACGTGGCTGGGCTGTTTTGCAGTGAGCACCGAGTACGTTTTCCATACCCACATCACTGTTGCCTAGTACGTACTGATGATGTTCAGAATTTCTGCTGCTCTTTCTCTACTGCCTCCTATGGGTATGGTATCACATATTATGCCCAAAATCAGACATGCAGTTCAATCTAGCTTGCCTAGGGAATATATGGCCCTTCTCGATATCCAGGAGTATGCAAATCGGGCAGCCACGCTGCTTAACAAGCCGTCCGCGAAGCCAGCCCAGAGATCGTTAATTGAGCTCCTGGAAAGGGATCTAGCTTCAATAGAAGCTCGCATACTAGATGAAAACCACGCGAAGATTCGGATTGGATGTCTTGCAGCTCGCATTCGTTTGTATGCTTTGCCAATGCTCTCCCAATCATCATCATCGGACGCGCAAAAGCGAACAAGCAGCAGCATGTCAAAGGCTCTCCGGTATATGGGATTCCACGCGGCAATTGAAATTGCGAACATTTTTAGCTACTCAATAAATGTGAGTACAGAAACGTCGACAACCTTTACCGAACAGACTATCGATGCCTTCTTTCCGAAGTATTACTTCCAAATATTGGTTATGGCCGGCATGTATTTGATCAATGTTTTGGCTATTGATATCGAGATATCGGCGGAAGACAAAAGTCTGGCGCGGAATCACATCAAGAAGGTCTATGAAACACTTTTGCGCTGGTCGCGGGAACCGAGAGACGAGGCAGCACGCGTTGCGAGAGTTATTGACCTGCTCTCTCGCCACGTCCAAGCACCCGATCTGTCATCGGAGCTACAGCCAACCACCCATGTAACGCCTCCAACGAGCATGATCACCAATGGAATGTGGATGGCCGGTCGATTACGTAGCAAGCTTTTCTCGTCCTTTTCGCAGCCTGTTGAACCAACTCCCGCTTGGGCACCCGAGCCGTTCGAGTTTCCGACTGGCCTTGAACCAAACATGTTTGAGGATGATTTGTTAGAATGGAATACCTGGCTGGTAAGCCTGGATAGCATACATGCAAACCCCGCATCAATGACAGATTTCGGAGCTGATTAGTTGCCCCCGAGGGCGAATTCGGGTGTTGGAGCGAACTTCGCTTACCGGGCCGAAGCTGCGGCTACATTTTCGCCAGCAGCGTTTCTTTAAGTACGGATGATCTGCAGGGAAATAAACGCGATAAATATCGACGCATTCACTTATCGGTAAATTGAGTCAGCACTTCAGCTGCGCGTTCGAAGTTTGCGACCACATGCCGTCAAACCTGGACCAGATGGCAATCCGTGAGCCATTATGCCACATTATCACCCCGATCGGCATGCTGGGTTACGGCTTCAGCACCCCAGATCTGGAGAAGGGTCTTGAAATTGCTTTACAATCTGGCTCTCCGACCGCGATTATTCTTGATTCTGGGTCGACTGATTCAGGTCCTGCAAAGTTGGCCTTGGGGTCAATGACCTGTCCTCGCTCAGCATACGAGCGAGACCTGCGGGATTTGATTTGCGCTGTTAAGAAATACCGCGTCCCGCTGCTGATCAGCTCTGCTGGTGGAGATGGAAGTGACGCGCATGTCAAAGAGTTTCTAGATATTATCCGGGAGACTCTGGAGGCGCTCGATCAAGAGTGGGTATCTTTCTATCTCTTCTCCGATATTGAAGAGAGTTTTCGCTTCATGCTTTCGCTTCATCATGCTAACATGTCGATTCCTAAAGTGATTGCAGATCTCTGAAAACACTCGCAATCTACAGCGGAGCCCGCCATAAACTCCTCCTCGAAAAGTTGTCTGCCGGAAAGGTCACTGGATGCGGGCCGTGTGTCCCCGAATTGACTAAACAAGACATCAAGCAATCTCCCTGCATCGTCGGACAGATTGGCCCCGAGGCCTTTGTGCAAGCCATGAATGCCCATTCTGACTTCGACATCCTCATCGCCGGGAGAGCATACGACCCGAGCCCCTATGTCGCATTCTGCGCCTTCCATGCACTCCGCGAGTCGACCGGCAATTTTCCCAGTCTGAAATCAACAACACTTGGTGGATTTACACACATGGGAAAGCTCATGGAATGTGGGGGATCATGCGCTACTCCCAAAAGTTCGAGCTCAATGGCCACTGTCTACTCTGATGGATCCTTTGATATTAGACCGTTGGCTGCGGAGTCACGATGTACATCGACCAGTGTGGCTGCGCATGCCTTATACGAGAAGTCTCGACCGGATATACTGCATGGACCTGGGGGATATCTTGATCTCAACACCGCCACATACACACCGCTCTCTGATGGTATCAGTGTGAGAACTTACGGCTCCATATTTGTCTCGTCTCGCAGCCAAGGCCTGCCTTACACAATCAAATTCGAAGCGGCGAAGGTAATTGGTTACAGAAGCATTTTCATGGGGTCTTTCTGCGACCCCCTTCTCATCCAGCAGCTGCCATCGCTGCTTGCCCGTACAAAGGCCTATGTCAAACAAAAGCATGCACATACTCGGGAAATGTGGGAGCTTGAATTCCACGTGTATGGATTTTCCCTCGACAGGAAGGAAAGGACCTCCACAGGAGATGTGTTCATTGTTGGAGAGGCACTTGCTGAGACACAAGCTATAGCAAATAGCGTTACATCATCCGCCCGCGTCGCATGTGTTCATGCACCGTACGAAGGCCAGAAGGCAAACAGCGGAAATTTTGGTATGGGGATAGGTGGCAAGCTGGAGTTTGAGATGGGGGCTTGCGCCCAGTTCTCAATATATCACTTGGTAGAGATGGAGGAAGGCGAGGAAGAGGCGACGGAGATTATCCAGGATACCAATGGCCAGCGAGATCAGGGGATCTCTTTGAATAGTCTCACACGATGGGAAACTCTTCTTTTAGGGAGTGGTCCCCGCATCGATCGTCAAAAGCTTCACTGCTCAACAAATCGCGGCGATTACGGTGCAACCCACATCAAACATAACACCGATCTTCCAAATCCCAAGCTACCTATGCAGCTAGCAGGCACAATTACTCTTGGCGCGATTGCCAAAGTGATTCGATCCAAGAATGCCGGACCGTTTGAGATTACTCTAGACGTGATGTTCGATAATGTGGCGGTCTATGAGCAAATCAAAGAGTACGGGGTTCTCACACCAGCGAAGATTGCAGAGCTCTACAATATTCCAGTTGATAAGATTGTGTGGTGTGGCTTCTTCGATCAGGCGCTTGCATTCAAAGCGACCATTCCCAGATGCCGAAACGCGAAGCTGAATGCTTCAGGGGGATTCATGGAGAACGATGTGCATGGATCTCAGAAATATCTGCCTTTGTTTAATATCACAATCACCCTGCGAAACTCAGCTTAAATCAACATATTTTTTCTTGACATTAATTAAAATGATTTTACTTTGTCCACTACCATGAGGTTGTGGATCAGACTGTCACACTGAGGCAATCTCTTTAGTCGTGCGAACAGCTATAGTTTAAATGCCCGAGCCTTCAAACGATGATACTTGTATTCTGGTGAACTACGTATTTAGGTGGCACATTTTGAAAAAAAAAAAACAGAAAATGACGATAATCTAAGCTACAAAGACAATTTGAGGGACTGAATCGTGATAATGCAAAGATCTATAGCGTTGAAGGATGTAAATATGGAACGTTACAGCAAAACTAGCAGGACACAGTAAGCCATAGGCCGCGTACAAAATAAATATCAAAAGCCCAATCTGAACAGAAACGCAACCAAAAGTAATCTCAAGTCTCCATCACTCAACCTAATCTAACAGACGGCCTCATTGTCATATCCCCTTCGCGAGCCGCCCCGCTACTGTTATTCCTGCTGATACCCACTCTCAGATGTGTCATCGTTCTTTTCAGAGAGCCCGGAATCAAGAAAAACAGGCTGCCGCCGCTCCTTGCCTAGGCAGCCCCAGGAATACAGAGTCTGGATCTCACGATGCCTCCCGTCAGTACGGGGATATTGTCGTTTTGCCGAAATCAAGATGAAGATGGTCTTGACCTAGGAGATGCTCACTTCGACTGTATCTCGTAACACTTCAAGTTTTCTCGTCTATCGGTCTTATCGCTCAAAGATATCGTAACCACTGTTTTAACTCTCAAGAATTCCTCAAAACGGCTTATCCACGCTGAAACATATGACCCTCGACTTACTTATTTAGACAAGTGATCCCAAGATTCTGACATCTCAAAAAAGAGACGCATGGTGTGTGGATCTACCAAGAGCTACTTGTATATCTACGTGATCACTCCATGATATAATCCCTTTTAACAGATATGTTCTATTATAAAGGAAACCCTATTTACGTTAACGCTTTCCACGCTCCACTACGACCTCGTCGAACGGCGCCTTACTAGAAGCGTTATAATGAAAGGCAAGACTCGATTTCCTTTGTGGAGTGGATCGACCAACTCGATATTACGTAGTAGATGGGGACGGCGCGATGGCAGTCTGGTCAAAACAGACGGGTCAATAAATGACAGCAAAACTCATCAACAGGTCGGGTCAGGGAGTTATAGGCAGATGACGCCTACTGTAGATAATCTGATGCTATATGAAGGAGCATAATGATCGAAAATCATAAATCAGTAATTGAGTGGCACTCTTCTCTGTTCCCGTACTCCCTACAGTCGTAGGTTGCCCATATATCTCTTAAAGAGATAGATGCCTAGGACACTTATCATACATGTCACCTGATACCACTACAATAGACTTTATTAGCATTCTCCCCGATGAGAATGCATGGGCACCCAAGGCTATACGGGATTTAGCCGGTTACGACCGGCTCTCTTCATCAATCTCACTACTTGATTCACTCCATTCTATCCTCCTCAATTACCTTTTGACTCAGCACGTTAGCCATAGTAGATAGTATGTTTTTAGGCGAGCAAGTTCCATAATTTTCAGGCATATAGACCGAGCTAGCATCGCTTAAGCCAAACCCGAACTATCGGGTTTACATTCCCGACCCGAACAAAGCGATATAATGATCTGATAACGCACATGATTTCGGAATTTTCTATAAAGCTCGGACTTAGGGGGCTAAAAGTGGAGATTACCTCTAGGGCAGGGACAGCTATATAAGCTAACACCCATAAGGGCAAGAGTCCGCTATATAGCTAGCTTAAATATTCGATCTTAGGGCTTTAATACATAAAAGGACTATTAAAACAATTAATACCACTAATATCCAAATTTTTATTAAACGTAAGAGCTATCGCTTATAGGTCCGCTCCATTTAGACTACTTACAAAGATACAGCCTTATTTCAAGTTTATACTAATATAGTGGTGCTTTACTTTCTATTATAAGTATTTTATATTAACTCAAGTATAGACTATTAGAATCTATTAAGAGACCTACTAGTCTAGGCAGTGGTATTTCCACTTATACTATAAATACCCGTCAAAATCCGATGATTTAGTACTACTAGCCCTTACTTAAAATTCCCACATATATTATCCCTCGCTATACTAAAAAATTTTATCAACCTAAAAATGCAATACAAGGCCCTTACTATTTTTTAGGGGCCACGGCTTTAGCGGAGGTAGTCGACAAGCTCTAATCCGATGCCACTATTCTATATCTCTTTACGAACCCTATATAGGTTATAGACGCGGGAAACAGTGCCGAACCAACTGCCTAGGCCTCATTATTCTAGTACGATACTGCCTTCGCATCTTCAGTGCTAGTCGCGGAGAATGCTAGGATTATGCTAGCGTGGTATAGCGACCTTCCTGAGAGTGTTATCGTCTTTAAAACCACGAGACTCAAGGCGATCCGGTCCTACGGGGCAACTGCCACCCGAGACTAGTTAACTTCCTCTATATCTTCAACTTCTGCTACTGCCACCGCTACTACAACCTCTACTTCCTCGCTTACTTCTGGTTCTTCGTCTTCTAATTCCACTGCATTGCTTCGTTGATCTTCATCTTGTATATACATGCTTCATCAATTCCTGCGCTGTAATTTCACAAGAAATTCGGGAAAAGTATATATCAAGAACTCAATCTCGTATTACCAAGTGTTGTATTTTTGCGTGGTTCCTCGGCAGTGACTTTAGGAGAGACTCGACCATCTCGTTTTGCGACTTCGGGCATTCTCTCAATCACTGCCCAGGTAAGCGATTTGCTGATGACCAAAGATACCCATAAACAGAAGGTCAAGAATTCTAATAATGGATAAAAAATTTGCAATTTTCATTTTTTCTGTACCTACGCACATCTCTAGGCTAATTCGGAGTCCATCTCCTCTTGGGAACGGACCTATGATGGATCAAAAGTATTGCTATGTCCCGCCGATCCAACATCACCTGACCGGCTATATTATCAACATCGAGAGATGTTATAGGAAAGTCACTAGACATAGTCACCTAACATAGAACTGGGGATTTGCTTATAGCAAGGACACCCCGGGAATCCAACTAATACGATGACCAAGATATGTGTTGTTATCCTCCCTCAAGAGTTATCCTTTCCCGCCTAATCGACAGGCTTTACAACCATGATAACGTATTACATTTTACAGTTCTCTTATACACTAGAACACTGTCTTGAAACTTAAGCTCATCCGATTCTGAGCTAATTATTAATCACGGCAGCTGTCATGACCCATTCATGGCTAGCGGCCATAATCCTCAACATGATATATCTAAAATAACCTAACAGACCAAAAGCGTATGGTAGAATTAATACTTTTAGGTCATAATCGAGTTCCACACATCGGCAGCCTCCTGACCAGACAGGTCGCGCGTCGCATCCTCAGCTTCATAGCATAGGTCAATCGTCGCCTGGGGGGCATTGCACGGGCTACGCAGACGGTTGCAGATTAGATCTTCGGGGCTGTCAATAGTCGGCGAAGAGCCGAAGGGGAAATCAGCTTGGTTGCGGTTGGTATAAGAGTAGTCCGTGCGGCCATCTAGACCATACTCGTAAAGAATGTACGGGTCCGAGCAAGTGCCATAGTCAATAGTGTTGCCACCACCACCGCCAGTTGGTGTGCAAGTTTCAGAGGTCACAGTGGTAGTGATTTCGAGAGTATCCGTCTGAGTGATGGTCTGGGTTGAGGTCATAACTTCATAATCGGTGATTGTGGAGGTATCTGTAGCAGTGGTGGTGTCATAGATGGTCAAGGTCTCCGTGGACTCTGGCAGGGTCACAGTCGCGGCCCCGGTTGTCACCGTAGAGGTCACAATTGGGCCGGCTGTCGTTCGAGTTACGGTTGAAGTTGGGCCGTCAACAGTAAGGGTCATCACGTCTGTGTATGTTGCAGTGCATTGGGTGGTACTCTCGATGAGAGTATCGGTCACCGTGATCGTCGGATGTGTATTATGGCTATTACAGTTTTAGACATTGTCTCATTGAATTTGTCAACACAAAAATAGACAATATTTACCAGTGGCGCTCCGTCACGGTGGTGTGAACAGCATGGTGATCATAATCGCCATGATCACCGAATCCTCCATTGCCGCACTGATAGGGGGAACCACCGTCGTCATGGTCGTCACCCAACATGACATTACCCGCAGCTCCCATCCCAACGTTGCTCCCTACATCCCACCCGGGGACCCCTGGACGTGCTGCGGTGGGAAGAGCCTGCATCAGTAGGGCTGAAATGCCCAGAATCTTCGCATAACGGTCCATTGTGGAGATCGGTTTCAAAAAAAAACAAAGACAAAAAAGGCTGTGACGGTTTTCTAACCGGAGTTGTAAGGACTGGATGGAAGTCAGGGGTGAGTTTTCTGAGAACCTTGGCCAGGGTGTGGGAAGATTCTGGTTTAAGTATTGTCGTCTCCTCGAGAAGACCGATAAGCCAGCAATGCCAGAAATGCCAGCAATGCTACATCGCATCCTATACTTCTCTTTTCGGGTAGCAGGATTTAAAGGAGCGCCACGGTATGTTTGTAGTTAGCCCGCAACCTCAGGAATGATGGCTGCGGCGACAATTCACGGGAACGGCATGACAAGGCAAGCCACGCTCAAGCCTGCATGGACTCTTTGAGTATCATTTTGTGCCCTACTATCGCACCCGCACCTGGAAAACGTTAAACTATGGTCCCGGCAAACTTCAGCGTCGACTATCAATAATCATATTAACAATGCCATAGAAATGCGTGGTTCAACGGTATGTTGATCGATGAATGCTTTATAGGTGAGTGTTGTTTGTGGAAGGGATGGTGGAAGGGATGCTGGGTATGTGGACCTTTTTGAGCCTTGATTGCCTATGTTAGATCGTTTAATCTTGACCTTTATCTATTCGAGCTATCTTATTCAGATAAACCCGTTCCTTGCTCTAATCTAGAGTATTCATAAAAATCGTAAATAAAGTCTGTCGAAGTGGGCAACGAAGCTGCTGATAGTAGCGCAAAGTGCGCGGCGCTCGAACGCGAGCAGCGACCGGCGAGAGAGCCGCCAAGCGTACGGTCCGGGAACGAATCCAGGACCACTGGAATAGGCAGTGGGGGGCGAGAGGACTTCTTAGCCCACAAAGCGCTTAGTTGATCTGCTGAACAAGAAGGTAATGCGTTAGAACGAATGCCTCTCGAAACCAAGATCCTCAATCTTGAGCCAGGTGCCTTAGACTGCCACACGTCTTGTTTAAGATCGAAGGATCGGAGACTAACTGATGCCTCAACGGAGAGGGTTCTTAAACTCCGAAACACATTTGCTTTAATGTGAGATGTACAGTGATCTCCGTGAGCGACTTTCGAACTCGCTCCGTGGAGCCGGGTTAAAAGGTACTAACAACACGATCTGATCGTATCAGACCCGCTGGTCACCCGCTATGTGGCTAATTCCATACACTAGACCGGCCTCCTTGCTTAGTTCCAATACGCTGAGCTTGATTTCGATGACATAATAGAAGACTGAGAGGTCAGGGAGTAGAGTCCCGAAGACGCTGGGCACTCTTCACTGCTTGCGAGGACGGTCGAGGGCGGAGAGACTACAGTACGTCCCTCAACTCGTTATTCGATTATACAATCCCAAATTGGCCCAGTGCTATGAGGAGAAACAAGTATATTAGAAATCAAGGCTAGAGTAATAATTGAGAACGGGGGTTTGATCTTGCTAATGTAGGATTTGAGGTGGGGAAGTTGAGAGGAATGGGTTGTGGAATGGCAAATGGTGCATCTGGGTACTTTCTTTGCTCCTGGCTGCCTCCTGCACCAGTATTGCATTTGGTTTATTTGTAGAACTGGTAATCTCTCTCTCCTTGCGAGGACCAGCTCATTTCCTTTTGTATTGGCATTATCAGGCGTACGGATAAGTTTTTTGCTTCCTCTGGATGAAGCGGCTGAATAGCCATTACGATACTATTTAGGCTGCAACAGATCAATTGAACTTTGATTGATTAGTTGATTGATCGATAAATTGCTCTCATTTCGATCATGTAGCATCGAGGTCAAAAATTAATTTAGGACCAGTTGCACGGGTCCTCGGGGGAGTTAGGTCAACCCCGATGAAGCAAAGGCAGTGACCGGTATAAATCTCTTACGAGATCTCGTGAACATATCAAGCTCAGCATCACAAGTAGCAGTCACCTTTGCTATTATTGTAATCGCCAAACATGCAAAAAGTTCAATTTGACCCCCAAACGCTGAAAAATGACGCTTCTCGAATGGTCATCGTCACCGGCGGCGCAGGTGGTTAGGCGCCGCCACCGCCCGCATTTTCAACGAGAACGGTGCAAATGTGGTCATTGGAGATCTCCATGTGCTCGAAAGAGATGCCAGACTCCTAGTCGAGTCTTTTCCTCATTCATCACGGGCCCTTTTTGTCCCGGTCGATATCACCCATTGGGAAGATATGAAGCACTTGTATAAATATACCCTCCACACCTGGTGTTGTGCATATTGTGGTAGCAAATGCTGGCATTATGGAGTCCAAAAATTCCTTGATATGGACAGTGTTGACGAGGATGGAGATTTACTGGAGAGCAAAGGAGCTGCTAAGGATTGGATGTCAATGTGAGAGGAACCTTGAACAGTGAATCTTCCATTCCTCAATTAAGATTATAAGATTGACTCTTTCGTTCCTCGACCTCTAGCAATCAGGCTTAGTATGCATTATATGAGATCCTCGACTTCCAACGATATCGGCCCAAGATCTATAGTCTTGGTCTCTGTGATATCAGGATACTTTGGAGGTACCGGGGTCTCCGTATATATTGCTTCAAAACACGTAGTGGTGGGCCTTCCGCGTGGATCTCAAGTTGCGGCGCGGAAATACGGCGTTGCTGTGAAGGCTATCGCTCCATCCTTCACTCCCACACATATCACCGCAGGACTGGCTGGGCGCTGGAAGAGCACTGGAATGGATTCAAATACCCCGGAGTATGTTGGCAACTTCATATTGCAGTCGTCGCTCGATACCTCTCCCAGTGGAAGCTGTACACTCGTCTAGCGAGACTATCCTCTCCAACTTTACGATATTAAACTGACTTCTATCAAGGTAGCTGGCTTGTTCTTACAGAGAAAAGGATGACAAGAGCGGAATTAATGCCCAAGTGTTTGGGAGGCGCCATAGTGGACTATATGCATAAATCTTTCAACTTTATCATAAGCGATTGTTGTCAACTACCCAAAGACAGAGAATAGATTGAGAACTAATACTAGCTTTGGTATCATGGAATCATTCTCAAATGCTCGATATAGAAGTGATAACACCATAATTCTTTTTCGAGTTCCAAAGATATTTGAAGCTATGTGTGCGCGGGATATTTGATTCGTGCCGATTCTAGCTAGCAAATTGCACAGTAGTAACTTCAACAAGATCCCGTGTCTCCACTTCATCCTTCTCCAACCACCTCCAACGGCATCTCCACCCCCAAATAACTACTCCACGCATCCTGTCCGGGCCAGTCAGGGTTCTCATTCAATACAAGTACAGTATGGTAGTTCTCTTTTACGGTCGTATTGTCCCTTGAGCTAATCAGAGAGATGGGCACTGTCGTTCCATCGAAATGGTATTTTTTGATTTGATTGCCAAATACCAATTCCAATGCAGTGATCCAAGAAATATATACTACTCACCCGTACCCGTTGTCTTTGCGCGTGATTCCTTCGATAATCATTCGTGTTAAAAGGCTACGATGCAAGTAGGAATGATGACCGGTACGACCGTACAATATAGATAATCTAACAATAGATTACCGAGGTGTTTAAGTCTGGAGATTCTCATTTGTAGGAGAACCTCCTTATATACCAGAAAACTCTGCCTTAAGCTAGTCCTAATTAGATTTCCCAGGTGATGAATCACTGCGGTTGCCGTCATGGCTCATTCATGGCATAAACCATGGCCGGCCACCATAAATCTCAACAAAATGGAGACGGTGGAGAACCACCTCCAGGCACCTCCATAAGTGGCGCTCCGCTATGACATATAAAACCAATTCCGCCATCGGCAAGTAGCTAACTTATTCTTACCAATCTTGAAACTTCTTTTTTTGATTTTTGTTTCCTTCAATCAAGCTCCGCCAGGAACAATTCCGCCTCGCAATAATAATGTCTTCTCTGAATTATATCAACGAACAGGGCGCGGGTCAGAAACATAGCGACTTATGCCATTATTCCCAGGCAGTTGTTTTAGGGAACTTTGTCAAATGTTCCGGACAAGGAGGTTGGGAGCAGTCCGGCGCTCTGAATCCCGACGATATTCCTGGCCAAGTGGATCTCGCTTTCCAGAATGTGGACAGGGTGCTACAAGCCTCGGGTCTTCGCGGCTGGGAAGACGTTTATTCAATCCGCAGCTACCATGTTGGTATCGACGCTTCATATGATCTGACCGTCAACAAGCTCAAGGAGCGTATCCCGGGCCATCGACCTATTTGGACTGCTATCGCTGTGCCCCAGCTAGCATTTCCCGCAATGAAAATTGAGATTGAAGTGGAAGCGATTAAACAATCGTAAGCAAGCGCCATGAAGTAAAATAGGTAATGACACTATAGCCTCTGCCATCTATGATATGGACATTTCCCCGCTAATGATTTTACCAGGAAACAGTTCGTGCTGCGAAGTAATAGTATCGTGTGTGGTCTTAGGGCGACGACATACGAATTGTTGAGATTTATGGTGGCCGGCCATGGTTTATGCCATGAATGAGCCATGACGGCAACCGCAGTGATTCATCACCTGGGAAACCTAATTAGGACTAGCTTGAGGCAGGGTTTTCTGGTATATAAGGAGGTTCTCATACAAATGAGAATCTCCAGACTTAAACACCTCGGTAATCTATTGTTAGATTATCAATATTGTACGGTCGTACCGGTCATCATTCCTACTTGCATCGTAGCCTTTTAACACGAATGATTATCGATAATCTTCCGCATCAGGATGATGCCTATCAATGATACCTTTGTATATATACTTACGATGTTTCTAGTGCCTTTTAGCTGGTTAGACCGTCTTCATAGAAGACCAGAAATTCTTCGAAGCTTTTCTATTCCCACCGACGCTACCTTGGGTCATCTTAATATTTTTTGAAAGCAACTTTGAACCTACTGGATAGTGCAGACATGGTATTCACCGCGTCACAGTTGTGTTTCATACTATCAGGAGCATGGCTGGTTTCTATCTGAAGCTGTTAGAGATCATGGCCATACGTACCCTCTACAATGTCAGTTGACCCTAACTCCGACTCCAGTAGTCTTCACTGCCACCCTGGATGCAGTCTTCCTCACTATAATGAAAGAGCTTATTTTTGCTTTTCTTCAGAAGACGCTGCCAAATACGTTTTGTTGAGAAACCTTTCATCAAATGATCGCCTGACTCAACATTGACTGCGTTGGGTAGGTTAAGTTAACTTACGTATCGGAAGACACTAACAAAGATCGAGAGAAGACCATTTGGCGCTTTCAAATAACATACTCCCATATCGAGCTCCCCTTCCTCTTGCTATCTTATTTCTGGTTAAATAGATTGATTGATCAGATTTAGTTCTTGCGTAATGTTTACCAAGAAGCAAGTCACTTAGAGCTCCGCTGGTTTTCAAATTGATATTCCTGCAGTACCTAAAGCCTCACTTCGAATCCGATCTAATAGGCGATTTAAAATTGCTCTATTGCAGCAAACATCACTCATCAACATCACGGGGATGGGCCTTCCAGTACTGATCCAATTCCTTATCAGACAGGCCTGGAACTGCATCATAACGAGTGAGAGGGGCCAAAGGAATATCCATCTTCTCGAACTTCTCGATGCGCTTCTTGGTGAGTTCTCGACTCTTGTTGACACTATATACCTTAATGCGATGGGCCGAGGATGTAACGTGAAGACCCCAGTTCCATGCGGCACGTACGTTCAGCGGTTGTGTGTTGAGCGAGTTATCCCAGCACCTGCAGACTATTTCGACCCAACCTTCCACATCACATGGGAGATCAATCTCCCATGTTCGCCATGTCCATTTACCTTTCTTAGACAGTTGCTCCTCCGGTACCGCATACCAATTGAAGCCCCCGTCGGCGGATAGCTCCACACGTTCGGGCCATCGGCCACCACCAGAGTAAGCCCAGCCCTTACAGTGAATCTTGCCGTTGTGGAAGATCACTTGTTTAGTCCATGGAGACATGATTGCCGAGCTGACCGGCATTTCTTGGATTTGGATGCCGTCGATTGGGCGCAGGTTGTATTTGCCCACCTGCTGGTTGAAGTACAGATATTCCCTAGACTGGACCGGGGCAAGCGTGGGATTCTTAATGGCCTTGATGCGATAAAGCCATTTGACGCTTCGGGCCCCGATATAGCCCATCACCATCACTCGCAACGGATAGCCGTGAATCTTAGGGAGCGGCTCACCATTCATCTCCCAGGCCAGCATAACCTCATTAGCTTTGACCTTAGACCAAGGAACACTGACAACATAGTTGCCCACTTCAAGATCTTTGACATAAGTCTCAGCGCCATAGAATTCGAGATGTTTGGCATTCTTGACTAGACCACCGCAGTCTTTGATTACCTTCTTTAAACTGATACCCGTATATCGAGCCGTGCCGATGGCGCCCTCTGCCCAGGGAGCTTGTGGCACTTCGTCACCTTGGCCACCATAGAGTGAGATTTGCTCAATGCGGCGAGTTCCAGAGCACTGCATCGTAATTGTCTTCTCCACACGGGGGAATCTCGACTCGTCCATGAGGTCGTCCAACGTGTACTTCTTTGGGGTTTTCACCAACCCGTCCATCTTCAGTTCGAATGCGTTCCTATCGATGATCGGGATACCACCATGGTTCCTTACGAAGTGGAGCGAGTTTGGTGTGATTGCCTTCGAGGTCACCAGTCGCTTAGGAGGCTCTCCGTTGTAGGGAAATTGCAAAAGATGCAGCATATCTGGGTGCTTCTCTTTCAAAACAGTTCTCCAGGAATCATCGGCAACTGATGCCATCTCGCCGCCAATGGCAGTGTGCCATGCCTTGAAATCGTCTCCAGGAAGAACAGGATTGGTTCCCGGGATCGGTCCAAATTGGAAGTCTGGGCACGGTGGAAATGTTTGGGAAGTCAAGAGCGTGTGGGCTTTGGCCTTCTTCTCTGGATAATCTTCCCATTCGACGTAACTGTTGCATAGCAGGAATCACTTTTGGTTAGTTTCATCATCTTCCTACGCAAATCGTTCAGTGAGAAGAGAACATACCCCACCCAACCTTGTCGTTCCCGGGCAAAGAGTTTATTACGATCGCCAACTGCTCGGATTGCCTTCTTGTCTTGGATGATCTTTGATGGTTGGGGAGGGTACAAGTGTATGGTTTCTTTTCCATCGGTTTGGTCGAGAATAGGCAGTTTGTGGCCTGCCATGCCCTGTTCAATCATCCACTCATCGGGACGATTGTTGGTATCTAATTTGCTTCTAATCTCCATCGTAGATTTCAACAAGATATATTTGTGAGAAATTGTACAGCTCTGATGTGCGCGCGGTACAGGAAAATGTTAACGAAATGAAAACGTTTTCCGGTCTATGTGCTCCTTAACTTATATATCATTAGGTATGAGAAACACTTCTTTATCTGCTACCAAGCAATAGGTCATGTTTCTGAACTCTTATCATTACTATGAATTATGATGGGATTTAATTGGTCCATCACAGATGGCTATTAACGGCTGTCGGGGTTGACCGACTTTCATGCCCAAAGTCTGTTACAAGCCCCTGCTTTGGTAGACCACCTTTCATGTTTGGAACAAGGGCTTGAGTGAAGCGGTGAGAGTTTTTTACAGGTGAAATATCAATGCATGAAGAGAAAATGGAGATTCGAAACTCAATTCAGCAATTATGACCTGGCTTAGCACTTACGAAGTCAACGCAACGACCCCGGTTGATGATCCAGACCGCTAATAGTATAGTAACGAGTATGCAGGTGGTTTTTCCCCCACTCGAAGCAAGGAGTCGTATCACGTACGCCCAATCCTGGTCCAGAGTACAGTAGAACTTGAAGCTGACATCAAATGGTAAGGTGAACGGTGAACGCACTCTTACACGAGAACCAAGACCAAAATCACAGTCGGCGTCTAGAAAAAAGTGGATATGAAAACCAATATCAACAAGGCAACACAAACACAAACGCATGAGTTAATCTCTGCTAAAATATCGTTACCAACGATTCGTGTCAACAATCCCACATCAAGTGTCCACCTATCTTCTCCTCTATACCGATTACCCCATTCTTCAAGTCCCCCTTCATTGCAATGAATTCTTAACCATCGGCCAGTTAGGCCTGATAAATCCAAGTAGCCAAGTGAGTCTATGTTTCATTGAAAAAAGTGACATCCATTGGAGAAGGGGGGCTTTTTCATGGCCGTCGGGATCTAATCTGGAGGTTCTGGATTCATTATCGGACTCTTATTGCTGAATGTTGGAAACAGAGCAAAGCGGTTGGACTGGCTACCATTTTCAGCCCGGTGCATAATCTATCTACCTATTTAGCTTCAATACACCAAAGATACAGAGTCCGTTAATAAAGTCGAAGGCCAACATTTTGTAGTCATGGAGCAAATTCCTGAGGACGATATGCACCATCCAACACTTGCCTACATCCCTTGAGGCAGCGGGAAATCTTCACTCGTTGCTCGAATATACACCGCCAGACTAGGCGCCTAATCGAAATTAACAGTGGCAGCGATGACCAGAGTGGGAGTGAGGATATTGAGAAAAGGGATCCGATTATGCTACAGTCATAACTGGATTTTGATGTGGATACAATCATATGAGATGTAAGGGAAGGAAAATGGATAGGTCAGGAAGTGTATCCTGCATTTGACGTTAGTGCTTACTGGCATTGTGTTGTCAATCTGACTACATATCTGACTGCATATTGACAGGGGCCTCTTACCGGTTCTACAGAGCGTTTGGCTTGAATATGCAGCTTGTACAATTGCTTATGCATCGAAATCCAGCCAAAATTCTGCTCTGGGGCATGATAAGCCACGGGAAACCAGTGTCTGCTTCTTTTACTGGGAAGCCGTGCCTGCGTGGCGGTGACTATACTAGTCAAACAACAAAATCGACTATTGATGAATTAAACAGTTAGTCATAAACAGGGAGCCGGATAGATGATCATAGTAGCTAATCATGCAAGTCGTCAACGTCGATCGTCAGCCTGCTAAGCACAGAGACTCTTTTGGCAGAATTTTGAGGGACTAACGTTAACTTATAGCCGTGACAACATGTAAATAACTCCAAACCGACCGATCACGAGAAGCCCAAAACTATTGAAGAGAGAGTTCCGCTCCAATTTTAAAATTTTTCAAAGAAAATTAGAAGAAGGATGAGAATTGCTACATGGGTTACGGAGAGGAAAAGAAATTGAAAGAACCAGATTGCCGTTGGTTTGTAGGAGAAAAAAAGGGACACGCAAGCTATAAACAGAACACAGGATATACAAAGAACAAATTAAATACAAAAAGATTGATGAATCATGAAAGTCATAATCATAGCTCCTCTTCAGGTTCCTGAAGCTGACCAATGTTCAGCTCCCAAGAAATAGCCTTGAGGTCAAGAGTGTCCTCGTTGCTAGCAGCCTTGCCGGAACCAAAGTTCTTCAAGTTCCACTTCTCAACACCCTCAAAGCCCTTGAGCTCTGCTCCGAATAACTCGTACAGGCTGGCATTGAGGCTCTCATACTCGCTGTAGTCCTTGGGCCAATCACCCAGACGCTGCACGGAGAGCTTGAGAAGCTGGAGGTGCTGACGAACCTGTTCACCATCGGTCAACGAACTGATCGACTCGTTAATGTTCAGGTCGTAAGCGGAGCCGTCCATGCTGAAGCTGGCCTCCAAGGAACCTTCAAACTCGGCCAAGGAAGGATCGACAAAGATGCGGAGAAGGCTCTCGTGTACGCTGGCACTCTTCTTATAGTACTTGTTGGCCATGTGCTGGCCGGTCTTCTCACCCTGGTACCGCTGGGCGATACCAGTGTATATCTGAGACAACAGGGTGGACATCTCCAGGGTGCTGGAGTGGCGTGCACCGTTGACACGACGGCAGTTGTACACGATGTCCTCGGCAAGACGGGCGGCCTTGATAGAGTCGCCGGCCATGTAGCGGGCGAGGATATAGCGACGGGCCAGGTCGAGAGTGAGAATCGAAGACCAGTTAGGCAGCTTGTTGCGGCTGTTCCACAGGTCGCCGAGGATCCAGACCAGGTTCTTGTAGTCCTGCTGCTCTCCAAGGAGGCCGACGAGGACGTTGAGGTAGTCCAGGTTGATCTGGGCCAGGTTGATCTTCAGCTCGGCGAGAACACGCAGGACCTCCTGGATGATGATCACGGACACGCCACGCAGCTTCTTCAGGATGGCCTGGCTGGGCTGGGGGATGATGGTGTGGCCGGAGATGAACACACCCAGGGTGAACACGAACTTCACAATCTCGGGACTACGGAAGACATCGTGGGCCGAGATGTACTGGAAGGCAGCGAGAGCAAGATTGGAGGCGCCGTCATAGTTCTTGGCTTGGAGAAGCTCGAGAACTTGGACGTTGCTGGCAATACCAACCGAGCGAACGAAGTTGTGCGACTCGTGGGTGGTGAGATAACCGATCATGGTCTGGAGGAAGACCTTCACCTGGGCGGTGTCAGTGACCTTGGTCTTCCTGCCTTCCGTGGCAATGAAGTAGGCCACAAAGTCATCGAAGACACGGTTGGCAGCAGCCTCGCGACGGTGAGAGAGCAAGAATTGGTAAAGGCGAGTGGCGGAAACTGAAACCTCGTGGAAGGAGCTGCTCTTGCTCTTAGTCACGCTGCGGAACTCCTCAAAGTAAGCATACTGAGTGGTCAAAGTGGCGAGAATCTCAGTGACGCTAGAAGAGCCCTGGCGAACGCTGTGTTCCAGCTGAGCCAAAAATCCAAGGCTGTGGCGGCCCTTAGATGAGACATCTAGCTGGACCTCCTTGGACTTGGAGGTGTCCTTCATGATGATCTGACGATACAGCTCCTGGGAGAGCTCAACGACTTTGTGAGCCTGCTTGGTCGCAATGTAGCTTGCAGCGATGGTAGTGGCCGCGGAGACAAGCTGCTGGGAAGAGGTCTCAGATTGCAAGATCTGCTTGGTGGACTCATGGAGCTCAGTGTTGACAGTCTGAATATCGCTGTGCTTGGAGTGGAAAGCGACAACCTCTTTGAGCTTGGACAGAGACTCCTCGTGGGCCCAGCCGTAGGTCTCACGAACCTTGCGAATACGCTTGGTTAGGACACGGGTAGCGCCCTCGCGGTGGGTAGCAGAGATCGAGTCAGACTTGGACAGAGCCTCGGTCTGCTCTTCGAAGATACCATCAAGGATCGCAGTGATCTCATCAATGTCAATCTCCTGGGACTTGCTGTCAATCAACTGTTGGTAGAGAGTGATGGCATCGTTTTCAAAGGTCTTGGACTCTGAGCAAAACTTGGCGAGAGTCAAGGTAGCCTGGATGGTGATTGATGCAGTAGCGCCAAACACTGCCTTACACTTGGACTGGTACTCAAGGGTGACCTTGTGAATATCAGTGAACTCAGTACGGATGATACGAAGGCAGTGAGTATAGCGGGTGAAGACGTCCTGCACGAAGGAAACATCCTGGAACTTGGGGTTCTGCTTGGGCTGGTTCAGGAAGGTAGCGAAAAGCACTCTGAAGTATGGCACAGCCTCGGAATAACGGCTCTGGGTCCAGAGTTCTGTGGCGACGATGATGAGCGGCTCCAAAGCTTCAGGTTTGCAGACCTGCGAGTCCTTGTTCAAGATCGAGATGATGCGCTGGTAGTACTCGATGAAGATAGGGCGAGGGCGAGCAACCTCGGCCAAGTCGAAGAGAGTCTTCAGGACAGTAGGGTGGTCAGAACCATAGTGCTTGGTGTAGTCATCCAGAATCTCTTGACGAGTGCTGAAGTCCTTGTCAGGCTGAGAAGAGGTCTTAAAGAAGTTCAAAAGCTGAGTGGTGACATCGGTTCTCATCTTGTCTTCAACAGGACGGGCAACTCGAACAGCTCGATACACGCGAGTGCGAATACTCTCCTCGCGGGGAACGCGGCGACGGAAGTGGTAGCATCGGCTGAGCTGGTTGGCGTAGTCCACGGCCTGGTCAACGTGCTGCTTGGGCAGGGTCACATCTTGAATGGAAGGAGCGAACAAAGAGGGCCAGAGACCACGCAGGATCTTCTTGAGGGCCTGAGAAGCATCCTTCCAGCGGTGCTCGGAAGTGTAGACTTTCAGAAGAGTGCGAAGCGCGGTGATCGAAGTCTCGTCAATCTTAGAAGAGGAAGAAGCCTCGGTGATAATCTGCTCCAAGATCTCCTCGGAGATGTGGGACGAGGAAGAGCTGGCCTGCTTCAGAACATGCTGCTCAGAAGTCTGAATGCTCTTCTGGATCTCCTGGTATGAGGAAGACTGGGTCTTGTTTGTGCGCTGGTAGTACTCGGAGCAACGCTTGAAGATGCTCAAAGCAGCAACGGAGAGACCGACAGTTGACATCACCTTAGCAATCTGCTCAAAGTGTGAAGTAGAAGTCTCGGAGAGAGACGCACTGGAGTTCTTGTGCTCCTCCCACACACTGGAAAGAATGGAGGAGGCCTCGGAGGTTCTCTTCTGAGACTGAAGGAAGCGGGAGTAATCCAGAACAGCCTTCAATTTCTCGTCTTCCGAGTGACCGCTGCTGACGCGTTGCCAGATCTCAATGTACAAGCGCTCGGCCCAATCCAAATGTCCCTCAGCGACGTACCTTTCAGCCTGCTTGATCTGGGACTCGAAGGACCACTGCGACTTGTCAAGAACCTCGTCCGACTCAGCAGCAAGGTCGAAGAAAACGCCCTGGAAGCCATTTTGCTGCTTGTGGCCATTGAGACGAAGAGTCCACTCCCGAGAATCCTCACCATCGTATTCAGTGGTGGTGCGAGTTTGAATCTTGATGTTCCACTGCTGCTCCTTCTCAGTCTCCTGGGTCACGTTGTAGTGGGCGATCAAAGACTTGACCATTGAGATCGTCTTCTCGGACTTCTCTCCGTAGTAAGCCGTGTAGCACTCAATGATCAGAATGAAAACCTGCTCACGCTGGGTCATGATCTCCGACTTGGTACCAGTAACCAAATCCTCGGTGAGAGTGAGGAAGAGGAGTGCCATTTCCCGGGTCACGACATGGTTGACGTCGAGCAAAGTGCGACTGATCGTCGTGATCTGGTAAAATAGGTTGATAGCCTCGGGGAGCTGGTTAAGATCGCGGTACAGGACGGCAAGCGAGATCATGGACTGGAGAGTCACCACATGGTTGGGGCCCAAGATCTGGTGGCAGATCTTGCTAACAATGCCCTGGTATGAGACCAGAGTGGGAGTCGCGTAGTTGTTCCAAAGGGTGGTCTGGAGAAGCAAGAGGGTAACAGAGGCAGGGAAGATCTTGCCAAAGTCCTTGGAAATGTCGCCACTGTTGAAGGTGGGAGACTCTTTCAAGTGACGAGGCCAGTATCTAATGGCAAAGTCCAGCAGAGGCCCGGTACGCACACGAGGAGCAACATCACGGCTATCCATTGGAAGCAGAGACGGTTCGTGTTGCTCAGTGACAGTGTGCTTGATATAGATCAGGAGACGAGTCACTAGATCAGTGTGGCGGTCCTTGATGGTGGTAGTCAACTTGCCTTTGGTGAACACATCCAAAACGGCGGTTCGGATCAGACCGTGACGCAGGTAGACCTGACCGTCCTGAAGGAATACAAGTGAGTTAAGCGGCTTCAGAATTTTGCGAAGGTCAACCTTGTAATCGGTGACAACCTGTTTCTCGGTGTTGATGGAGGCCAGCGTGATGAGTTCGCGGGTCAAAAGCGGACGATCGGCAGTGGCAAGGAAAACCAACATGAGCTTGGCATCCTCAGTGACCTCGGTAGACTGGATAGCATGGAGAACAAAGTCGGCAATGGTGGGCTTGCCCTTGACCAGGGTATCAACGACCTTGCGCAAGTTCTCTGGGCTGTGCTCCTGGCGAGCACGCTTGGTGCAAAGCTTAGCCCACAAGAAGGAACCACGAGCAGCCTCACTAATCTGATCAACAAGGGTTTCCTGCTCAAGCTCATTCATGGCCTTGAAGACCTTGGTGTCGGCCTTGCGGTTGCTGTTGGTGAAGTGGCTGCGGACGACAGTAGCAATGTCGTCGGCAACACGGTCACCGGCAATGGGAACATGCATCAGGTTAGAGGCGGTCTGAGGCTTCTCAGAGCCGAGGGTGATCAACCTGACATTGGTTCCGTTTGCGGTGGCGGAAGTGAGCTTCTGCAGCAAGGCATTCTCGCCGCACGAGGCCTCGTCAATGCCATCGACGACAATCACAAGTTCCTTGGCACGTTGAAGGGCAGCGGCAAGGGCGTGCTCAAGAGCGTTCCAGAGAATGTTCTCGTAGTCAATCTCATTGGTGGTACGCTTGCTTGTTTCATATGCATCACGCAGGATGGACAGCAGCTGGACGTTGCCGATACGCTTCTCGAACAGCTGGAAGAGAATGGTCTTCGCGATGGCAATAGGAGTAGTCTCAGCGGGAATGCGAGCGTTGATGGGAATGAACAAGCTCTTATAGGATACACCAGCAATCTGGTCTTGCAGGCGATCGACGATGACGGAAGCAAGGACAGTCTTTCCAGATCCAGGAGCTCCAGTGAAGGCAAGTGTGCGTTTGTCACCCTTCAGGAAGTGAGTTAGATAAGGATTCATCCAGAGACAGGTCATCTCCTCGCGCTCATGGGCGAGATGGGAGGTGTTCTCAGCGAGGTGGCTGAGGACACGGTCCTCGGGTGAGAGCCAAGTGCGAATAGTCTTCACCAACTTGACATCCTGGGGGTCTCTGTGCTCTTGCACAAGCTGGTGACGCCACATGGCATCAGAGATAGACGCACAGCGGCCCCGGAAGGACTCAAGCTCGGTGCTGAACTTCTCGTAGATGTTGATTGTGATGGACTGCTCGACAATCTCATCAATTGACTTGTGGAAGGTGGTTGAAACACTGGCGACCAAGTTGACTAGGTCAGCCAAAGCGTCTACCAGCTGCTCCTTGATCTCTCCGGAGACGGTAAAGAGCTCTGTTCGCTCGAGGAGGTTCACGAGGGTGGAGGATGTGCTGTAGAAGAAGCCAAAGGATGCCATCAGGGCCGGAGCATCGTCCTTGCCTAACTATCATGGCGTGAGTATGAAACTGGTAAACATATTAGGATTTGTGCAAACATACCTGGAGAAGCAAGGCGCAGTAGCCGAATGCAAGTCGAGCAGCGAGCAGACTGCCACCCTCGAATTGACGGATAGCGGCATCAAAGGAGTTGAGTCTCTCGGCGAATAGCTGTGCCCACGCGAGAACCTTGTCATAGCTGCTTCCCTCTGCGGGGAGATGGCTCATGCGCTCGGCGGCAATCCAATCACGAATTGAGATGTAATCCGTGTTGAAAAGAACTGAGGAGTCGCCAAGATCCATTTCACGGCTGCTCTGGTGTTGAAGGCTCTGGATCATGTTGGAAAGCTTACTGCTGCCGGCAGTATAAAATGACCGCGGCATCATAGACTCGCGGCGAGATGTACCGCGAGACATACCGGCGTTGGAAATGCTGTCACTGTCAAATACTCCAGACATGGCAGAGACTTGTCTAGAGTTGACGGGTCTAGTTGAATAGAAAGAAGAGGAGACGTTGCCCGGAACGGGGGAGAGAATACCAGGGGCCATTTTGATGGTTCTGTGTGAATGTGCAGTTGGTTGAAGAGAATGAGACTTTGTAGTGGCAGGAGGAACAGTCACTGTACCGTACAGACTGTGAGTATCGTGGACAAGAGGGGAAGTATGTCGAGGAGGAGGGTGAGTTTCCGAGACGGCGTTCTTGGAGCAGCAGCTCTTGAAGCAACAGAAGAATCGAGACAAACCGGCAATCTGGTTTGAAAAGGGATTCTAGAGTGTACAATACTACCACATTAAGATACAGAAAGAGTAAAGTGGAAGAAAATAAACTTGTCAGCTTGTATTGGGAAGCTCCGGGGCTTTTGTAGCAGTACTTGAGTGGAAACCCCTGCCCTCCGTTTTTCCTTCTTTTTTGGTCTCTGCGAGACCAGTGGACTCAATCTACCTGGTATTAGCTTGCAAGTGACGTCCTCATTAGCTCCAAGTGGGGATGAGCTTCAGCTCGCGGGCTTCACGATCTCCCTTTCGCCTCTGGTCATTGCTGGATCGGGCAACGAGCTGGATCACCCAATGCGCTATAGCATCCAGTGTGGGTAGCCAAGGGACAATGACCTCTTTCATGAGCATGGATGCGTTCATTGATCCATCTTTTGGGCAAATCCAAACCTCCAGCCTGCAGGGAATGGACCCGGACGAGGCCGGTGGTGAGGTATAATCGTCCAATGATGGACCCCGGTAGCAGAATGAAGGCGCCGGTGGACTGCACAGAGTATCCCGTGTCCCAGCTCGTTTGATAGTAACGTGGATCATTGTCAAACCACCTGCATGAGAATGGATATGGAGGGCAGAAGTTCTGCTGAATGGCCACCGAGATCCATTTTTCTTCCGCAGCAGCACATGCCTCGAAATTACATTCACCTGCTTCAGCTGAGGCAGAAATCGTCCATTTCTGCTGAACAACTAGTCGTCGGAGTGACCGTTAGTTTTGACCCGATGCATCGCAAGCTGTGACTTTAGCGCCTGGATGCGTCCAGGGGCGCCAGTATTGTATGAGACTTCCGTGCCCGCGTCGTGGCTGGCTGACAACATGCGACTGTCCGCCATGTATAACTGCGGGTCCTGTGGTCTCTGTCCGTCGCATGGGTAACCAACCAACACGCCCTCGCTCGCAAAAGCGGACATTTGGAACGAACTGTCCATCGATTGGCTTTGCGACGGGGCCCATCCTGACTCGTCCTGCCTCCTTCTCGCGCGGGGGGGGGGTTTGCCTGTCCCCTCGCTGATCACTCGATTACAGCAACCCATGCATGAAGCGTGACGCAAGAGATCCACTTGTATCATTGAATATATCTCGGCTCTCCTCTGCATGGGTGTGGCGTGCGCTTTGAACGGCGTCTACCAGACATGTGTGTTGACAGGCGGCATTGAAGATCGCCCGTGTCTGAACCTCGTGCCAGCGTCCTTTCAGTCTTGCTGAATGTGCACCATAGCCCTGAGGAAGCCTGAAGTCCGACATCCCGCGCAGCTCCGGCAAGATCGCAAAGGGGGGTGGCTGGAGCCATTTCTGGATTTCTTTTGACGAGGTGCATTAGGTTGATGGGTCGTGTGGAGGAGACGGAGGAACAGGTGCATGACAGTCAGTCAGTGGCTCCTGAAGAACTTCGCCAGTGGTCCACTTGGTCCACTTGTCATGCTAGTATCGATTTACATTACAGATGAGCTGCGTACAGTAGAAACCCCTCCGAGAACCCCTGTAGTGCTGGTCTCTCCAGTCTTTCCTGGACTAACTGACCGTATTCGCGTTGGCTCGAATTCCAAATCCTCGTACTTTTGACCGCTGCCGGTATCCCTGACACTTATTGAGACACTGAGACACCCTGGGATACACTGAGACTCAGGAGAAGCATCTTCTGAACCCTTTTGTCCTCTCCCGTGCCCATCCGGACTCTATCGAGTGAGACTATCCACTTGACGATTGCCGTGAAAGAAAATGGACCCGACTCGATCCCGGTGGAATTGCCGAACATGGGAATGAAAGACAAGAGACCCAAGTCTGTCGTTACTGTACTTTCTCATTTCCTCTTGCTATTCCCACCTCGTGTGCCAAAGTTTAAACCCCAGCGATATGTAGGCCGCACATGCCGGAGGGATTGACTGTGAAAGACGATCCAACCTGGAGGCGATGAGACCCACCCGATCCCGGACTCCCCAGGCAGCCAAGATAGCATGGCATGAAAGGCATGAAAGGCATAAATGGCATGAACTGGTCGAGGCCTATCTTTATACCTGATCAAAGCGTCCAATCCGATCGGTGCGGGAATCCTCCCGTTCCCGTCGCTCGTATTCAAACGCCAGTCGGTTATTGAAACCGAATCTGCAGTCTCACGTTCGCTACTGCGCTATTTTAGTGCCGAGGGCGTTCCGGAACAGCCTGGGATTTAGACCTAGGGGGGTACTTCGCCTAGGATAGTTGTCGTTCAGCTGAACAAGAAAAGAGGAGAAAGCGATGATACATTATTTTCTGTGCGCAAGTGTTAAGCCTGTGGAGAATCCCCCACTTATCAGGTTTTGCAAGCTGCAAATGACGCTGTATTGTGTCGATCTCGGAACATTATTTGTGCAGTGCTCGAAGGGTATCCGCAGAGATCGACTCGGTTGAGAGCGAGAAACTGCCCCAGGATCGATTTCTCGGAAAATCGGATTAGACTTCACCCGAGGAGTGCGTCCAGTATACAGGACACTCCCTTTCGTCTCTAGTAGCATCATTCTACCACATCATATCCTGCAACATAATTAATTCACAATTGAAAAAAGCGGAGAAATTTGTCATCTCTTGGTGGCTCCTTCGAAGTATGCTTTGACAATTGACTACAGTTCGCCTGCATGTATGAAAGTGGTCGCCACAGTCAATGGTCTCGCTATAAACTACGGAGGATGATATTGTGTCTAATCGCACGACTGTCAGTGGTGAATTACCATGTACTGTCTGTGAGATCAACCAGCAAGCGTATCTGGGATATAATACTCTCGAGTTCCGAGCTTTGCGCCGAACGAATGCTGACTCGTGATATTCTCAATCATAGCTCGACACCGTGAAAGTGTAGGCAGCGTGATCTCACTCACTTCAGATGGTCAAGTTGATCTCCAAACAACAGGCATGGGGGCTATTCGCAATACAAATTTTTGCCAGGCGAGACAACATCCCGATCCGCAACCCAAGGATGACAATAAACACGCCTAGCGATCATTCAAGCTTAATGGCTTGAACTCTGACATGGATCGGCCTCGGCAGATCGGAGATCGATCCATCCATTGTTACTATGCGGGAACAGTCGGCCCAATTCTATGCGTCTTGGTTCTTGTTGCACATTCTCTCCTAGCCTTTGCCGAGAACGTTCGCCAAGTTTGGTTGAGCAAATGGACCACGGCAGGAGGCGGATAGCTTTCTCTACGTATCCGTGTATGTGGTGTTGGCACTGAAAGCGTCACTTCTGACCATTTGGTGCATTTGAGTGATTTCTCTCGAGCTGATGCCGAAGTCGGCCATTCGTTTGCACTGGTTGCCTTTGGATCCGACGATGCAGGCACCGCTGTCCTTTTTCTCCGAGACTGACAATGTTGTGATCCTTAACCGTTTCAGTCAAGATATGATCCTGATCGGCGTGGCTCTCCCGATTGCGTTGATGTTTTCCGCCGAGGCCCTTTTTGGATGCAATTGCCACCATTGGGTTGATCGCCACGGGGTCACCCTTCATGGCGACGACAATTCCGGCCACACTCATCGTGCTCTACTTCTTGCCAAATATTTATCTCAAGACAAGTCGACAGCTACGATATCCTGATCTAGAGACTCGAAGCCCGTTGTACTCTCACGTGCCGAGGTCCTCGAAGGGCTGCCGACAATTCGGGCTTTTGGTTGGCAAGGCGCCTCATCACAACTCCTGACTGCGCATCTTGATCGTTTTCAAACACCGCACTACATGCTAATCTGCACGCAGAGGCGACTGGATCTGGTATTGGACATGGTAGTGATGAGTTTGGCAACTGTTGTGGAAAAACTAGCCGTCATGCTGCGCAGCAGCACCAGTCACAGTCTCCTCGGCGTCGCGTTGAGCAACATCCTTGGATTCAATCAATTACTATCATGATTCATCACACCATGGACTACCCTCGAGACCTCTCTCGGAACGATAGCGCGTGTCAAGTTATTTGTTGAGACCAAGCCGAGTGAAAGCCAGCCGGGTGAAGCCGCAATGCTGCCTTCGTCATGATCCGACAAGGGTGAGATTGACGTACATGATCTTTCTCTGTGTTATCCCGGCAGAACCCTGGCTCTGGATGATATATCCATGCACATCAGACCGGGCGAAATGGCCGGCGCCTGCGGCCGTACTGGCAGGTGTTTAGAGCCCTCTCACTTTCATATATTCAACCATCCTGACCCATTCTTCACGTTTTAGTGGGAAAGGCTCCCTCGCACTGGCCATATTGCGCCTTGTAGACCTGTCGCGTGGGAGGGTCATAATTGATCAGACTGATATTTCCTAGGTACCCCTCCAGATCAATCCGCGAGAGGTTGATAACCGTGCCGCAAGATCCGTTCACTCTTTTGGGAACTATCCGCTATAACGTCAACATGATGGGAGTTTCTAGTGACAGCCAGATCACATCTCTGTCAAGGGACATTGTCGTCTGGGTAGCGATTGAAAGCCCGGGGGCCCTAGACGCAGTCCTCGAGGACCACCCACTGTCACAAGGAAAACAGCAACTCTTCTCTCTGGCACGGGCGATTCTGAAAAGCCGAATCAGTCATGGTGGATGTCAGGTACTTATTTTGGATAAACCCACCAGCAGGCTTGATGCCCAAACAGACCAGCGAAGGCAGAAAGTCATGCGAGACGCATTCCATGACTGTACTGTGTTCAGTGTTTCGCATAGAGCACGTTTTCCAGCTTCATCTACCACCCTACAGACGGCTTTAAATCGTAATAAACCCAGAGCGAGCTCACTGTGGCACAGCTTGACACCATCATAGACTTCGATCAAATTGCCGTGTTGAATTCTGGATGTCTTTTTGAGTTTGATACTCCGCTAAATATTCGTGCCAGAGATGGTTTGTTCCAGCAGATACACTCTGGTACAGATGAACAAAAGCCTTCGAGTGAACTTTCTCAATAGATTAATGAATGCTTAGTCTACCTCGTGTGCCACCGTAAGACTTTAAACTGTACACATCATTAGACCTGTGTGATCAACTACAGGAACAGATTCAAAGTAGCACTAAAGAAAAACCCGTATTTCCATTGAGACAGAATACACATGCGAATATCAAGTACAAAAACATGAAAATAAGTGGGATATATACACAAGAACGTGAAGGAAATCGCTTCTACTCCGAACGACCTGCCCTTTTGCCGCGGATCGGGAGATGATTTGAAACACGAGCGCGTCTCAACTTCGAGGCTATGCCCAGCCAGACCGGCACGGCCAAGCTGTCGCCATGAGACTGGCATCTCTGCCTTGTCTCACAATCCCGAGCCCGTGGTATCCAGGATCCAACAGGGTCAGTTCGAGTTTCCATCGGAGCAACCGTGTTCAATCCTGGCCGGTGGCATAATCTCGTCGCTCGGAGTGCCTGTTCCAAAACAGACACATGGCATGCAAGTATATTAAAAGAGATGAAATGATAAATGTGAATGTGCCGGTCAGCTTATGCGGCTGATTCGGTTTTGTTCTTCTCTGCTTCTGGAGAGAAGCGCCAACGGTCCCAGTTTTCTGTCACCCACCAATTGGCGACGTAGGCGGCATTATAGAGCCAGTTGAGAACGTCATCGTCGTAGCGCTTGCTGATCGTCGACGCCAGGTCTGGGAGGCTGAAGCGCTCAATGGGACTTAACTCGTTAGGATCTTTGGAGAGATCGGAGAATCGCCATTCCACATCGTTGACCAGCGGAATGACCAGACGGAATTCGGGTCGGGCGGCCGACCGAACAGAAAGCCACGAACCGCCAGTGTTCATGACCGTGAAGTGCCAGGCTTGCCGACCGTCTTGCTCGGTGATCTGCGGGCGGATCAGAGACTGTCCTTCGTAGAGCGATCGGAGATCCCGGGCGGCCCTAGTGCTGTCTTCACTGAGGGAGGCTGACTCAATCAGCAGATCAATGATACTAGGGACGATCTGGCTGCTGATGACGGGGCTGTCAATCTCGATGGGAGGCAGCTTGGGGTGGGCCAGCACGATGGGAACCTGGAAACTGCCAATATGGGGGTTGTCGTAAGGAGTCACACCTCCGTCATTGGGAAGGGAGAGACCGTGATCTCCAGCCATGACGAACAAGGTCTCATCGGCGATTCCCTTCTCCTCCAAAATGTCAATGATCTCAGACAACCAGTCGTCCACGTATCCAACCGAGTTCAGGTATCGGTTCAGGTCGTTGTTGGGACCCGCAGTAGAACCCATGATTTCCTCGTAGGCGTCGTTGGGAATCCCCCAAGGGTGATGGGTGGTACTGGTTAGGTGAGTGAGGAAGAGACGTTCATGATTGGCCTCGGCATCGTCGATGGCATCGCGGATGTATTCACGAAGCTCCTGTTCCACGAATCCGTAGTAGTTCACCTCTTTGGAGGTCACAGGGTAGTGCTTGGCGGTTGGCTTGGTGATGGTCTCTTTGGTCTGCTTGTCATGGAATCCCAGCACAGGAGTCAACTTCTCTTGGTTGTCGTAGGTTTCGGTGACGGACATCATGAACATGGGGTGCCACGGCCACTTGGTGAAGTCGTCCGACTCACTGCTTACATCGGGCTGCTTGCTGAACATGTTAAAGACGTGGCCCAAGCATGGCTGGTAAATGTGGTGCTCAAACTCGCGGTTAAAGTCTGCAACCAGTGGGGTGAGACCGCAGAGACTGCCGGCCAAACTCTTCAGAGTATAGGTCGAGGTAGTGACTGCGTTCTTTGCACTCACACCACCGTAGGCCTTGCGTGGGAAGCGGGTATCCTCGTGATCAAATCCATTGGGGAAGTTAGTCAGATACTCGGCGGTGCGAGTGAGGTTGGACAGACGGTCCTGCACCTCCGGGGGAATCTTCTTGTCTTTCCATGTCTCGGCGATGCGCTGGTACATGAACTCATCCTTCTTCAGCGGGAAGATATCAGCCCGGGCACTCTCCAATTTCAAGAATACGACGTGCTTGATCTTGACGTCACCGCTGGCCAAGGCATTATGAATCTCCTCCAACACCGGCTTGTCCAGGTTCGAGATGTGCAAGGGATCTTCGCGGGGGCTGTAGTGCAGAGCCAGGGGATCTGTCGAATCCCAGTCTGTGAACCCCTCAGGCGCCGGATTCGGCATCCATCCCCACCGAGGCGGTGGGTGCAAGGCTGACAGACCGTCCAAATTGTCAAAGTATCCAGGCATGCCGGTGGTGTCGACGGGAGAGTCGCGGTGAGCACCCTCCACGATGGTCGTCAGAGGCAATGTAGTCGAGAGGTACATGTAGACGGCGTTGGAGGGTCGCAGGAAGCGAAGCAACAGGAACAGACTGAACAGAGTTAGGACAAGGGCACGTTGCGGCACTCCATCGGTCACCCGCTTGTCCTTGGGGAGGGGGTTGGGAAGCTGAGTGTTCAGCAAAGTGTCCGATTCCTCCTCGTCGCTGAGGTCCGCGTTGTCTTCCAGGGCGATCTGTTCGTAGATTTGGGGATCCGGCAGGGATTCATGACGAGTGCGAGGCCAGACTCGTTGCACAAAGGGCTTCACGTGTGGCCACACGCGTGCCGCTACCCATCGGACTGGCCACGCCCACACATGCAGGATGCCTCCAGTAATGGCATGGATGGAACGAGCGGCGAACAGCGACACGGTCAACAGGATGCCCTCCACGATGAGGAATCCAGTCAAGCCAGTCAGAAGAGTATGGATGGCGGCGGCGTCGCCGTTAAAGGACTTGGCTTGGCGCCAGTGGATTTCGGCGCCGGTGAACACGTAAAAGGAGGCATTGGCCGATGCCATGAACGAGACGATCAAACTGCACTCGCATTAGCCTCTCCAGTCCCATTCCCCGCCCGATCGAGGTCGTTGCGGTCGTGAACGGGGGATGCATCAGGGGCACGTGGACACTTACCTAGCTGGGATGACCACCAAAGCCACCAACGCGGCTCCTGGTCGCCACGCGATCTTCTGCGCGAAGATGCGGAACAGCAACAGGATGGCCACATCCTGGAAAAAGAAGGTAATTCCCCACAGGAAGAACCGAGCAGGCGGTAGGGAGTACAAGTGAGCGTAGAGATGCAGACATTTAGCGCTGAACAACGAGAGGAAGGCCAAGGTGAAAAAGTAGCGGCGGGCAAAGTCCCATACAGCATCCAGGGTCTCGGCAGGCGAGACACGAACACGACGAATGCCGTGACTCAAGTACGACTGGACAGCATGAACGACTTTCATGGTTTTATGTACTTCTCCCCCGGCATGAGGAGTTGAGAAGGGGAGAGAAGAACTGACCAGATAAGAGGATTGGAGAGAGTCCAGGGTGGTCGTGTGGAGACAGGGTCACAGTCGTTGGACCCTCCCTTTTTTCTTTCCCTTTTGGTAGTTGGATTGTCCACTCTCGTGCTCGGTTTCCCACTTGGGCCCTCTTTTGCCCGGTTCTGCCCACTTTTCCTCCAATTGTGCTTCGTCAGCCCCCAAACGCCAAGTCTTGGCCCCGCTCCGCCGGATACGTGATTTCTGCGCCCCCCAAAGGCTTTCTGCCCTTTTTGCTTCTCGTCTGGGAAATGGTCCACCTGCCACATTACCATGTTGGGCCTATTCAGTTGGGTGTCGCTCTTGTTCGAGCCACTCGCCTATGATATTCCGCCGATTGAACCCCAGCCTCGTCTGCGCGCTGAGAGTCAACAGGTGATCCCCGCCCAGGGCCCCTGGGAAGACATCATCACCGGCGATTACGGCCATCCTCCGGTACTCCGAATCCATGACCGACAAGGCGTGGTGAAATGGAGTTGGGAACGCGACGATGTCACGCAGGATCTACCCCCTCGTATTCGGAGCGGACTCTACAGCAATGCGAATGATGCGACCGATATGAAATGGATGCGAGGGGGTACGAGTGTCGCCGCCATCTACAGCAGCCTCATCGTCGTCATCAACCACACCCCCGACCAACCCTCCATCGATAAGAAGATCACCTTCGCCCTCAGTCGAGACAGTCCCATGCTATGGAATGCCCACACCTTGGAACCTTTACCAGGGGACCGCCTGGCGGTGGGCACCACCGGCCAACGACCCTGGGATGGTATCCAAGTCTACAACATGAGCTCCGCCAACCCCCTCGTGGACGATCCTCCGATTCTTCAAACCATCGAGGGTCTCCGTGCCATCCACGCGATGATCTGGGATGAACAGGGTCAAATGTTGTGGGCGGCCGGAACCGATGCGGCGGCGGATGGCTCAGATCCGGTGCCTGCCTACGGCGTGATTCAGGGTTACCCATTCGATGCCGCAACAGGTCTCCTGCGTGTCGATGAAGCCTATCGATTCCGATTCCCACACTACTACGATATTGATACAGAATGGGGACACGGGTACAGCTGGTGGTCGGGACCGCATGATCTGGTGCCCGTCCCGAATGAGCGGGTGTTCCTCGTTTCCAACGACATCGGCCTACACGCATTTGACATTGCGACCATGCAATTTACCGCTGCCTACGAGGAAGTCATCGAGAAATATATGCCGGGCTTCGAGTGCACGACCAACGATCGCCATGGGATCAACCGCCAAGGCAAATACGAAGAATTGCCCCAGTCGGACCTGAAAGGCTTTAGTCTCGCCCCCGATGGGAGCTTCTTATACGTGCAGTCTCTCTGGCAACTCTTCCGCAGCAACCAAACAAGTCTAGTGGTGAATGGTGTGCGTCGTGAGATCCGACAAGGCGATGAGATCTACCGGTCGCGTTTCTTTGCCGACATTGATGGCTGGCCCAAACCCAAGTTCTAGACCTGGAGTCGCACGCCTTTCAACATGGCGCTGCGCATTTTACGACATACCTAATCCTGACATACCCATAATCAGCATTTTGGACGGCACTGTATATCCTGGCGACGCATATGTGCCTTAGCTCCCACCACTCACCTCACCTCGCATGAGGGACGTTTGGATGGATTTATTTTTATCTTATAGAGCTGGCGTTTGGGTTTGCATTTTTTTTTTTATAACCCATTCTTATAAATATACAATCAATCACTGTATAAATATCGAGTCTACATTTCCCCGTAACACACACTGTTCCCTGTCTATTGTAACCTGTGTCAAACCCCCAACCCCAACCCCAACTCCCCCAATGCAGATCTCTTCCATAGGGCTCATCTGACTGTACTCGGCTGCCTATGCCAAGCCCACTTGCGACAGAGGCGTTGCTGGCGCAATGTCATTGGCCGTAAATGTTGCGATATCCCCCCTGTTTCAGCCCATCCGGCTTCTCCTGTCTCACTCCTTGATCTGTGGCCCTACAGCACAATATGACTCCGTATTCGGTACGAGACAATGTCTGTGGTTCCAGAATGGCCCCCGAACGCTCCAGTCTACTATTCCTGATCCAGTAATTGATTCGGAGGGTGTCCAAAGTCCGTAATCGTGTGGTGCAAACCAGTCAAACACGCCGCCACTGCCGCCACCTCAGCCCTGGCAGCCACTGCCAAGACTTTCCGGAAATAGAAAGTGCCGCATGGAGATGCAGGTCCGATGGTACCTAGATAGCTCCACATATTAATGCACCTCAACTATGTAACAGATAGAATATGTACATGTACCTTACCTGGTGACTGATGGTATTCGCACCTTTGGAGCAAAGCTCCCAGCATCTCATTTGACCATATCCACTATGATGGGACAAGGCGATCCTTGGAGCACGTCAGTTAGCACTAGGGCCCACTCGCTCTAGAGACGGCTAATCATAGCACGTTGAGCTCGGAAAATTAAATAAAACCAAATCTTACAAGGCAAGAGGAACCTTTGAAGCCTACCAGACGAAGATGAAGATATTAACGGCTGGCGACTGTGGACTGACCAGGACACCAAAGCGCGATCTCCGTTCCTGGCAGCCGATGAAGCGGCCTCTAGGGGTTGTGGCACAAAATTCCAGAATTTGCATAAATGTGGCCAGATCTCTATGCAGCTAGATGATTGCGGCCTAGTCTCCGATATAAGGAGGAATTCAAATCTTTCATATCGTTAGATGTACGGCTATACCTACTTTTCTGTTGGCCGTGCTATTGACAAGTATCCGTCCCTTGATGATGGATGTAAATTCCATAAGAGTGCCCTAGTTGTGCATCACTATGGGCTTGGAGATGGTCATTTGCTTTGAATATGTCTCTAGCTGTCGAGTAATGTAACTGCAGTAGTGCTGATGCAACCTCTGCTTCAATCCATCAACGAGTTGAAATGACACCTCAACTCACTCTTCCAATTCCGCCCAACATATTTATCAGAAACTTATAAGCAATTTGAGGGAGTCAATGTAAATAACAATGAGACGAAATGTGATGGTCAATATTTTCTGAACTTGTTGAAATATATATCTGCCACTTGAACGCCACACCGATACCCATCTGCACCGAGCGTTTGACTGGAATTGGAGCTACACGCAAAATTCTGATGCACAAAGTAACTTTATATAAATTGAAAACAGCAGTGTATGGCTAGAGATATGACTATATCTTGCTGCATGCCAATCAAGTCCATACTCCTCATCTGTGATCAGGTCTGACAAGCGCTAGTGAAATGAGTCTCCACCTTTGAGAGGATGTACACCTCCTACTTTGATAGTCCAAGCCGCCTATAAGTAAACTTAGCATAAATGACTGGCATACGTAAAAGACCAATCTTCTGCATGAGTTTTGCATTTTCTTCCTCTGTGGGCGGCAGATTTACAATATATCTCTCTACCATGGCGCATCCATCCCAAAGGATTCATTGCGTTATTTTTGAATGCCCCAAAAGGAGCAACATTATAACAGGCCAAAATTATACCGCTGGCAGTGTTTTTTGTTCAAAAGGAATGTTTGAGCACTATCAACGAAGCGGCTTTGCTCCTGTTTGCATGCCGCGGCTATGGGGACTGGGTGCGAGTTAGATTTGAAAGAGTGAGTCGCATCCTACTCCGCCAGTGAACTTACATTTCAAATGATCAGCTGTCAAATGATCTGCAATAACGTTATTTAACTAGGAGACATGTGCAAATATTCTCAAAGAAAAAATTGTACGATAGTGCCACTGGTCCAAAATGATCTATCACTCTGCATCCACCAGCTTCTCGACCAAAGACTCCGAGATAAAAAAGCCATAGAGGCGCAGTGACAATCTCTATCCATTACCTGTAAAGTCTTAGGCCATGCCCAGGAGACAGTATGGATTTTTGACTAAACTTTGAGGCCCCGAACTCGCCCCATCGGTATCACCGAGATCTCGTACATTGTCGCTAATATACCAAGCTTTCGAAAACGATACAAAAGTGTCAATGGGGAAATCAACAGCTGCGCTACCACATTTTGGGTAAGAAGGGCTTAGTCTGCTGAGGTTTAGTGTAGTATTCGACCTATTCTATGCATTGTAGATGAAACCGATCCGCTCGCTCACCTGTACAGTAATATCACAACATGAAAAATATACATGTCCGCTCAAAAGATAAGTCGACGCATGAGGCCGCTCTTCTTTAGCCATGTCGAAAGTTTCTGCGGCTTCATCTCACTGGACTTGAGGGAAGATTGTATGTCCTCCGCGAAACCAACGGGCATTGCCTTGACCATGGGACGGTGTTGTGCTGTGCGGCGCCTCTCCTTAAATTCGCCTCTAAAAGACCCAAGTATTCTTGCTCCAGAGTTGTCTACCTTTCTTGCTCGCCTCGCGAATCAAGCCGGTGCGCCTTACATACACCAGCGTCCTGTGACCTTCCCCACAGACCGGGAGAAGAAGAATTGGCAGAACGACCTCCCAGAGCCGGATTGGGACAATCGAGATACCTTCTCGGGCTTGCTGCGTGCGAAGAAGGGACAAAGATATACATGGGTGGCTCTTGTTAGCTCCTGGACATCGACTTGGGTGGGCAAGACAGCTGCCGAGTGGGACGATCTTCCCTGGCATGCCTGGGGTTTTGCTGCGATAAAGTCCCAGAGGGGAAGAGGAAAGCATATTATTATCTGGGACTGTGATCCCCGTTGTCCTTTCAAAGACAGCGATGATAAGCGCACTCCAACAAAGCGCCCTGGGGAATATATGCTCCCAATTCAACGAAAACTGCTGGTATTTCTCAGTCGAGAAAGAGTGAAAATTCAAAGCCTGTTCTATAACGTTGATTTATCACGATCAAACCAAAACCGATGTCTGGAGCACACCACAAGGTGGTTACAAAAGATAGTCGACTTGAACGACACACCCTTCGACGAGAGAACCAACAGACGCGGCCGTTCGATGGATTCAAGAACGAAAGGTTGCGTAAAAGTCAAATTCTGCTGAGAAACCTCATGAATCTGGGGCAGACGTGTCGAATCAACACTCATGGGTGCCAGGCCAATAATCACTCAAGAGTTGTATGATCAAGACTGGCTGATATAGATCCATGGCGAGGAAAAAGGAAGTAGAACAATGTAATTTTATCTGATATTTGAAGTCCAGTGCTGCAGGTGCGTGACTGCGTACAGTTTATTAGGCCTTGATCTCACTGCTAGCTAATTTGAGATTCCAATAGTAGACATGATAAAGTCGTATTCAGAATCCACGAACATCACATTATCCTATACGACTCCTTGCAGCCAGATAGCAAGGTTTCAGCGGATGAAGATGCTGCTAGCATAAATGAGTCCACCTCAATGAATAGGGAGGCAAATGGAGAAGAGGCAGAAGAACCAGCAAGCGTCATATTGGAGTTTTGGGATACAATCAGCGAGATTGAGAGGCAAACGCCTCATGATCGTCCTGCACAAGATGAGATGATCGAGATCCACAAACGATTGTAAGCCTTACCCGTCGTGAAAGTCCCCATTGGAAAATCGGTCTTTCAATTCTAGGTGACTTCAAGATCCCACCAGAAAAGTGAGCTGTTACAAGCACTTGAGTCATAGACGCAAGCTCCAAGGCCATAAAACTTGGCCAGAAAGGTCATAGAGACAACAAGAACCCTTTTTCCGTCATAGATGCGACATCTATTTTTCGTGTTGTCCATCAGAACTGTTAACAAGATGTTTTGAAAGTTACTTTAGAATACACAATATCTCTCATGCTCCTAGAATGGAGCTCACAATCTCGACTGCGGCTTCGTTCTCCGCCTTATTCATGGCCTTAGCCGTCATACCAGAAAGCAACACTAGCTCGAGAAAACGACTATCATGAGGGACAAATATCTCCAATGCCTTTTCTCCCGACGTGGAACCCGGCTGAATCGCTGCCATCCTTGTACCAGAGGCATCATGCAACTCTAGCTTTTTCCCGCTCATCAGATCAGACTTCCACTTTAACCGGCCCAGGGAGGATACTTGAAGGCTAAAATGACCCGAAATCTGACTGAGACGCATATCTATTGATTGGCTATGTAGCGTAAGATGCGATCTGGAAGATAAACTGGGAAGCCGAGCGTCGCCAACCAAGTCCCAAGGGCCTGCACCCCAACCACGAAGTATAACAACGTTGGGTGCTTTTTCTTTGCAGATCACAACTGAATATAAAGGTGGTGCTTCAATTGGATACCCTGCAGGATGGACTAGAACTTTTGTGGGATCCCATGGTGCTGGTCGGAGGGACACCAATGTCATTCGTTGGCTTGCTGTCTGGTTGCCAGTGGAAAGCAATGAACAATAAGCGCTCATAATGCAAACGAAATGAAGTCGCTTTTCGATGAAAGAAAGGAACGAAATTTATAGTAACGATATGTTTTAGGCTTTGTGGATGTACACGATCGTCTGCGCTTGCTTTGTCGGTCGCCCCTTATATACGTTTGCTGTTCTCGTATTCAAGTAGATCGCACTCATGACATTCGAATGTGAATATCGTATGCTAGACAAGTTAAGGCTTTGCATTTTGATCGTATCGAGTTGGCCTTGTCACTAAGACATTCCTCATTCAGTATCATGAAGCGCCGGGATCTTGGCGGGTCATTCACAGAGCTTTTGATGTCTTTTATTGGCCTGACCGGTCTCTTCCGCTTCAACATGGCTGTGCGAATGTCATCATACTACGTCTCAGGCGCCCCATATGGTCTTTCGCGGCTGAAAAGCACTAGGATACTTGCTGTTCCCTTCTGTTGAGATCGACACTAGGTTTATCTGCGCACTTTAGATCTTTACTATGCTCGGTGTGTCATCCAGTCTTGGCTGGAGCAAGCCACGAAGCAAAAAAGAAGGTTTGACTCCCTGCACTAATTGATCTGCATTATGTTGTCACACTTACTAGTGTGATCAAGTCAAGTCAGTATACTCCCGCTACGCATGTCTAAATATGACATATTTTAGAAGTGGGCAGCAGAGATCCAAGTTTATTAAACATCAAATAGATCTGGCGTAAAGGTGAGGCCGATATGATCTTCAGTACAACAATTTCACAAACAGAGTAATAGTTATTCGTTGGCAGGCCGGCACAACAAATTGCGATAAAAACGGACCATATTGCAGCAGAATCTGTGGGAGCATTTCAGGTGACGGTATGCCTTGGTCTACTATGCACTTTTCTTTCGAGGAAGTTCTCGCGACGAACTTGTAAACTGAGTCAAGCTGGCAACCTGCTACCGGCTCTTGAATCAACTTATATGCCATTACGTCTGACGGTCGCTTGGTCTGCATTGAAAGATGAGCCTCGCTTGACACGACTGGAGACTATTCTCTCGGAGTACAAGTCTGATTTTGCACAAGTCTCTTCGATGAGTCGAATCAGGTGGCTGACTTCCACCTTTGATACCCACCGTGTGAGGGTTACATCCGAATTGAAATCCGATGCCATCGATTCCCAGACAAACATGGTAGTTGGTAGTGGGCGCAGAAAGATTCCAGTCGATCCCGAGCCATGCAGTATTACTTGGCCTATCTCCAAATTATGTCTTAGTCTTCAAGATACATACACATGATGCTTATAGTTGCATGCATTCACGCCTATACGGGAACTCTGACCACGCAATTTCGATCAGAGTATCAACCGTGATTCAATAATGGAATATAGAGAACAAACCATCTTTTTACTATTTTTCCATGGGAACGTAGTACTGATCATTCATTTCCACTGTGATTCATCTGCATGCTTCTTCATTTACAGGGCATTCTAAGGTGGTTAAGTACATGGTAGTATTATGATAAAAAAAACGAAACCGACCCCGCGAGCGATTATTACACTGCCTACCCATTGGATAGAGTCCACAAAGGGAATTGCACGATCTAAATTGGATCGCCTGATGAGCCGATACTTTCAACTCGAATGCCCAAGCTGCTCATCTTCTTAGTCTCTATGATGCAACGTCCGTCGAACAACCATTTTGGTGTTTGCATGTTTTCGGCAATCTTTTCCCAGTTCACCTGTTTCTTGGGTGTGTCTTCGCTCACTTCGCGTGCTGGGATGTCGCGTGCGTTCTCGCGCTGGCAGTCTGGACAGTCAACAGCGCAATCGGGCTGAGGGATGAACCTGTCTTCAACAGACGGGGCTAGAATTGTGTTCTTCCTCTCTTCTGCCTTGGAGGGCTCCACAGTCATGGCTTCCTGGGCAGTTGCGGGAATGTCTTGCGACGTGGACCTTTTGTCCGAAGGAGAAACAGGATCGCTGTTTCGGAATTCGTCAAACTCTGTGACAATGAGAATTGCATTCGAGGAAGCGCATGCCTCGTATGCATCGGAGTACACCTTGACGGCGCCACCATCATCTCTCAAAGCCGGAGGTCCGAATGACTTGAGCTGCCGAATCTCGCTCTCGATCACGAACGGATTGCAGCAGGGGTCAAAGATTGCGATCTCACCGGGGTTCTCGTCGAGTAATGTCTTGATAATCTCAAGGGCAGGAGCCTCACGAGTATCCGAGGTATTCTTCTTAAAGGCATAGCCGAGCAATGTGATCTTCTTTCCAACCAAGGTGTTGTTAAGGCACTTGATGACACGGCTGGTGAAACGGTTACGCTGGTACTCATTCATGGTGACCACCTGACGCCAGTATGCTCCAACCTCCTTCAAGCCCAGTGATTCGGAAAGATACACCAGACTGAGGACATCCTTCTTGAAGCAGCTGCCGCCGAATCCGATACCAGCACGAAGGAACTTGTCACCGACTCGAGAGTCCATTCCAATGGATGCCGAAACTTCATTGATCTCAGCACCTGTGGCCTCACAGATGGCCGAGATACTGTTGATACTGCTCAAGCGCTGAGCAAGCATAGAGTTAGCCACAAGCTTGGCTAATTCCGAGGACCAAATGTTTGTGGTGATGATGCGGGACCGGTCGACCCAACCGGAATAAACCTGAGCCAGTGTCTGCGCGGCGACTTGTCCTGTCTCGGTTGTTGCAGAACCGATGATGACTCGGTCTGGACGCAAGAGATCCTGGATGGCTGTTCCTGCTGCAAGGAACTCTGGATTGGACAGGATCTCAAAGTGAGCATCAGGTCGACGAACGGAGATCTACCAAGTAAGTTAGTACATATAAGTTAAAATATTGCGACGAACATACCATCTCTTGAATCATCTGAGCTGTTCTGCAAGGAACAGTCGACTTTTCAACAATAATGGAACCGTTCCTGGCGTGTTGTACAACATCTGCAGTCACAGCCTCAAATGCTGTCATATCGGTTGCACTACCTGCACCGGAGCCTCGCATCTTGGTGGGAGTGTTAACTGCAATGATGACAATATCCGACTCACGGATGCACTTGGCAACGTTGGCAGAAAAGAACAAATTTGGCTTCCTGTCCGCCATAGCGGCTGTACTGCTGGAGTTTTCACTCTGTTGCTCTTCTTCGACCGAAGTAGCTGGTGTGGAGCTGCTACGAAGTCCATCTCGTGAGATGCGGACTATCTCGGCCAGCCCGGGCTCATAGATAGGAAGATGCTGAGAGTTCCATCTCCGAATCCGACGCTCGTCCTTGTCTACCACGGTAACTCGCAGAAGTGGATTCTTGTACGCGATGACAGCTGCAGTTGGTCCACCTTTTGTATGTCAGTAATTTGAGCTTTTCAAGAGATATTGGGTGTCGTCGATATATTTGGACTTACCGACATATCCTGCACCGACACAGCAAATGCTACGGACGCGTGGAACTGTGGTTGTTGACTCTGGGTCGCTGTCCTCTGTCACAGTTGTTCGGCTGCCGTTGGACTCTTCGTCAAGTTTGTCTGTTCCGTTCAAGCTGTCTTCGGGAGTCGTCGGAATGGTTGAAGAGGCCTCAATTGACATGACTGTCTCTGAATAGCCAACTGAGCTCGGAACCACAGCCATTCTGAGCACGGTGAAAGACCCTCACGGCTTGGAGAGAGGCAAGGCAAAGATTGAATAGGGGTGAGGCTTCTCAATAAAAAAGACAAATATGCAAGTCCGCTCAAGAACCCGGGGAATCAACGCGGAAATAAGGCGGCTTATGGCTAAATTTGGCTCCTCCAAATGCCAAGGTCACATTTTGCGAGAAGTAATTAATGAATCAGGGCGTCGGAGAGGACCATCCTCTCGTATGCTCTATCAAAGACCCTATGAGGTACGGTTCCACGCATCTAGCCACTTGCCACTCCAGATATACCCGATGCACCCCTGTTCGAATTATACAGCTATTGGAAATACGACGGTATTGCATGATCCGTGACTATGGGTACTGAAATGGTTTCTGCATGCATGCTTTTGGCAATCCCCCTTACTCGCTGCGTGGAGATCGTCGACTCGTGCATGTCTTGCTCAGACCGAGTCCGATAGTAGCATACGCAAGCTCTCTGCGGCTGACGTTGCACCTCCATTGGAAACATTGGATTCTTAGTATCTGGTTGGAGCGACAGTGACACCATATCGAGCTCCATTTCCACCATTCTCGGGTAAATAACACCCAAATCGGTTCGACCTAAGCCAGTTCCAGTAAACGAAATGACCAGTAGAGTCTCAAGTGGGAGAACTAGACTATTTAGTAGATCCAGTGTATTCTGATTGGACGAGACCGAAGTGAAAGAAACATGAAATGGTATTACCGAGTATTGATGATGGCACTTGGCGGGTCATCCCGCGGACGAATCCCAGGGCTTCGGTTGAACATGTGCTGAAAGAACTCCGACACATCCATTCCCCTTTTGTTGGATTCGACCAGTTGGGGATTCTGGGAAAAAGGGGTCTGTTTGGAATCCCACTACTGTCCCTCTCTACTGTACAGTATTTGCTTTCCCCTCCCAGGGTTTACACAGGATCTACAGTACACCTGAAAGTCAAGGGTCTAGGGTCTAGGGTCAATCGTACAACCTCTTGGCTGCGATCGTCGGATCTTCTCTCAGCCTTAAAAGTCGGTGGGTCTTTGTGTCGTGATCCCTGAGGCTAACTGGACGTGGCTGTAGTTGACTTGCCAATGTACCATCCCTGTAGACGCAGCCTTATGGCCTTCTGGGCTTCTGGGCGTGTTCATTTAATTGTAACCATTTGGCACTAGCTTCAGGTCTTCGCATTCGCATTCCGGGATCTATACGTGGATTGCCGGATAAGGCTGTGGATGGGTCTAACTGCCCACCCTTTTCTCTCGGCCTTCCTCCCCACACAGGTCTGAGGGCAACACGTGCGTTCGGGAATGGTGCTCATCGATCCTCGTCCCCCCCCTGCGAGCGGAATGATCGTCATCAACTCCATGTCTCTGAATTACAGGGCACAGGGCGGGCGATGCCGGCGTTACATACATACGCTTTGGTGGCTGAATACAGAACTATCATGATGGCGCGTGACTCCTCGGTGCAATAAGTAAAATACTGTAACTGAAATAGGCGAAATAGTCTTGTATTAATGTACAATTTCCAAATGATACCCAAATATATCAAAATATACCCCTCTCTTTAAATAACTATGACGTGGGGGCGGCTCTTTTCTTGGAATCGAGCTCCGCCTTACTATAGGAGGCACATCCAGCCAATACTAGGAGAATACCTGATCCGTTGAGCCAATCGACGGTGAAATCCCGGAAAACAAAGATTCCCATGGCAAGCGTCAGTGCCTGCTTGAGGTTGCCACAAACTGAAATGGTCAGAGCACCGGCGAGCTTGTTAGTCTGGAAGGAAGACACATTCAGCAAAAATGCCAACAGGCCATTTCCGAGCAAGAATACAATGGTTCCGGTGGTAGCCAGCTTGGAGGATTCGGTCGCGCGTTGCGACATGGTTTCTGCAAAGGCTGGAATCTCTCCAGCAATGATTGCCAGGATCAAAGATTGAATAGCGGCGAGAGGGGACATGCGAAACAGCAGTTCCATGGATGGGAGAGCTAGGGATCCAGTCATAAGCCGGTTGGTTGTGACGGTCTATCAATGAATTAGTCAAACTCTCCGTCAATGCCGGTCCAAGCCAGAAAACTGTAAATTATACCTTGACAGCCGCCAGAATAACTCCGAAAATGGTGATGAAAAGGCCGAGAGCCGAGTAGTGATATTCTCCAACGGTGGTCATAGCAGCACCGATGATAATCGGACATAAGGAAATATATGTGGCCATGAAGTATGAGCGACCGAACCAAAGGCGATAGATAAGGACGGTGAAAATAGGGACGGTGTTGCGGATGATTTGGAAAAAGGCCAAGCTAACGAGAGATCTGTCGCGGGAGTTAGAGTGTGAACGGCGGATATGCTTCTCATACGAGCTTACAAGGAAAGATTTGACATGGCAATGTTGGCGGTAAACAGCACCGAGAATGCCACCAAGATCATATGTTCTTTGCGTCCCAGTCTGGACAATTTGAAGTATCCAAGTTTCAACAATCCGAATGTTCCGACCGATGCGAAAGTAGTGTGTAAACATGTTAGGAGCCACGGGAACTTGAACTATTGCGCCGCTGGTTAATAGTGCACTGTTCCGACTCGAAGATTGTACTTACTGATCCCAGAATCAGTTTATTATACATGGTCAGCATCATGCTGAACAGGAAATAGGCCCCAAGCCAAATGAACTTCACCGTCGTCGGTGTCTGGTATTCCGGCTCTGTCGTGGCTGTCGTTTTGGCATCTTTCTGGTTGGCCTCGAGATCGTCGGATCCTGCGATTGATAGAGTCTCATCGTTGGAGAGCAAAGCCAGCTCTGCCTCTTCTTGCTCGTGGTTCTTGGAATGATTCATTTTTCCATGGAAGCCGTCAACGATTGAATAAGTTCAGGTCTTAAACGAATGGAGAAATAGTATAACGGCGCACGCGAGGAATGAGGAAGGAAAGTCAGATCTCCATGGGATCTATTTCCAGCGAGCGCCACCAACTGGATACTTACGCTGTACGGTCAATACGAGTGGGGTGGATGTAATCGTACCGCTGCCCAGTAACATACGAACAGGATCACATTTGGGCTCTTGGCATCTGAAGGCAGCAGTAGATCCTGCATGGATGCGTATTATTGCCTCGACTATTTTATTTGTTCGCACTTGCCGGTGGCTCCGGCAGACGTCGTATCACGGAAAGGGGTCGAGCGGAAAGGGGGCTAAGGAGTATGTGAGCCCCCGATTTCCCGCTTGGGACTTGTTTCATCGCATCCTCGGCGTGGAAATACTTGTCAGCTCCATTGGTCTTGGCTGCGTATAGGATGTGGCCCAGTCACAGCCTCCCTTGAATTTCGGGTCAAGATAATAATAACACCGCTGTGGTGTTGCGTTCCTTTTCCTTTTCTCTCTTTGACTCTGCATTCCGCACACGCGGTTCGTCAATATGATGCTCTTTGCCAGTCGCTGGCAATGGGCGAGCCTCGCAGGCTTTATAGTAGTGGCACTAATCACGTTGCTTCAATATAATAATCCTATACTGGGAAGTCATGAGCGAAGACCGATTACTGTATCGCTCAACTCTGTGGGTTTGCCTCGTGAATCTTCCGCCTCGTGCGAGACATGCGATATTAATTTCTCCAACAGACAACTTCATCCACGGCAGAGGTCGTGACAAGATCTTCCAAGTTCCACTTGCTGATACCTGCAAATGGACCCCACTTGCAACTTTGCAGAGCAGTGGTTTCATCAACTATCCTGGGCTATTCGGTCCCCGTATTCAACGGATGGAATAAAACCGGTGAATTGGATGCCTCAGTCACGCATTTAGCCAAGGTCCGCAATGTATTGCGGTACCTGAACAACTTAACATCTGCCTCTGATGATGATCTGGTCCTCATGATCGACGGCTATGATGTGGTATTCCAGCTCCCAGCCGATGTTTTAATCGAGCGTTATTTTGCCGTCATCAATGCGGCAAATGCCAAAATTGCCGCTCGTTTCGGCGCCGACACCATCGAGGGTCTCACTGGAGCGAACGCTCCCCGGCAGACCATTCTGTTCGGTCCCGAGAAAATCTGTTATCCGGTAGACTGGAGCCGACCTGGATGCTGGGCTGCCCCAGATGATTTGGATATCCCGGTGGGCGCATTTGGGCCCAACGATGGGGAGTTGGACCACAATCAAGCCCGATGGCTGAACTCGGGGACCATCATGGGCCCAGTCGGAGATATGAGAAAGATGTTCTCAGCTACCATGAAACGCATCAATGCAACCTATGACCCGGCACATGAATACAGCGACTCAGACCAGCGGTATCTGAGTGATGTCTGGGGTGAACAGGAATATTGGCGCTCTATCGCAAGACATGAGCTCTACTTCCACGATGGAGCGAACGCGACAGATAGACCACCAGCAGGAGACCCTGGCCCAGTGCCAAGGGTAATCCCAACTCGAGTCCGGGGCCAACAAACAGAGTTCCATATTGGCATAGACTACAGGTCTCAGTTGTTCCAGACACGCGTGGGCTCCGACCAGGTTATCGAGCATGTTGCATTTGATCGCCCTACCAATGAAAAGACCGATCTCGCGACATTTGTGACCAACAACACAATCCAGTCCCCAAATTTCAAGCCATATCACATCAAACTACCAAAAAACGTGGTGTTTTCCACTACACGAATTCTGCATTCAATTTCCGAAATCCTAGAGGGCAAACCCGAAGACCTGATATCTACCATCCGTTTCGGAACAAACTTCGTGACAAAGAACGTGTATGGGATGTTCCATTGTATCGGCGAGAAGACATATCTCGATGATCTCTGGTATCGACTGTGGTTCCAGAGATACGCGCAGCCGTTGTTTGAAGCCGCCATCCGAACCATCAAAGAGGGGAAAAAGATCTCCGATACACCCATCGACGGACGCAGGTGGGAGGTTGCTCACGAGTATCCAAAGACATCTGAGATGGACCTGCAAGCTGGTGGTGTGTGGGCCGACTTTGATGGCGAATGGTTAAGTTGGGGAGAACTGTGCCAGCCCTTCGAGGGCGATCTTTTTGGTGCTAAACCTTGATTATAATTTTTTTTTTTTTTGCCTGGAGCTGTATTATTATGCATGTCTTGAAGTGGCGGTCTGCTTAATCAAAATAAGTAAAAATCGCCGCAAAGTATAATGACTATCGTTTTTCATTTTGCACTCGTTCAATTCCTGGACCTTGACATTTGTCTCGTGAAAATTGGGTCGAAACGATTTGAATACAGATTTCTTGATTCTTTCAAAAAGGTTTACCCAATAGATGATAGTTCTCTGTGACTGATCCCTGCATAGCACAGATTAGTAGCTGCATACAGTAATTTGTCTAGCGACGGGGTGGTCTGTGTGTTCGCTGGAATTGCTGCTAGCCTCGAGCTAATCTGATACAGATGAGCAGATCTACATGTATGAAATCAATCTGTCCCGAAGCTCTCGTTTGTTTTCTTGGCAGAGAAAATTCTTAAAGAAAAGAAAATACACCACTATATAATTTCTTTCCCGGTTGGACTGCAGCTATGCCACGTACTTTCTAGATGTGCTAGTTTTAGCTCGGAGCAGGAATAATGAAAGCTCTTTTTTTTTTTAAAAAAAAAGCACAATGCTTTATATAAAATCTGCCATGCTCACCCTGTTTGCTGGCTGCCCCAATGATTTCGAGGCGCAGCCATCATATAAGTTAAGCTGGCCACCCTGAAGATAAGAGAGGTTACCCACACCATTGATGAATCGAGATTTATCCAGGAATGTCATTCTCCCTGGTCTATTTCTTGGATTTTGTTGGACTCTTGGAGATCCAAAGTTGCGCATTGGTGGGACTTGATCGAGCACCGTGGAGCCTAGGTAGTACAATTTGCTGATCAATGGTCTGAGTGCAGCAAAGATTGTCTCGCATCACGGACGTTATACTTAAATCCGAGCCGGTGGGACGCCAACCTGGCGCCGTGGAAGAATGTGGGCACCTACGAATAGTTATTCGATACGCCCCACACCGGAAATGGACTTGCTTTTCACAATAACATCAGTTCCATAACACTATCAAAAGCATTCAGGAATACGATAATATTGCCTCTTCCACCAGTACAATAAATAACATTTGGCATTGCATAGGACCTCCCAAGAGATCCCAACAACAGAAACCCATCGTCTATTCGTTTAACCAACGGAAACTCCCATCCATCAATTTGACACATGAAGACGGGTCGTCCACGCCAGGCAAGTCCTGCTTGATCTTGAAACCCTTCTGAGACAATAGCCATCCGATACACTTGTAGCTTGCCCTCGAGCCCGGGGAAATCCCGAAGTCAACGTGCGCAGAGGGCAAGACCGATGTAATACTATCGCGATCATATATGGCCTCCAATGTTAACAGTTTCCATTGACCGTCGACTTTCTGCAGGCGAGATATAAATCGTGTGAACGACAGGCAGTCATACTGCTGTCCTTGATAGTCAAACCGAATCGAGATAGATCCAGTGGATTCAGTGAGAGCCTTGTCTGCATTCAGATGGACTTCAATAGGACAAATTGTATGGACTGTTCCCGTTCCACCGGTGGTCATATTTCTGGACCCATTCACAAAACCATCAACATTTCCTTGGAACCTGGGCACGCGTCAGCAAATATCATACAAGGAGATCTGTTTTGAGTCGTATCTACCAGGTAATTTCAATATGGGTTTTCGAAGGATCTGGGTGGTAGCAGTCGCGAAGCTTCTGCCATTGGTCGGTATCGCGGTAATATCGCTCCTTGAAAAGTAAGGATTTGATGGAAGATTCATCCAAAATTTTCTCGTTCGCAGAAGCCATTTTCTGGTTTTGGTTCAGTTCCTGCTTGATGTGGTAGACAGCAAAACGTCAGTAGGCCCAGGCAAAGGATATTAGAATCTGAACTAACGTTATCTGTCGGAATGCTAGGAAGGTGCCAAATCAATGCAATCACTTCCAGTAGTGAACAGAAATCACTGTTAGACCTACTTATATTGGGTCGGCTATCACGGATGTTGGCGGCTGTATCCAGATCTCAGTTTTATCTACGCGATTGGCGATCGTTGCCGTGGTTTCCGAATTACGAGGAGATCTAAACCTGCTTTAGCGAATTGAGCGGATGAGAGGTCTACTGTTTTGTTCTGTTTTGGAATATACCCGACCGAAAAGAATCGGAGGCTCCACTATCACGGCATCTGATCAGCACAACCTTTTCAGTCCCACATTCAGATTAGTCCCACACTCATACTCTTGTCATTGAACTTACGATTCAAGTGAATGATCCAAGAGTGAAGCTTTGATTCATAAAGTCAGAATTAGATAACTTGACGGTCACTTCTCATTTAGTGCCGATTCCTCAAAGCGCGTCGTACTATAAACTAGTGTAGTAATACCGCTCTGACGCAAAGCACCGTCCATATCCGCGTCTTGTTGCTCTCCTTGAACAGGTCCAGGAGACGGAGTCCGCCGCAAACCGTACCAGTTGGCACACTCCAAGGCAAAAGAGCAGCACTTCATATACCAAGCTCTGTTCTGCAGGCTCAACTCGATACAATGCGGAGCCATCGGAATCATCTCACTAGTAACTTTCGGACTAGCCAGGAATGCACCCTTGTAACTCTCCAATGCTTGAGCAGAATTGATCCAAAGCCCATCAAACTCAGCCAACGCATACATAACAGGAACACTGACAGCACCCGCATATTTGTGCCAATAGCTTAGCCAAGTCATGTTGATGTCATGTAGCTCGCCTGGGGGTACAGGCCGATTAAGCCGGGCTGTATGGCGAGACATTTCATAATCTGTGAGATTATGCATGGGAATTTGGAGCATTATAGCGTCTTTTGGGCTCGCATCGAACTGCACAGAGCCGGTAGTCTCAGCTAACAAATGGAGCATAGCTCCTCGCGGGCCTTCGGCCAGTTCGGTGCCGATTCCAGATGTAATGAGCCCTCCCAATGGATAGCCTTCAGTTCCCTGGTAGCATCCGGCCGTGATAGTGGCGATCATTGCTCCAATAGAATGCGACAGGAGCACGATGGTTGTTGCTCCTGAACGCTCTCTGAAATGCTGCCACAACTGCGGTAGCACGGTGGAATTCAGAAACTTTCCCTGAAGTTGACCGTGGGTTGCGTCTTCATCGTTGGGATCCACTGGGGCAGGAGTACTTCTTCCATAGCCGGGTCTAGTGAGGGAAATGGTGGGTATTCCTGCCCAAGCGGACGTGCTGGTAATTGAATAATTCTCGTCAACATCGAAATATTGAGCATCATAGCTACCGCCAGGAACGCAGACAATAAGTGGCAAATGGGCTGCCTTTTGAGATGTGGTCGGGAGATTGAAACGACCAGAGATTATACCTCCGTTGGGAAGAGAGATCTCAAATTCTTCCATAATTTTTGATCGTATATTACGGGGCTTGAAGGTGAGAGCGAGGAACTGACGAAAAGAAGTACTCAGCCAGAACAGTCGCAGTCGTTAGCGAAAAACGATCCGGGGTAATGGAACTGGTAGATTTGACCAGTAATCAACTGGCGGGCGTGGGAAGCTAAGTACACTGGCTGGTACCTACGCCTTTTGGTATAGTGAAAATTGCCCTTCATTTCTTGGCATTGAGGGACAACAACCACAATGGGATGCAGTCCACCAAAAAGCGGGACATCGTAGCATTGAGGCGGATATATCGGTATTCAGAACGCCGAAGCACCGAAGATGGCAGTTGCCAAAAACTTAAGGTCATGGTTACCGCTGGATATACCGCCCTTTCATGACGACAGAAATTGGTTGTTTGACTTAGCAGGGAGTATCTCAGGTGTTTGATTGGTGGATATGGGTTGCATTCAGCCCTACATTGGATAGCTTGGCAATAGCATAGTCTCTCACTCTTCCGTGCTTACCTTGTTGTTTTGCGTGAAACAGACTTCCTTTGCTGAGAACAACAGTTCTGTAAAGAAACCACACTGCTCGAGAAGTGCCACATCATCTACATAATTGCGCTGGTGTCATAATGACACGAGGCAAAGCTACAGAGTTATGCGAATGGTCTGAGTCGGCGAACTTTTTATAAATCAACTCTAGTATTCAAAGACCTTACGTTGTGAACATCACGTCGAAATCTTCACTATAGATTTGATGAGCTTTCTTGCTCGTAGAACATAAACTCATCAAGCGCACGACCGGCGGGAACCATGGGAAGAGACAGAGACTTTTGAGTGATCATCACCTCCAAAAGTGCCGGTCCAGAGCTTTCCAACAACCACTTTAACTTTTCGTCTACCTCGGTCGTGTTGGAACAGCGCTCGGCCTGCACACCCATAGCTCGAGCTGCCTCGACAAAGTCTGGGTTGCGGTGATGACTGTGACAAAAGCGGTCGTTGAAATAAACAGACTGAAGGTGTGTCACCATACCCTGCTCCTCATTATTGAGCACGATTGTTTTCACACCGATATCAAATTGACTTGCTGTCAACAGCTCATTCAGGGTCATGTTAAATGAGGCGTCACCATCGATATCGATTACGAGCGCATCTGGCCGCGCTAACTTGGCACCAATGGCGGCTGGAAGCCCATAGCCCATCGTTCCAAGTCCCCCTGAGGTAATCATTGTTCGTGGATGTTGCCATCGGAAATGCTGTGCAGTCCACATTTGATGTTGGCCCACCCCAGTTGTGATGATAGTACGGTCTTTCACCGGACTAACGAACTGGCTCAGGCGTTCGATAAAAGCTTGCGGCTGGACTAAGCCGCCAGGCTTACCTTTCGGATATTTCGAAAATGCGTAAAAAGTCTTCCACTGGGCGATCTGGTCAGCCCATTCCGGGCGGTTTGTCTCTTCAATCAAAGGCATCATCAGTTCAAGGTTGTCTGCACAATCCCCCACCACGGCTTCCGTTGCTTCCACAACCTTATTGATGTTTTTGGGACTGATATCAAAGTGAATAATTCCGCCACATTTTTTTTCGGCAGCCCGCTTGGCTTTCGGTGCAAACTTAGGAATGTGGCCAGTCACACGGTCATCGAAGCGAGCTCCCAAAGCGATGATCAAGTCGGCTTCTTGAATGGCCTTGTTGGCATATCCAGACCCATGCAATCCTAGCATATGCAAGGCTTTAGGATCTTCCTCGTCAAATGCGCCGAGACCTTGAAGACTAGTTGCTACCGGAATGTCTGACCTTTCGGCAAGCTCTCTCAAAAGGTTTGGTCCCCTTGGACCAGCCAGGATTCCTTGTCCAACGTATAATACTGGCCGCTTTGAAATATTGATCAAGTCAGCCGCTCGTTTGATGGTGGATATTGACTCTTTGTGGCTTGCGTGGTTTCCGTCCAAAGCTTGTCGGACAATATCTGATCGCGGAATCTGTTGTCGCAAGATACCCGCAGTGATGTCTATTGGAAGCTCGACCAGCACAGGTCCTGGACGACCGCTAGCTGCTATCTCAAACGCTTGATTGATGCGACGAGGCAGTTCAGCGATGTCTCTCACAGCAACATTCCATTTCGTACATGGCATTGACATCCCGAGAACATCCGCTTCCTGAAAGCCATCAAGCCCAATAGAACTCGTGGCGACTTGTCCGCAAAACACAACCATAGGGGTTCCATCTGCCAAAGCATCCATCATCGGTGTGATCAGATTCGTAGCACCAGGTCCAGATGTCACCAAAACGACTCCCGGTTTTCCAGAAACTCGCGCATACCCTTGAGCCATGTGCCCTGCACCTTGCTCATGCCGGGGCAAGGTGAAATTGAATTCTTTGCACTCGTGAATCGCGTCAAATACAGGGAGGATTGCGCCGCCAGGGTAACCGACTATCGGCGAGAGGGGTCGATTAGTTGTGTTGTATCCGCGACATGTTGGAATTCTTACAGATTTGTTTCACATCATGTTTAATCATCATGCGTTTGAATACCTCGCCTCCGTTCAGACCCAGAAAGCTATTTTCCGAATAAGCATGCGACGGTAAAGAGAGAATATAAAACCCACGAGTCATCAAGATCGGTCGGTCTTTTTGTGCCGATTTGTGATGCGAATGCAGACCTGGCACCAAACTGAACATTCCGTCGGCTATCTTCAAGTCTTAAATTCACAATTAGATATGACTGACCTTGTAAGTGTTGATTGATTGATAGACTCACAGCCCAGCCCCATTATTCGTGTCGCAATTTGTGTTTTGGTCCTGCTTCACAGCTGAAGCCGTTGAGCCATTCCGTATAGTCCTTGTAATATGACGGCGTAGGCGAGTATTTCGAACCAGCAAGGCCCTCAATGCAGAGTATCTTGTTGTAATTGGCATTATGAATATCAATAATCTTCTCAGCTGTTCCAGTCTGTATTGGTATCGGGAAGAGAGGCACCACTGGATTAAAAACGGTCACTCAACAGATCCCGAGTTTAAAAGGGGTTTGTATAGTTCCGGACTGCGATATCGGTCCTTTTTACAATACTGGCTCAATGCATAGGATAAATGAGTCAAATAAAGTTGACTCACCCATCTTTACACTGCGCAATCGGTGTCTTGGAAATATGATATCGGCAATCGTCGGCATCCCTTTCTTGCTTGCTCCCTTTGTTCGGGCTTTTGTTATTGTAACTTCCAGAAGCATTCGATAAAAAAAAGGGCTAGGAAATCAAATTACATGAATCTTTCTAGAAGAGGATTTATTGATGTTGTCTGTGCTGAAATGCTGACTGTTGAGTCATGCACAAAAATCGGGCATGGATTTCACAACCTCGTACTATTCTACTCTGTAAATATAACACCCCAATGAATACTTATTCGGGGCAATAGTCAGGGCATGCAATGGCGGCTCACTCAGCATCCAGGATCAGTCGCGAGTCGCGTGGAGCTGGATTGACAACCTGATATTGACATATTTTGGGCCCCCACTCCTCGTCTTCAATTTTCATCCGAGCGATAAACTCCAAGCTTGCATGTGTTCCCGATAGTGTCTCTAACTTCAAGTTCCCAACAAGAAAAATGTCCGTGAAATGTGTGTCGTTGACGTAGCACTTCAAGATTTTATGCTGCCGGGTCTTCACTGTCGCCCAGGCGCCATTTCTGGATTGCGATATCTCTAAAATCGAATATGAGTGAACCCTGACTGACGTTTTGTGGAAGAGGTCAGAGCTAGTACTTACCTGCAGCGCCCTGAAAGGTGCCGTTCGCTGTGATGAATACTCCGTCTTGGGTAAAGATGTCATCGGCCAAGGTCTGCCCTACTTCTTCGGAATTGGTGTCTACCAGCGCAAAGAATCGGCTCACCAGTTGCTTGACTCCTGAGGAGGGCTGGAGAGAAGGCCAAACCGGTGAATCTTTATCGTTTTGCATTTTGTCCCTTTGAAAGATGCTATAGACGAGTGGTGATTTGTTCAGGTCGGAAAAATAATTGACTACTAAATATAAACCCCGACTATGCAATTTTCCTCGGTCAAATGAGCGTGAGGAGGATTGCTTACACCGTAGCGGTCGGGACTGCTAACTTTGACGCCTAACCTGTCTTGTGCGGTCTCTACGTGACGCATAAACGGCCATTTCAATAATGATAACCGATGAAATGAAATCTTAACCCCGCAAAATGTTGTTCAAATTCCGCTCTCGGGCTTCACACCTTTGAAAGTATGGGGTAAGCTTGGAGCGATCCCGGGCGTTTGCCCGTTTTCGCTCGGGGGATTACTGAGGACTGTGGGCCCCATGCTTCTGCCGCTAAATTGACTGCCCATTAGGGTCAAGGAGAAAACTGCGAGGAACGTATTTGTTTCAATCAGATATCAACGTCTCTGTATTCAGCTACATGGACGGCTCCGCTTCTAACCGATGGAAGGCAGGGTCATACTATGAACTTAAGATTGAGAAATGATATTTTCGTTGCCCTGCTCAACATAGATTCAGTAATCTTCGCCCCAGTCATAATAACCAAAAACATGATTACTCGTCATATACCATCTGGTGGACTGCCTATTTCGAAAGCGCGTGGCTATACAACAAGTGCAAAAGTGCGGCGACTGAACCTACCGATAGACTTTAAAGCCACGCCATTGCTGCACCATTCTCCGAAAACATTCCAAAGCAGTGGCATTCCAACTGAAGGGACGTCCAAGCGATTGAATCTCTGCCAGGCCGTCAATACCGCTTTAGCCACCGCACTGCGTTCATCCAAAGACGTACTTTGCTTCGGTGAAGATGTTGCATTCGGCGGAGTTTTTCGCTGCACGAGTGGACTTCAAAGCGAGTTTGGTTCCCACCGGGTCTTCAATACTCCTCTGACGGAGCAAGGCATTGTTGGTGCAGCGATAGGTGCCGCAGCGGAGGGAAGAAAGCCGGTTGTTGAGATCCAATTTGCAGATTACGTCTTCCCTGCGTTTGATCAAATTGTCAATGAAGCGAGTAAGTTTCGGTACCGAGAGGGTGCTACGGGCAGCAATCTTGGGGGTATGGTCATTAGGATGCCTTGTGGAGGTGTTGGGCATGGTGCATTGTTGGTCTCTCTACTTCTATCAACTTACTTACCTGCGTTGAGTGGTATTTGACTTATTTGGAATTTAGATACCACACCCAATCACCAGAGAGTCTCTTTTGTCATATCCCAGGTTTCAAGGTCATCATGCCGCGCTCGCCGTCTCAGGCAAAGGGCCTGCTGTTGTCTGCGATACTCGAATCGAAGGACCCAGTCATCTTCCTCGAGCCTAAGATCCTCTATCGGGCTGCCGTGGAAGAGGTCCCGGAAATTCCGTACACACTGCCACTCAGCAGAGCGGAGGTCCTGAAGCAGGGTGCCGATCTGACGATTGTCTCATATGGCCGACCACTTTATACGTGCCAGGCTGCAATTGAGGCCATTGAGAAGGAGATTCCGGGCGTCACCATTGAGTTGATTGATTTGCGAACTATTTATCCCTGGGATAGGGAGACTGTGACTGAAAGTGTCAAGAAGACCGGTCGCAGCATTATCGTTCATGAAAGTATGGTCAATTTCGGCGTTGGTGCAGAAGTCGCGTCAACGATACAAGAAAATGCCTTTTTTCATCTCCAGGCTCCCGTCAAGCGGGTTGCTGGGTGGTCTACTCACACGGGGTTAGCCTGGGAGAAATACATTCTCCCTGATGTTACCAGTAAGTTTGTCAATTCTTTCTTTTGATTGCCAATTAACGTGATGGGTAATTTTGCAGGGATTTATGATGCTATCAAGGAGACACTGAAGGTTTGATCATGGTTGCGCAGTAGAAACTCTTTGAAACTCCTAGCAACATTAGATATGCAAGGTTGTAGAATGAAAATATCATTATATGAACTACTGGTTTAGTTTTCTTTTCAAAATGAACTAATTTAACATAAAAATTATCGACAGAAATTAATTTCAAACTAAAAAGAAAAGGCGAATGTTGCTAAGACGTGTTAATAACATCCGTGGATGATTTGGTCGGCATCTCTTTCATTAAACACCCATGCACGAACTTGAATTCGCATCAGTGTTCAGCCTCTTAATTCAATGTAAATCCAAGAGGAACGTGGGAATCTTCGAATGAGTCTTATGATTTGGCTGCCATTGGATAATTCTAACTAATGCAGTCTTCCATATCACCGTAATTACAATCCTTGAATACCTTCCTCGTGCTCGTTGGTGTCGTACTCTTCTGGATATTCTTTCAAAAGGCGCTTGAGCTCCTCCCTCTGTTCCTTTGCCTCCTCTGTTACCTCAGCATACACATCCTCAAAAATTCCCCGAAGCGCTGGCTTCTTTTCCTTTTCGGCATCAACAAGTTCCCGTAAAACATCACTCCTAATTTGCTCGCGCAATTTCCTGTCTTTATTTGCATCCCAGAGACCCTTATTCTCCATCCACTGTCTCAAGCGTGAGATTGGATCGTTTTTAGATTTCCAAGTTTCAACATCGCTTCGGTTGCGGTACGCAAAGCTATCATCGCTTGTGCTGTGGTGAGAAACCCGGTAGCTCATGAACTCAAGGAGAATAGGTCGTCCTCCATCCTCCAGAGCCATTCGTCGAGCTTGTTTTGTTGCCTCATAGACGGCAAAAATGTCGGTTCCATCGACCCGAAGAGACTCAATACCGTAGCTCATGCCACGCACTGCAACACCATCTCCGATATACTGTTCACTGGTAGGGGTTGAGATAGCGAAGCCGTTATTACGACAAAGGAAGATGACAGGACATTTTCTCACGGCGGCTACATTAAGCGCTGCATGAAAATCACCTTCGCTTGCAGCTCCCTCGCCAAAATAGCTCGCCGCAACCTGAGCGGACTGGTCGGGATTTTCTAGTGCGTCCATTTTGAGCGCATATGCGGCCCCGGTAGCATGTGGAATCTGCGTGGCAAGAGTCGAGGCAACGGCATGCTGTAGGTGAGCTATGAGTCAGATACTTGAATATCTTCTATCAGAATTCCCTTGGTGACGTACAATGTTGACTTTGCTTTTCCCGCTGTAATGTACTGGCATGTTGCGCCCTTTTCCTGGATCGTTGTGATTGGCAGTCAATTGACTCATAAAGTCTTTCAGAGTAAAGCCTCGCTGGACAAAAACCCCGGTCTCTCGGTATTGGCAAGTGATCACATCTCTGGCATCCAAAGCCGCTGCAGAACCAACAGTCACAGCCTCCTCTCCCGCAGACACCTGCGAATTGTCAACACCGTGGGTTAAAATTGAAGCAGATATGAGCTGTATTTACCATGTAAAAGCTCAGACGACCATGGCGCTGGGCTTCAAACATAATGTTGTCCATGATGTTGACTGTTTTTTATATATAAGAACAAGCGCTCGTGATGATGGGAATATATTCGAACCAACCGGTTAGCATGTTATTGTACCATTCAAGAACCTCCTCGTCAGTGACATCTGGTGGCCCTCGACTTGTATCTTTTACCAAACCATCACAGTCCAATACATGGTAGGTCGAAATAGGAGGTATCTCAGCGGGCTTGAGAAAGTTCATCTTGGTGGTTAGGCGACTATTCGTAGCACCTGGAAATGGTCTAAGATAATTAATTTAGTCATCAAACAATGAAGCAGCTTGATATAGTCTCTTACGAAGGTTCAACCCCATTTGTCGACGTTGACGAACTGGCTTGCTTGGTAAAAGTCCTCAGCCTCCGACCGCCTGTACGTATACATTGAGACTGCCAAAGCCAAGGCGCCATGGTTCGGGGAAGTACACTCTGCATGGTTCAAATTTCGTATATCTTAATCTTAGGGTGCGATACAAGCAGAAAAATAAGTAAGACGATCTTGGTGATAAAAGTATTTGGTTTGAATCCTCTTGAAGAGTTGTACTTACATAGATGGACATATGCCAGGTGATCCCGATCCAGCCTACTTGCAAACTCAAGCGGCTAGCGTCGGGCAATAATTAGATACGAAGAACGTTTGATATACAAGATCATCTGTGGGTTCATGCTTTACGATCTTCGTATGGAGAAAACCTCCGACACCGAATTGATCGAGTTAGTCCCGGAGCTTTTAGAGCATGGTTTTTGTCATCCAGACTTCTAATCTGGGATTGAATCGGTATACTCGGTTATTCAAGGAGGGAGTAAATCTCACACTGGTGTTTACTCGATACTCAAATATTATGTTCGTCCTTTTCGAACTCTGGGTCAGCTTTCTTCGGTAAGAGAATTATAGTTTTCTTGACCTCTGTACGGTTTCAGTCAATTTATACCGTATCAAAGAAGGAGAATAACACAAAAGATGCATCCCTCAGTTTTTCGAAGGATGCTACAACCGTCAAACGTACTCAGTCGTCACTTTGCTGGATATCGCCTTTACATTCCCCGAGCCCCGAAAACCAACTTCCACACAACGTCGACGCGGGCAATTATCAGACCGTATTTACTTGCTGATATTGGTGAAGGTGTGGTCAAAATGTAGTCATCCGTGTATCTCAACGCTGAACAGACTAGGAATCACGGAATGTCGAATCGTCCAATGGTTTGTGAAACCAGGAGATAAAGTGAGCCAATTCGACGCCATTTGTGAAGTTCAATCCGACAAAGCTTCGGTTGAGGTGCGTTTCCTTTTCTTTATCGGCTCTCTGTGCAGGTACTCATCAGTACTTGAAGATTACATCTCGATATGATGGAGTCATTTCCAGTCTTTACCACGAGGTAGATGAGATGGCTGAGGTGGGAAAGGTAACCGAAATAAACCAAAGGTAACGGAGATTCAAGTTTCACTGATTAGTTTTAGCCACTTCTCGACATTGACGTCGAGGTAGATCCTTCCGAGATAGACACAACAGCAACGCAACTCCCAGCCGAGACTGTCTCTGACGACCAAGGCAATGTGAAAGACAGCATTTCGGAAGTCTCAGTCATCACTGATACACAGCCACCAGTGCCTACTACAATTGATGGGTCGGAGACCAGAAACTCTGGACTTGTTGTGCCCGCTGTGAGAGCCATGATCAAGCAGCATGCGATTGATCTCAAATACATCATTGGAAGTGGGAAAGGTGGGAGAGTACTGAAAGAGGATGTACAGCATTATCTTGCTTCAAAAAGTGAATCTTCAACTCCACTTTCCTCAAATCCTGTTATTCGGGCCAATGCTCCAACGCAAGACAAAGTTGTTCCTTTGACACCGATCGAGATGCACATGTTCAAAGCCATGACTCGTGCACTCAGTATCCCGCACTTTGGATACTGTCACTCCGTCGACTTTACATCTTTGATCAGTCTGCGCCACAAATTCAATAAGCATATCGATGGTTCAAGAGAGATGCACAGAAACGAAATTCCGAAGTTGACACTGCTTCCCTTCTTATTGAAGGCTGTTTCGCACGCCTTTTTGGAACACCCCAAGCTGAATGCTCAGCTAGACACAGAGACAAATCCGCAAAAGCCCCAGCTGGTGATTAAAGCATCTCATAATTTCGGCATGGCCGTTGACACACCCAACGGTCTTCTGGTTCCGGTCGTTAAAGATGTTCAGAACCTGTCCATTATTTCCATCGCAGCTGAGATCAAACGACTGAGTGCACTGGCACAGGAAGGCCGTCTGTCTCCATCGGATATGAGCGGGGCTACTTTCACTGTGAGCAACATTGGAAGCATTGGTGGTTCTGTCGTCAGCCCTATAATCATTCCTCCCACTATTGCCATTGTTGCATTAGGAAAGATGGAAGAAGTGCCTGTCTTTTCTAAGGATGAAGGTGGAATCAATTCATTGATTACAAAGCGCGAGAGATCGGTTCTAAGCTGGAGTGCTGATCATCGAGTTCTTGATGGTGCTGCTGTTGCACGATGTGCTCAGCTTGTGGCTAGAATTTTAGAGGATATTGAAACCATGGGAATTTCACTGCGCTAGATAATTGCGATTTATTCGATAACTTAAACCAAGCTGACCTTCCGTTTCTGCATCCTGCTAGTGTCAGATAAAAATAAGGCATTAAAATCCAATGATATCCGTAATCGTTCAAGAAGCCACCACCCGCCAACATTCTAGCTTGGTAGATTACGAGGAGATGATTGAACGCAAAGTACTCAATTTCTAAGAACTGATTAGTTCATTATGTTACTCTCAATGCAAAACAAAAAATGAAAATAACCGAACGAAAATGGAATGGTTCCAAGATATTCATTTCCCCCATTGGTCCCCGCACATTCCACAGCATGAGTGTTGATTCGGAATTTCAGCGGTTGTATTGGAATATGAATCGTTCTTCACCATGTAAAGTCCACCGAAACTACGTCACTCTGTGGTTCATTTGTAGCCGATGTTTGAAGCTATGAATTTGCTGATATAAAACTTCGAAAATATCCGTTGAAATGATCCCCCGCAAAAAGTCCCAAAATAATCATCACACCGTCTATTTTAAATTCAAATTATCTCTATCATGTCCGACACATCTATCCTTCGACCCAACGGGTTAGCACATGTTGTCTTCAAAACGGCCAACATCAAAGCGCTTGTTGAATTCTGGTCCACGTTCCTGGGAGCGGAACGAGTGTTCGAGAATGACTTCATTGCTTTCCTTCGCTATGATGACGAGCACCACCGAGTAGCCATCATCAATGACAATAGCACTAGCCCTCATTCTGGTACGGCTGCCGGACTTCACCATGTGGCCTTCACCTACAACACACTCCAAGGACTTTTCAAAGCCTGGGAACTGAGAGCAAAGCTTGGCATCAAGCCAACCTGGTGTGTTAATCACGGCCCTACGACCAGTGTGTACTACAAGGATCCGGATGGAAATTCTATCGAGACTCAGGTCGATAACTTTGATACTATCGAGGAGGCAAATGAATTCATGATATCCAAAACTTTCCGAGACAATCCCATTGGCACAGACATTGATCCAGACGAGCTGCTTCGACAGCTGGAAGACGGCACTGATGAGAAGGTCTTGAAAACGAGAATCGAGATCGGGGTTCGACATGATATCCCTACTGCAGTATAATGGAAAAAGAAATAAAAGGGAACGTTTATTGAACCACAAGCTTCATTTCAATCATTCCGTTGTTTATGAGTTTCTTTCTTCATTTCAACATAGGAACTGGACTGCTTCATATTTGTACTAAAGTGAAAAATGTAAACCATTAAGCTCCATTCTTAATGAACAACATCTTGTCCTTTATTGTTGCGTTTAAGCTGGGCTTCCATTTTTGGTTCTAGCAAGGTACCATCAAGTCCTGCCATTGGTAATCAGAATTCTTAAAGACAAAAGATCACGGCCTACCTGGCCCCAAACCTAAGATATTCAAAGCTCTGAGGCTTCAAATTCCATCTATGCTAGAAATATCTTGGAATATTCCTTCCTACTGTACTTTCTACTTCCTGCGCTCTGGCCGAAATGCTGCTCCTTTGCCTAATACCACTGACATACCCCGGAAGCGACCTTTTTTGGCTCCACTGTCTCTATTTCCCCTCACAGTAATCGACCTCCTCGCTTTACCCGAGAAATTATATCCGAAGACGCACCCCCAACCCCCGAACGCCTTGGAATCCGGGGTTCCCCCGCATTAGGTATTGCCCCGTACTAAAGAGGAAATATGCGGCTGTTCACGATGGATCTTCACAGTAGAAAGACAAGACCAATAGACTTTCATAATACCTTGCTGATGCCTCTGTTCGACTCGTGCTTTCCAACTGCCAAGAAGAAAAACATCGCAAGATTCCCATTTCGAGCCCAACTACTTGGCTCTATTTTCAGTCAATATGGGCAAAGAGATTGAAACCCCAATTGTCATCGTCGGGGGTGGTGGATGTGGTTTGACTCTTTCAAGCTTCTTATCCAACTACGGAGTTGAGCATGTCCTTTTCGAGAAGCACACCGGCACCTCGATTCTTCCTAAAGCCCACTATCTCAACCAGCGAACGATGGAAATTCTTCGTAACCACAACATGGTGGAAGAGATCCTTCAGAAAACGTGCCCTCCACGAAACATGAGTCAGGTTGCCTGGCAAACTTCACTAGGCGGCTCTGAGCCATTAGACCGTCAGGTTATCGCCAAATTTGAATGTTTCGGTGGAAACGATGGAACGGAGTTTGCGGAATCTTACAAGTATGGATACCTCTGCATTACATGTCGCTGAGGCTTACAAGATGTACAGACGTGATGCTCCACTTCGCTCTGGAAATCTCCCACTATTCCGACTGGAGCCCATACTGAAAAGGCTTGCCGAGGAGAGGAACCCTGGTAAAATCTTCTTCGGACACCAGATGGTGGACTTTGTCGATGAAGGCTGCTCTGTCGTTGTCCAGGTTGCAGACGAAACTGGACTCGAGAGATCATATCGATGTAAATATCTGATTGCTGCTGATGGAGGGCGCACCATCGGTCCTAAGCTTGGGATCAAAATGGAAGGACTGACAAACATCACCGACATGGTCTCGGTGCACTTTAGTGCCGATCTTTCAGAATACTGGGACGACCGTTACTTTGCTTGTCATTTTATCAACGGCGAATGCAATACTGTATTTGAAAGCGGCGCGATCGTTCCCATGGGTCCTAATTGGGGGAAGCATTCCAAGGAGTGGGTGTTCCATTGCGGATTTGCGATGGATGACCGAAACCGACATGATGATGCGGCATTGATCCCACGTATCCGTCAACTGCTGAAGATTCCCGAATTGGAAATGGAAGTACACAAAATAAGTCACTGGGCTATTGAGAAAGTTCTTGCGGACAAATATCGCAAAGGACGGGTCTTTCTTGCCGGTGATGCTGGAAACCGTCGCCCGCCAACGACTGGGTTGGGCCTCAACACTGCCATCGAAGATTCGCTTAATATCGCCTGGAAGATGGCACTCGTGTTGAAAGGACAAGCTCGCGAGTCTATACTGGAAACATATGAGACAGAGAGACGCGCCGTCGGCGAGATAAACAGCGATTGGGGCCTTTTTACGTTCAGTAATTCTTCCGTCATCAATACAGTTCTCGGACTCATCCCAGGACAACGAGAAGCAAATCAATTCCGATTTCAAACCCTTTTTGAAGATACTGACAAAGGGCACAGCTTCAGAGCTCAAGTTGCGCGCATCATCGACACCCAAGCTATTGAATTCTGTGCGCATGGGATCGAGTTGGGTTTCAGATATCCCAATGGTCTCATTGTGCGTGATGGAAGCCTTCCAACGAAAAGAGATCCTTTGGGCCTCAAATATTATCCAAACACGCAGCCTGGACACCGACTCCCACATGCCTGGATTGAAACTGGAACAAGTGTTATCTCCACCCACGACTTGGTGCAAAATAAGCCGATATTTTCCTTGATCACGGACAGTGAAGGAGAGGAATGGGAAATTGCCGCTAAGGATATTCTAAAAACCCGAGGGGTTAAGGTTGTTGTGGCTCGAATTGGTGACAATTGTCTTTATCGAGATTATGATGATCGATGGAATGGCCTGAAAGGGATTCAGTCTGGAGGAGCCATTCTTGTTCGCCCCGATAACATGGTAGCTTGGAGGTCCATCTACAGGAGTCAAGCTGGGGGTCGGGAACTGGAGGACGCCATGGACCATTTGATACTTCAGGATCCTCACTCGCATGGCTCTGGGGATGGTGAACATTCCATAGCAAAGCTTTGAAAGGCTTACATGAATTTCTAGAGAATACCATTCATCAATTTTAGTTTCGAATTTCAACTATGCCTATTGCGTTCTCCTACTCTGATGTTCCTTCTGGGAAATCTGGAACCTTGGATTCCTAAGATTTGAAGATACACGATTTATCTATCTATCGAAATGGGATAGCGCGATGGCAGTCTGGTCAAAGCAGACGGGTCGACAATAGCAGTAGGAGCATAGGCAAACCCAACAAGAGGTAGGGCTATAGGAAAGGAGAGCACATAGGGATGGTCTGAAGAGAAGAATGTGTCTGTCTTGTTCTACGTAGAGTAGAGAGGTCTTAAATACATCATGAGTGCTGAATCATCCATAGACCGCTACTTCATGCAGTAAGCAATTCCCCCACTACACTATGCGATTCCCATAGCTCAAACTACTGAAAATCCACATTCTCCATTTTCTCGGCACAGCATTACTTTTTTTCCCTCTCCCCCTACGTTGCAGGATAGCTTGAACTCAATCAATAGACTTACTTGTATTGCCCTTTTTCTTATCTTGTGTTTTGTCAGAAGGCCGAACACAGGAAAAGTTAAATTGACCGGATATGAGTTGCTGTGATCGATACGAGAGCAATTGTAGTCATTGCTCTGAACTTCTTAGTTGTGGGCTTTGCCTAACCCGATCCGTTCGGGCTCTAATTCCACTAGGCGGTTAGCGTGTGAAAGTCCGGGGTATTTTGGAGAAGTCCGGGGTAATCCAGCGTCCTCTTCTTATAGTGCGCATTTACGTTGTGTTTTGGGAATATTGCGTTCATATAAATGGAGCGTTTCTGATACACAAAGCGCAAGAAAGCGTCTATAATTTGTTCAAAATGGTCAGCAACAGCAAAGCTGAAGCCTCCGCTCATCATATCGAACTTTTGGAGAATCGTGTTACGACGACAAGAAACACTGGACTGCGAGATGGTAAAGTGGCTGTTCTCGATCCGGAGTCACAGAAGGGAGAGGGTTTGAAAACAACGGTGGATGGACGAATTGTACTTGTTCCTCAACCGTCAGAGAATCCCCGAGATCCTTTGAACTGGAGCTCCAGGAACAGGCATATTGTCCTCGCAATTGTTGTCGCATGTTCCTTTCTGCCAGACTATGGTAGCGTGACTGGTGCTGCAACCCTGACGCCCCAAGCGGCGTAAGTTTACAGCCCTTGCGATCATAAATACAAGAATTGGAAATTTACTAACAATGTTTGCATTTAGGGAGTATGGAATTCCACCAGACAAAGTGAACCATTCTCAGTCCGGAAACCAGTTCATGGTAGGCGCGGGAGGTGTCGTTGCGGTCATGATGTCTGCATACCTTGGTCGACTGCCGGTGCTGTTCTGGTTCATGGTCGCATCGTTCGTGACAGCTGCTGTGCAAGCTAGCTCGATTGGGTTCATTGGCTTTTTTGTGCCACGAGTCATGAACGGATTCTTCTCGGGGGTTGCTCAGGGAGTAAGTTATACTTAGATCGAGATGCTCAGATAACCATTTACCATGCTGAGCTTTTCATATATCACAGGGCGGTTTGATGTTTATCAAGGATCTATTCTTCCTGCATGAGCACGCGTAAGTAACTACAGTTGTCATTCGGCAATGGCGTTCAACTCAACTGATTTGTCAAATTCAGTCGCAAGATCAATCTTTGGCAATCGTGTGTCATTCTCTCGCCCTTCTTTGGTCCCCTCCTTGCATCATTCATCACTATTAGTCTGTCCTGGCGATGGCCGTTTTGGATATATACCATTATGACAGGTCTTGCTCTCCTGGGGGTAGTTCTTTTTGGTGAGGAAACTTATTACGATCGCCGAATCCCAGCGTCGGATCAGCCAGTCCCTCAGTCTCGGTGGCTGCGACTTATAGGCGTCGAACAATGGCGATCTCGCTCACAACGAAATTCACTAAGACAAGCTGTCTCACGGTCGTTCGTAGTACTTCGGAAACCGATCATTATACTCACGAATTTCTATTACCTTTGCATATTTGCATGGCTAGTAGCCATCAACGCGACACTTCCAATTTTACTAGTCCCTTTGTATGGGTTCGGTCCTAAGCAGATAGGTATGTTAAAATGCGCGATTCAGTTCTCCTGTTTCAGACTTCCATTGAAATCCAAGTACTCACTTCTTTATCGAGTTTAGGCTTCATGTTCTTTTCCCCAGTGGTGGCAGCCATCGCAGCGTATATCATAGCCCACTGGCTTCATGATCTTCTGGCTAAATTTCACATGAAGCGAAACGAAGGTCGATTCGATCCAGAATCACGTCTTATAATTACTTGGTTCACGATGCCGTTTATGCTTGCCGGTCTTTTGATAATCGGGTTTACGTTGCAACGCCATTATCACTATATGCTAGTCGCCCTAGGTTGGGGTTTTTACACTTTCGGATTAACTCTCAACTCGGCCAGCGTCAATATGTACGTGTTGAACTCTTACCCGGAGGCTAGTGGCGAGGTCGGAATGTGGATCAATTTCTCGCGCACCGCAGGGGGATTTTTGATCAGCTATTTCCAGGTTCAATGGATTGATCGCGTGGGTGCAGCAGCGGCATTTGGGACCCAGGCTGCTGTTTGTGCGGCTGTATTTCCCATTGTCATTCTTTTGCAATTTCGTGGAAGCCAGTTGAGAGCTTGGGGTGGAGATTTGAATTTCAAGACAAATTAGGAAAAGTAGAAATTCGGACTTGCGCAATGATTTTGATTCGAAATGCACTTTCATTATCGGTCTTTGTAGTCATTGTATTTTTTGGGAAACTTAAGCTGAAGCAATGAAAAGCGAAAAAGAATTTGAAAGGTGCACAATGCAAGTGTAACAAAGGCCTAACTATTCGTAGTGGACTTTATTGATAAGGGTCCCAATCTTCTCGATATGAACTCGAATATCATCTCCGTCGTCGAGAAATACTCTAGGGGATCGAAAATAACCAATTCCGGGCGGGGTTCCAGTCAGAATAATAGATCCAGCTTCGAGAGTAGTTCCCCGGGACAAATATGCGACGAGTTCACACACCCCAAATATCATGTCACTAGTATGCCCATCTTGAAGCTTTTTGCCATTGTGAATTGCGCTAATACCTAGATCTTGTGGATCCGAAATGATAGTCGGTGACACCAAAACAGGGCCTAACAAATTCAAAAGTTAGATTGTCTTCTTATGACCACATTCCAATGAAGGCATATACTAACCCAACGGACAGCTGGAGTCCATGCCCTTTGAAAAGCAAGGCATTGGTGTTTTCATTTGCGTATCTCGCGCCGAAACATCGTTGGCAGCAGTGTATCCAAGAATGTATTCAGGTACCTCTTCGGCGGTAATATCTCGTGCTGCCTTTCCAATCAAAACTACTAATTCCGCTTCATAGTCACTCGTTCCGTCCTGAGCAAACTTTGCAATGTTGATTGTATCCGGGTATGAATTGTTGATAGCAGTTCGAGGTTTCGTGAACAGGGCTGGGACAGGTGGAATTGCCATGCCGGCCTCCTGTCGCACATGTAAGCGTTCTGTCTAGCTTCAATGAGTTTAGTATTAGGGAAAACAAAGGGCATACTTTGGCGTGAAGCTTGTAGTTCAAACCAATACAACGAATGTAGGGACAGTCCTCTGGTGCAATAGGCGAAAGCAGCTAAGGTAAGGTTGAGTCAGTATATATGTACTCTGTTGTTCCGAACAGAGGTCATGACAAACCTTTCGCACTTGTAAAGACTTTCTTGTTACCTGGCCCTGATATACAGAGCCTTTTATCTCAAATGCATAGATGGGGATTTCATTGATGAAGTCTAGGCCTACGTCGCGCGTTGGATCGACTAGTTGACCCAAATGAACTTCATTATCCTCGAAAGCCACGAAGCGAACCAGATGTGTCCAGGATGGCATTTTTCAGGGCAAGAAGGTCATAGAATACTTGAAGTATTTTCCTAAGGCTGGGAATAATAGCTTTTCTATCAATTCAGGAGACATGATGGGTTGTTTTGTGATGGCCGGGGCGCATTATTTCCCTTCTGGGTCGGGAGGCTCCTCGGGCCGACTACTCTGGTTTGTAAGTGCAAGGTTCCAAAAGCACACAAACAACTAGGTTTTTTGATGACAAGAGGGAAATGACATGATTGAAAGGAAAGAACCGAGACAGAAAGCTATTTTCCTCTCTCTTGAACTATATGACTGCTTACTCCTGGATTAAGGTCAAGTGTTATACTATACGATATGGAAAACCCCATACTTTATCGGTGTTGCTATCGATGATGGAATTTCTCCCAAAGTGGCTTGATCTTAGTTTGATTCCTTGAATAGTATAGTTATATTTCTTTGGACTACAGCGAATGACATTTGGCAGGGGTTCAAAAAATGATCATGTCTCCTGCGGTTGAGAGACTCTCAAAAAATTCGGTTGATAGGGTATTCAAATTATCAAAATTGGCATTTGGGTCAAACGCTGAGCTCTGGTTAAGAAAGAATGAAATTCAGCATCCAAAAATAATCAGTAGAAAGTGGTTCGTGTATACTTACCGGTTCTCCGGGAATATCAACTGGAAATGTGTCAGGTGAATAGACGCTCGAAATTTTTCTGTTGTTGGGGCTTTCCAGTGCTGCCCTTCTAACTGCCTTACTTGACAAGCTGATTATTTCTCTCGCAAAAGTAAATGATACTTGTGATGATGTCAAAAAATGAACTCTTGCAAAATGGCCCGCTGTGAGGTCGAGCAGTGCCAGGTCTGATTGCACCGTGTCGAGTGCTGGAAATTTGAGGATATAAATGAACAAGTTTATTACAGCAAGCATAGGGAAGTAGAAGGCGATTCTGGCAAATTAGCATTCGGTGTTTATATTTAGCTATCCTTTCAGAAGTTGACTTACGGTGATGATATGGCGGTATCCAACCAGCTCTCCTTCAGAGTAGACAGAATTTGTCGTGAAGCTTCAGCAGATCGAGCCGAGCTTTTCAAGATCCGATCTTCCAAGAAGGGCTCTTGGCCGGCCAGCGCTGAACATATCCAAGGATAATGAATGTTTGCATGTAACGTAATGACGCTGCCCCAGTATAGGTAGTGGAGTCGTAACATATTTGCTTTCTGTTTGGAAGAGTTCCTTGAAAGTCTGGAGAAACTTTGTGCCGTGATGGTAAGATAATCCGAGAGAGAGTTTCGCCATATTTGCAGCTTTTCCTCCAGGTTTTCGATAATCTCGAATAGTGAGGTTAATGACTGGCTAAATGCCTGGACAGACAGAAGCTGTTTGCTTATCCCGGCACAGATTTGAGCGTGTTCTATAATAGCGGTTACCACTTCGATATCTGATGTGGCTTCATCAGGAAGCTCGTTGGGTATTTGGCAACTTATTTCATCATCATCAAAGGCCTAGAATGAGTCAAAAATAGTGGCCGAGGAATAAAGGTAGGTTATGCTTAGATACCGATGGCCGACCTGACCGCAACGCAATATTCTTGTCGTAGTAGTACACAGCCCAGAAGACCCAACTCCGATGTAGCGTCTCCGAGTTAGGGAGGTTCCATGCTCTTGATGGCTGTCGGTGAAGACCCTTTGATTGGGCTAGTCGCGCTGCTGCACCGCAAAGCATGTACTCAATGGCTGGGCTTCCTAGAAGCTCGGCGAATGACGTCTAGGCATTTAGTCGGATATCAGCCTACCATATATTGAAACAAACTTACCATCACGATCAAAGCTTGTACGGCCATCAACCCGCTAGGCATGAAGAGGAGATCTGATAAAACAGAAAAGGAGTTGTGAAAGAATCGTAAAGACTCAGACTGGACTTCTGCAAATTCTCCAGTTCCGTTAATCGATGCTGCAGTTCTAAGTCCCACTGCGTACACCGCATTTCGTAAAGCATACCAAGCGACGTCCTCATCGGGTCTACTGGCATTCTGGAAATGAACCCGAAGCCGAGTCTCAAAATCAGACCGGAGAACAACACTCAAGACACTATCTTGTGAGTTTTCAAAGTAGGCTTTAACACGACCTTAGCATGTAATACGGGGAATGCTGGGGGTTTTGCGCACCTGTTACGTATGTCCACGCCTTTTCAACTTCAGGCTCTAGACAACGTTCGCGTATTTTCCCTGAGCCCAATGTTAACTTGTTTGTCCAACCCATGACTAGCTCCTTGGCAATTTGATAAAACCGGGTGGTCCCAGTTTTAGAAGAGACCCATTGCAGACCAGGGGTTGAACAAATAGAGAGCCATGAGCCAGGCCCTATTTCAGTCAGTATCATGATATTTACCAATAGACACTGCTTTAACTAACCATGGTGCTCCCAATTTACCTATAATCCGAATGAGCGGGGAATATATCAGAGATAGAATCAGCAACATACAGCTTGGAGGTCCATAGTAGCCTCTTCTTTGTCAATTTCGGAATCTCGAGGAGTTAACAATATCCCACTGGAAGATTGATGATCATTCTGACGAATGGGTATCGGTAAACCTCCTCTTGTTGAATTAAGGGCAGTGGACATCACCACAGATGTCAACGGGTCTGCCGAGCTCGTCTCTCCGCCAAGATTTGTGGACCTATTTGGTCCACAGGCACTTGATTGTGGAAATATGATTGACTGGGTAGACTTTGGAACCGCAAAGGTTGGACTAGGCGGTGACGCCAGTGAAATTATACCATAATGACTGCGGTCGTTTGTTACTGCAAATGAGTTTCCTGGATCCCCAAAGCTGCGTGGGGTTTCCACGGGACCTGCTTGGCTTTTTCGGCCTCTTCGCTGCAGAGGGAGATATCTGCATTGCTGTTCATGATCCTGTATTGAATGTTAATATCTACCGCCGACAGTTTCTAAACTTGACATACGATACAATTTCCACAAGGCACTGCACCGTCACCTTCGAAAACAAATCAGTAAGTTGCCACTTCGTCATTGGTTTCGGTTGCTCACATTTCACCTTTTTCTTCCTGCAAAAACTGCAAGCCTGGGATGACTTGTGTTCTCTGTTTGGAGGCATAGAGGTCTGAAAATCCTGAAGAGCACTACAGTGCAGATGTGGAGAGAGGTAGTGCAGTTGTGGGGAAGTAAATTACTACGCTTAAGGCGGAGATAGTGACGGCAAAGCCGGTAATCCGAACTGTGATTTGTTCAATTTGCGCATAGAGAGACGCATATTGAGTTTACCAGCTAACCAATGGACAATGGACAAAATTCAATCCATACTTCACGGACTAGGATGTGTAGGTTTATGCTAGATTTTACGGATTCGTCCGATGTAAATGACGAGAAGAATTATGAAAATATAATGTGTTGGTGGACATGGCGATCGGACATCGGTGTTTGATGCGCCGAGACTCCGAATGCCGACAGCCTTTTGCCCGAACGTTTTAGGAAAGATTTTCATGTATAGCACAAATATATCCAGAATACTCTGTGATCGACCTGAGAAGCCACGTATGGCAAGCTAATCATGTTTCCTGGATCGCGTTCTGAGGCTTAAGATCCTTCGTAACTTGTAATATCCCTAAGGAACAACAATAACATAGTGGAGATTGCAACTGCTCGTTGGTTTCAAGACAATATATGCAAGCACACAATGTCACCCCAGAATTCAAGAGTGATTTTCAATACAATTCGATCAAGCTTCTGAACGCACGAACTCCTGCCCGGCGACCCAGGTCCTTTCAATTAAACGTGTTGCCTTGATATCATCAATCGGATTCTCTCTCACCAAAACCAAATCGGCTCGATAGCCAGGCTTTATAACTCCGCGGTCGTGTAATCCAAAATATCTTGCTGGTAGACTCGTTGCAGCGCGAAGAACCTCCGTTGTTGACATCCCGCAGCTGACGAGAAGCTCCAGCTCTTCGTGAAGACTGACGCCATGATCAACCTGCGATGGTACGCCAGCCGCCTTGTTAGCATCAGTGCCGGCGAAAACACTGACACCCGCTAAGTGAAGCGCAGCCACATTTTTGCATGCAGTTTCAAATTTCTGGTTTTTGGATCGCGCCACTCCTTTCATCATGGTCAACGTCGGGATACTAATGCGCTTATTCTCAACCATATCTTGGATATCTTGGTCGCTCAAGGTACCATCCACTGCAGTATGCGTAATGATATCTGCACCAGCTAATTGAGCCATGTGCGTAGCAATTAGAGTTACAGCATGAGCAATAACAAGTTTCTCATTCCGATGGGCTTCCTTTGTGAGAGCGTTGAGGGTTTCTTGGTCTGGCCCTGGTACATCGGCGACAATTTTGATGTAATCTGCCGCTTCCGCGATCCGATCAGCCACGAATCTTTCCGCATCAATGGCATTGGCAACCAAAGCTTCACGGGGTAGACTGGGAATGTGACTATGAACACTTCCGGGGGCTGTCGCAGGGATACCACAGGCACGGATATCAGTCACGCCTTTTTGGTTGCGAAGTGATTCGAGGAGCTGAATTGGCCAAGTCCCCATGTCGAGAGCAGTAGTAATGCCAAACTCAGTCATTCTTGTGAGATCATCTGGCCCTGTCAAATGGACATGACAATCAATCAGCCCCGGGAGCAGAATAGCTCCGCGGGCATCGATAGTCTTTGTAGGAATCACATCCGAGCTACCAATTGCTTCGCCTTCAATAATCACGGTGGAGGGGTCGCAGATTTTGTCTCCGTCAAAGACTCTGACGTTAATAATGGCGGTTGCTGCCATCTTCTGCTTAGAAGTCGATATGGCGAGATGTAACGCTGAGTTTTGTAATCAGGAAATAACGGTAAGAACCAGGGCTGCGAGTCAAAATAAGTCGTGAATTCCAGTTATTCAAGCTCGGAGGACATGATGAGAGTTTTTTTTTATTGTTGAACCTTTCGGAGATCGTTGAATGAGCAAAACGCAGATGACGTCTGATGTAATTGGAAACCTTGAATTTCCTAAATTGTTCGGGCCGAACCAAATAGGTGAACTATGGCTCCACAAGGAAAGTGAAGGTCTACTCTTCCGCGCCTTGAAAGTCATTTAAATGTTTAGGTGATTGGGTGGAAGGCTAAATGTATGTATACTTCAAACATCACCGAGGGTTAGCAATAGTAATGTTGATTATTTCGTGTAGAAGTGTCTCTGTCAGCGACCCACAACCTATAGCAACAAGGTCCCAACTATATATATCAGAACACAACACTCGATCTGCAAAAAACCCTATGGTTACCTCATTTGCAACAGCAGACACGAGGTAACCATTGATCGTCTTGATCGCTTGCTTGTAAGCAAAAAGACTCTGTAGTCTTCCCTCTTAGATCGTTCTCTAGCTATCTGTCACGTGACCTATATGCTCATCAGGTCTTCAGTCTAGATTGAATCGCAAATCAAGCGTGCTTAAGAATTTTTAATGAGATTTTATTCAGTGTGACTACCCTTTCTGATAGCTATTCTCTAGGCCTGATACCGAGCACCCGTATGAAGCGTCGGTAGCCCGCATAGGAAAGGTCGCACTCGGCAGACATTATCCTGCCTACAGTTACTAGTACATATCGGTTCCGATAAAAATGATCGTAAACAAAAAAAGGCACAAAATGCGTAACGCTCAAAAAGGTCCACCAACTCCTGGTAATGAGTAATCAAAAGGATCAATCTTCAGGATCTTGTTTCTGTGGTTTCTTCATCGATTTCCACTGCACAAGACCTGCGCCAACAAAGGAAAGTAATGCGGCAGCAACAGACACATAGAATGTCTGCGTAACAGCAATATTGTATGCATAGAGCACAGATGGGAGAACTTCTTTGGACAGACGTTGCGACAAGTTGGCTGCGCCACCTTCTAAGACCGACTTTGGGTTGACCTTCGGGGCGTATGTAGCAATGCTTGCCACAAGGCGATTTTCAAACACAGTCTGAGCAACTGAGATGAATATGGCACCACTCAAACTCTGTGCAAAGGTAATTATGGCAATTCCAATCGGTATATCATCCAAGGATAATACAGTCTGGAGGGCATTAATGCATTGTTGGAATCCGAGTCCTGCACCAACTCCAATGATCACTTGATACCCAATCCATTTCGCATGTCCGGTATTTATCTCGAAGGTTGTGCACAGGCCGGAGCCAATTGCGAGAAAAACACTTCCGACGAACATCAAGGGCGTATAATACCCAACAATGTTAACTAGAAATCCCCCCAGAGCGGAACAGACAATCATGGTCACGACCATCGGAAGAGTGTTGATACCAGATTCAGACGCAGTATCTTCCTTGATTGCTTGAAACCAAATAGGAAGCTAGAGACATATCAGCAAAATATTAAGAATAAAGAATCATTAGGGCTCACATAGTATCCAAAGACAAAGAAAGATCCTCCAAGAAAAGTAGCATGAATCACTGCACCAAGCACATTCCGGTTCTTGAGTAAACGAGGTGGTACTGTCGCTTCATCCTTTTTCCAAATCTGAATGATACACCACAAGGTGCCGAAGACCCCAAATAAGACAAAAAGCGCAATGATTCGTGCATTATCCCAATCATATTTGGTTCCGCCCCATTGCAAACCCAACAGTATTGAGACTATTGCCGGGATAAAGGCAAGAATACCAAGGGGATCCATTCTTTTCAGTTGTCCCATTGTGTTGAGTTTCGGCTTGACTTTTACCGAGTCTTTGAAGCAAAAGATTATCACCATCCCTGTTATGGCGCCAAATGGTATGTTTATCCAAAAGCACCATCTCCAACTGACATGATCAGTCAGTACTCCGCCTAGTCTATTGCAACGTTAGCTCTCTCTTCGAGAATGATTATCCCGATAGTATCTTACAGTGGTCCAGTGATTGTTGCAATTCCACTCGTGCTACCGATGATTCCGTAATAAAGTGCCCGACGGTGAAGGGGTACACTGTTTGCAAGCACCAGCAAAGCACCCGGCGATAGTCCACCTGAGCCAATACCAGAGATAGCTCTCCCCAGGATAAGACCCTTTGAAGTCGGAGTCACCGCGCATACCAGGGATCCAATCTCAAACAAACCCAAAGCGATCATATATGTCCATTTTGTAGAGTAGTAGGTGTATATCTTGCCAAACGGGAGTGTGACAGCACATGTCGTCACGAGGTACGCGCTGGCATACCAAGATATGTCGCTTAATGAGTTGAATTGCTCGGTAATTTTGGGTACCGCGGTGGAGAGGATTGTATTGTCCTAGAAGATAAAAAGGGATTGGTGTTAGATGTCAAGGGCGATAAATATCGATCAACCAAATGTTCCGGTCATGCTTACCAGGGCGATGCAGAAAGACTGAAAACATAGTCCTACTAAGATCGGCGCAAGTTTCAAAGTCGATGGATACGCCGGCTTCTCATCGTTGATGCTATGGTCACTCCCAGTCTCTTTCAACGGGATGTCATCTCGGTTCGAACAGACTTCATCCCGAGACTCTCTCAAGCTTGGACTGTCTGCCATGAACTGTAACTTTGTTTCCCCCAGTTCTTGTTCAAACTGTGGGGGGTCATGAAAATTTGCTTGTTGTGCAGCATTCGATGCTAAATGTGATCTGGGTGGTGCTTGGTGCTGTAAAGTATAACCTCCGATCCATTCATTGAAGGATGTATAGGGGTTTCTTGTAGGACAGCTAGCTACATTACTTCTGTCGGCTGCAGCACATCAAGCTATGCAAGGGGTATAGCCTTTTTGTAGCTGGGATCTTTTGTTGCCGACATTCTTTCCATGGTACTTGGTATGCAGTAGCTTCTATCGAGACGCCCCAGCGCTGAGACAATGGCTCTTCAGTTTATTAGATCTAGTTATTGTGCACAATTACTGAATATGAATTTGTATAAAAGATAAGTCAGTCTCAGACAGCTGGAAATTACAATATTGTTCAACGGTTTGTCGATCACATCCAACTCCAACTTTATCAACACCAACCCCCTACATTCCTCAGGCATTGTAACCTCACGAAAAACTGACAGACCCCGAATTTTCAATCCGAGGCAGATCAAAAGACGGTTAACGTTTGATGATATGGAGTGTCGTGGAAAGCTCCGTCTTTCTCGTTGGACGAACCTTAGACATCGATCGATCACAGGCGTAATCATAAGCATGTATTTCACGAATACAACCTGTTTCATTTACGCCGAAGAAAATAAATCCTGTTCTATCATGTTTGGAAATCAGAGATAAATTAGTCAGCACCCTGGGTTGATGGCAACGTGACATTGGAACCCCTACTGTGCGCCGATGTGCTACCCAAAGATGGCCAAGACATCAATTCCCAGTTGAAGAAAACGCTCAGAGCTACTGAAGGTAGGCTTGCCTATTCCAAAGTGCTATCGTCGCCTGGCGCTCTTCGATGGGCAGATTTTGTATTTTGCGCCAAAAGAAAGTATCGTCTCAATACAGGGGCCCGGTTAGCCCGGTCATTCTACGGATACAAAGTCCGCGCAGGTTACGTAGTACGAATATTCTGCTATCCGGAAGGGGTTCTGGAAGGGGTTCTGGTTAGCAAGAACAGATCCTTGGGACCGGCAGATCAACGAAGAATCTTGATCCATGATACAGTACAGTAGACTCACGGCGCAAGTTGAAAATATTCCGAGGAATGTATGTGAGGTCATTCCCAGGTGACTTCCCCATACCCATCTGCCCTGTTTCCTGGTTATGTTTAACTCTCTCATAGCTGTTGGTGAGATTGAATATGACTGGGCTGCTGAATTTGACCAAAATTGAGTCGTCAGTCTGTATACTTGACCGCGTCAGACAACAAAAGACACTTAATATTGATGTTTTTGCTCCATCATTCTCCCCAAGCTCTTTAGCTGCGATGTCGGCCATTGTGATCAGAACGAATTATCTCAAAATACTTCCTTCATCTAAGTCACTGATAAAATCATCCCTGTCTCTCTGAACTACCAGTTGGGTAGTAGACAAAATGAGTTGAAACTATCTGCAAAACTGGGACTTTATAACTCAATTCTCAAAAATTCGGGTCTGTATCACTTTTTTGAAAATTGGTTATGGTTGCAACATGCACTGATATTCATACTCGGCCAGGTCGAAATTGTACCCAAGGAAGGACCTTCCACCGCAGCAGTGATGAACCCCTTCAAAGAATATTGACAATCTGTCCGTGTCCCATCACACCACGAATCAGGCGCCAATCTCATATCATATCGGAAAAGCATTCACGCAATGGCCAAATTTAGCTCCGCCCACGCGAGTCTCCAAGCGACACACGACCGGGGTCCATGACTGAAAGGGCAGAATCCTTCCCGGTTAGAACTGATTTGCTTTTCTGCACTATTAAACTTCGGACTTTTGTCGTTCTTATCTTTTAAATGATTGAAACATCGTTCCAGGTGGAACTCATCGGGAGCCGAGAAGTATCTCGAGTTCCCTTGAAGTGTGTAAATAGACGTTCCCACTGTAATTCCGGCAGGAATGAACTCCTGGTCGATTTGAAATCTGCCTTTTTAAAATATCCGCGGAGGAGAGTTGAGGACAGATGTAAGTAGACGTAGTGATTCGTTGATACATACTTGAAGGAACTTGCACGAGTTGAGTTTCTGGCCTAGGTGGATCTCATCTTCTCCAGACAACACCACACGGACTTGCTCTGTTAAACGCGTGAGCACAGCCGGGTGATGACCTATGAGAAATCATACCACTCGTTGCAGTAGAGGTAGTGTCGGGGCCTGAATAATAAGAATGTCAGTATGAATTTATCCATGAGCTATGTACGTTGAAACTATTCTAATACAAAAATAATCGTCTATTGACATGTTTCAACAAACGAAATTAATGCCAGTGACAAGATATAATACCCTCAAAAATAAACGATTCAAGTCCATTTTGTTAGTCAGTTTCTGGAATATATAACATTTGAAATTGATATCTATGAGCATAAACCGATGCATTGCTGTCTCCCTTGATTTTCATTCGTGACTTCCAGAATCAAGGCCCACCGCACCGCACATCGGCCTAAAGCGCCTTTCTTTGCCAAGACTCTGGATATACTCAGCTTGGCTACCTTTTTTGTCCTTCGCTGAAGACGCTAGGTCGGTGGAGATGCTGCGATCAAGTGACTTTGCAAACGTTATCCACGAGGTGCAAGCCTTGGATTGCCTGAAGTTGAAGTTTCAAGGACTTCATGAACTGTATCCCAGCAAGTCAATACTCACAATATGATTCAATCTTCTAGCTAAAATATCCTCAATAGAATTGCCCTGTCCAGCACATAGGATTGATGATATACCATCGTGGTGCGAGAGTCCTATATCAAAATTCACCACTATCCAGCAGAGACCAGGCCTTGTAGAGAGGCTCTAATGACCGACCATCGATTCGAAGATGGGGGCGAATCTCTCTCCAACGGGCTTGGCAGCATCCACAATCTTACGCATCTCCTTGACTTCCTCGTCCGATAATTCGATATCACGAGATGCCCAGTTCTCTGCCAAGCGTGAAGCCCTAGTCGTTCCGGGGATAGTGATCAATCCTTGCGCAGCAACCCAGGCCAGGGCAATCTGCGCAACTGAGCAACCTTTTTTGGTGGCTAGCTTCTTGATCTCATCAACAATAGCCTTGTTCTTGTAGAAGTTTTCGCCCTGAAATTTAGGGACTGAATTTCGAAGGGATCAGTTTCTCGCGTATCCAAGAGGACTTTTTGCAAAATGCGAATTGAGTGACATACCAGTGCGTCGGAAATCAGTAGGAGCGAAGTCGTCAGGAGATTTGTACTGGAAGTCATCTACCAGCCAGCCGTGCCCCAGAGGGCTGAATGCCACAAAGGCCACACTCAATTCTTTTGCTGTTTCAATCAGGCCACTGGTCTCGTGGATTGTCTCAAAGGCAGAGTACTCGGCTTGAACCGCATCAATCTTAGCGACTATGATATGTAAGCGCGCACTCTCCCGTGTGGACTTTCATATACGAACTTGCGTTAGCCTTGCGCAAAGTTGCAGCTGAGCATTCGGACAGGCCAATGTATTTTGTTTTTCCGCTGCGGCGGAGTTCGTCCAGGGCGCCGATGGACTCCTCGAGGGGTGTATCTTTTTAGAGTTAGGTTACCAATTCGGCTGTCTTCACATTCTGATTTTATGAGTCATACGTACTTGGATCGATCCTGTGAAGATAATAGAGATCAGGAGCGAACCCAAGCCTGTCGATCGTTCCCTCGATGTACTCCTTGATATGGGCGGCCGAGTTGGTTACCTTCCGTTGGGGTCCGAAGACGTCAAATCCACACTTGGAAGCCACTGCGTGTGGCGACGCCATATGAGTTAATGACACTGCGGAGAAAGACAGACGTTTTCGTACTCACCGAAAATCTTGTCGCGGACATTGTGCTTCTTAACGAATTCCCCCAGCAGCTTCTCATTTTCACCAGCCTTGTAGGCAACCTATACCGCAAACCCAATCAGAGACAGATATCCTTAGCGTATTTTATCTGTTAGCTTACCGCAGTATCCCAGAATGTACAGCCGAGCTCAACAGCTTTCAAAAGAACAGGTTCGGACTGTGCGAGGTCGAAATCTGTGCCCATGGACGCATTCAGTCCCATAGCGCCAAAGCCGGGAATAGAGACCTGTCGGTCGCCGAAAGGAAGTGTCTTGACCATCTTGGTGGATTCTAAAAGTCCAAGTCAATGTCAGCGTGACTATATTCTGCTATCAAACACACGAAATAATATTAATTGAAGGTAGTGGATGGGCGCACGTGTATAGGCTGTACGGTGGGTATGCTGCGATCGAGATTATTATCGTCTTGAAACTGACGTTGCCGTTGCGAAACTTCGACTGAGAATCTAGAAACAAGGTGGCTTTGCGGTGGTTTTAAATTGCAGCCGACCCAAAACCCATATCGTGACAATGATATCATGACCACCGTAAAGTCGGCAATTGAGCTGCCGCAGTTGAGTGCCCGCCTATATCCAGGAGGCTGTCTTGATGAACTGCGAAAAAGAGTCAGCAAACCTGCATTGATTATTTCCTAACTCCGCGCTAATCACCGTGGATTTACGTTACAATACATTGCACCTCGCCACTCACTTATTCCATCCCATTGCCAAGTTAACGTCCCTTTACACGAAGAATATCGAACCTCTCGCCGAAGATCAAGGAGGCTTACCCGCACGTGAAAATTATCTCGCAAGGACTACAAAGTATTTTTGATCTTTTCAGAGAGCTGGATTACACCAATGTCCATCATTTTACCATAACGCGGAGTTTCAGTAAATTGCACCTTCAGGAAGTCCGATTGACTAATCATGATTTTCGGCCGAAAACGATGTTTTGACCTCCACTCAAAGCTTCCTGAAAATAAATAGAGCTTTAATGCTGGTGTAGATCAGAGCTCGTGTGGGTCTTCATCGACCGAAATAAGTTTGTAGTGTCTTGGCAAATTGCTATGGGTTCCATGCATGTGACCTTATTTGGTAGCAAACAGAGCCCAAGGACCCTTTTTGGGGCTCTAAAGAGCGGTCTTTGCTTGCGTGACATTGGTGATAATCACTCATCAATCAGTCCAGGAACCTACTCGGTTACCTTATACACCGGTGGTGACATCAACGCGGCCGAACCCTTCTCGGTGTGGACAGAGTAGAATGTGTCTCCGAAATCTAGATAGATATAAAATCTACAATGTCTGGATTGAGCATAACTTGATTCTAGTCTCCATTTCTTCTTGTGCTCTGTCTACCTACCACCCTCAGCACGTACCTTTACGATGGCGCATCTTTGGGCCCCTGCTCCTGAACCAGACACCGAACTGGGACGGTACCGGGTTCTCTCTTCTACTGCTGGCATTCGTGTTTCACCACTTCAGATCGGAACTATGTCGATTGGCAATGCATGGGAAGAATCCATGGGTTCGATGACGAAGAAGGACTCCTTCAGACTTCTCGATGCATTCTTCGAGGCAGGCGGAAATTTCATTGATACAGCAAACAATTACCAGGACGAGCAATCGGAGACATGGATTGGAGAGTGGATGATCCAACGTAAGAACCGTGATCAATTGGTAATTGCCACCAAATTTACAACGGACTACCGGTCATACAAGTTGGGTAAAGGGAAGGCCCCAAACCATTGCGGCAATCATAGGCGCAGTCTCAATATGAGTGTCCGTGATTCATTGAAGAAGTTGCAAACCGACTGGATTGACATCTTGTACGTCCACTGGTGGGATCAAACTACATCAATTGAAGAGGTCATGGATAGTCTTCATATGCTTGTGGAAAAAGGAAAAGTGCTCTACTTGGGCATTTCGGATACACCAGCATGGATAGTCACAGCAGCAAACCTATATGCTCACAGACAAGGGAAGACTCCTTTCAGTATCTACCAAGGCAGATGGAATGTCATGTTGCGCGACTTTGAACGGGACATCATCCCTATGGCACGCCATTTTGGAATGGCCCTTGCCCCTTGGGATGTCATGGGCGGCGGGAAATTTAAAACAAAGGAGGAAATTAAACAACGCAAAGCTCGTGGGGAGGCCCTGCGTAGCATTCTGAGCCCGGAGCAAAGTGAAGAGGAGGAAACGATGAGTGCAGCGCTTGAAAAAGTGGCCAATGAACATGGGATCAAGTCACTCACTGCAGTTGCCCTGGCATATGTTATGGCGAAAGCACCGAATGTGTTCCCTCTTGTTGGCGGCCGCAAAGTGGAGCACCTTCACGATAATATCTTGTCTCTCAAAATACGGTTGACAGCGGAGCAGATCAGTTACCTTGAGAGCCAAAAGCCGTTTGATGTCGGCTTCCCAAGTAACTTTATCGGCCCGGATCCCAATGTGATTGGCAAAGCGTCTTTCCTGTTGGCTGCCAACGCCTCGTATTCATTTGTGCGGTCGTCCAGGTCCATCACGAGCCCAGAATAGGAGCGGGAAGATTTGAACAGCAAGCCTGCCAGGTTTACGTTAAAATCAAGCTGGCGAGAAACAACAAAACGGAGAAAGAAGAAGACAGGAGAAAGAAATAGGCCCTTTATTCATATTCGCATGATTTATGAATAGAATGAATAAGTCATATTTAGCTAAATACATACTAAAACACTATACATTAGCATTCGTTTCATTGAAAAGAACCATGCATACAATGCTAAGATTGTTTTCTGAACCCTTAGAGCTTAGAAAAACATGTTCAACGTGACTAGCAAGCCTTAGTAGATATATCATTCTAACAAGTCAAGGTATTGAACAACCAAGAACACGCCAAGAAGTCACGGCGGCCGATGAGGACCCATACAAAAGGAACTAGCCAATAGCAAGAGTTCAGGAAGCTGATATATGGGGCTACCTTGATACATCGGCCGAAAAGATCCCAAAGCAGAACTTAAGAATCCTGTTTCACTTTTTCGCCTAGGGTCCTTTTTATAAGATTGCAAGACACTTATGAGAGCCCGAAATATCTTGCTAGTTCATTATCTTGCAAACCTGAATACCTCAACATCATCATATCATTTAAGGGTTTTAAATGAATTAGGAAAATCAATCAAAACCAGGAGGGGTTCCCACGCGATACATACCATCAAGTACAGTTAATTTCATACCGATGCTTTCGTATCTACAATTCTTGCGCATATCCCTAGCTTCGTATCTGCTTCCGTCCTTTGATTTCCGGCTTTTTGCATGGTTCTTGTGTATCCGATGAAATGGAAAGAACATGCACCTTGCATCAATTCAATCTTCATCGGTAAGGTTTGGAACCACTATCTGAATATGGCACCCATTCTGATTTCGAAGAATAGCCCACGTTAGCAGTCGACTGCAGAGGTCTACCGATGCTCATACATGGATCCCGCATCGGCCGACGGGTATGATGATTTTCTACTGTAACGTTGGGGTTGTTAGTTGAGGAGTTATTGCGGATCTGCATTCTCAGTGCGCCATGGTTTTGCATGGTCTAACTTGGCTTGTTCGAAGAAGGCATTTCTGGGGAATATCTTTCTCTCCGCGTTTCTTGGCGAAATTTCCCAGTGTTATATAGCTAATCACTTGACCCTTGAAGAGTTCCTCAATCTCAAGGCAGAGGTAACAAGAATTTCGATATCCACAAGTCTGTGTTGGGTTTCTACTTGAATATATCTATGATGTTACGCAATATCTTGCTCGTGGGCTCTCTACTTACTTCTAGCAATGCAGTGAGCTTCAAAGAGCAGGGCAGTCAATTGGGTGAAACAGTCTCTGTAGGCTGTCACCAAGCCGTAGGTACCCTTTGAGCCTCTTTCAGCCTCTTACTTTCTAACATTGTCCTAAAGTGCACCCAACTTTCTACTACCTTTGGCTCTGCTTTCCATTATCCCGAAAGCGATCGAAACTTCATCATTTGGGATGCCAAGCAGTACGAAGTTCGCCCGGCTTGCCGTGTCGAGCCCTCCAATGCGAGTGATGTGTCCCGTGTGCTGGGTATTGTCATCGATCATTGGTGCAACTTTGCCGTCAAGGGTGGCGGTCATTCAAGACATCGCGATGACTCAAATTCTGTGGCCGGTGTCACGATTGACCTTGGCCGCATAAATTCCGTCGAGGTCTCGAAAAATGGCAACACAGCGCGCATTGGCGGCGGTGCAACCACTGCAAAAGTTTATCATGACCTAGATTCTCACGGCCTTTCTTTTGTCGGTGGACGAGTTGGGGCTGTCGGCGTCGGCGGGTTTACACTGGGAGGAGGAACGTCGCCTTTCTCCAACAAGTACGGCTTGTCTCTTGATAATGTCTTCGAGTATGAAGTACGTCCCTAGACCTTACAGCATTCTATTTTGACCCGTCATTGATCTGATCGCAGGTTGTCCTTGCCAATGGTACTATCCTAACTGTCTCTGAAGATGATCATCCTGACCTCTACTTTGCGCTCCGAGGAGGAGGTAACAATTTCGGAATTGTGACTGCCTTCACCGTTCGCATATTCACTCAAGGTCCTGTTTTTACTGCTGCGACAAAATATGCCAGCAATCAAACCGAGCAAGTTCTCGACCGGGTGTACGATCTTTGGGCCGGTGAACTTGCGAGTGATGTTGAGATGGCCTACGATATGTACTATGAGTACAGTCTAAAAACCGACCAATTCAATTTGAGAGGCAACCAGCGCTACGCGAAGCCCATTATGAACCCGCCTGTTTTCAGCAAGATTGAGGAGATCACCCCATTGACAAGGTCCCCTAGAATTGCCACCATGGGCAATATGACGGGTAGCCCTGAGCCTATGGGTGTCACCAGGTAAGTGAATCTTGATAGTGGTCTTTATCTGCACCCCTTGTTGACTTGTTTTCAGAAATTTGTTTGCTACGCTCACCGTGCGACCATCTCGTCCCTTTCTCACACAGGCCCTCAAGATCTTCAGTGAGGAAGTGAGAAAAATCAAGTCTGTTGAAGGTTTGAGTCCAGCTTTTATTTGCTACCCTCTTCAAAAGAATGCTTTGACCGCCATGAGGCAGAGAGGGGGCAATGCTCTGGGTATTGACTCAGATGGACCCCTTTTCCGTGAGTAACAAGCTCCAGCAAGATCATTACTATAAGATACTGACTTATTATGAGTCATCCTACTTTCCACCGCTTGGAACGATGCCAGTGGCGATGCCGCTGTCAACAGAATGACAGAAAACACTGCTCGAAGGGTCAATGCAGTTGCCGAGAAGCTCGGAGTTGCAGACCGATACCGCTATATCAATTATGCGTCAAAGGCACAGACTGAAGAGGTTTTCCCTGGATACGGTGAAAAGAATATGCAAAGACTGAAGCAAATCCAAAAGTCAGTAGACCCTAAGGGTATCTTTACCTCAAAGGGTTTGTAGAGGGGCTTTAGGAAGCTACTCTAAATGAATCTGTATAAATTTGTCGACGGCAGATCGAGGTGTTTGGGGTATTTTTCACCTCACTTAGCCCATTCACTCGACCACGGTTGTGAACATGATGATAACTTTAAAGTTGAAGGTTAACATCAAGTATCATTGGATGAAGTTCTGAAGATATACGTTTGGTTTACGGTCATCGAATCAAAGGTTTTTCTGAGTTCTGTTTGGCGATGCACGATTCAATTGCTGATAGTTCTTAGTGATCACCTTTGCTGTGATCGGTTCTGCGCCTAGCTCGGTGAATCTCTCTCAGATTCGAGCAGTATTAGTTCTCGCGAGCCCTACTGTTATAGACGACGTGGTACGGCCTTCGTCTTATAACGTGTCGTTTTAGAATTAAATAAGATTTGCTCAGAAATTGTCACGTATTGCATTCCCATACATTGCCGTAGCTAGGCCTTCATCTCGAATCTTACTTCCTTCGGACTTATTTCGAATTAGTGTTATAACATACTTACTTGGCCTACGCGTAGTAATCGGGGTAGATATCTCCGGCGATTACGATATAGTTAAGCCTAGTATTAGTTAACTAGTATCTTAGTAAACCCTAGTCAAACTCCCCCCAAGAACCACTAGTTAAGAGGGATCATAGGGTCCGCACGGACCATAGCTATACGTTTCTCCTAAACCGATTGATCGGACCCTCGGGCCCTAAAACATCTCCTCTTGCACCACTTCCTATGATAGAGAGGCTTTTACTTCGATGATATCGATAAAAGAAAGGGGGAAACAATGATCATATTTATCCGATAATAATGATAGAAGAAGCTAAGAAAATAGGAAGGGGGAGGTAAGAAATACTCTGCCTCCCGGCCGATCGGGTCCCTATGTCTCTGACCTCTTTTTCCCTGTCAACTCTCCAGCTGATGAGGTGGCTCAGAAACGCCTGGTTATGCATCCGCCAAACCAAGACGCGTATACTTTATCATTTCCATTGCATCTTAGATCCACCCTCCTTACATATCACGATATGACATGTCAATGCAGATCTCTGCTTCCATGATCGTACAGTGCCGTTCGAAGTTCCCTTATGTAGAATCAGCAGCTATAGATTCATGTGTGGTTGAATATATCCCAATATATCCCGATAATCCTCATTTAATTGTCTTGAAATGTATATTATGTGCTTAAAAGGAGTTTCCAATACCATCACTTTTGCCGGTCATGATCAAATTCTACGTTGATGGGCGAAAAACTTGTACAATGACCTACCTGGCAAGCACTTCAGGCTCACATGGCTTATGTTACTTGGGCAAAGAAAACTTAACGTTACTTCATCATCAAGGGGTAAGAAAATCTCTCATCAACAAGGATGATACGAGACACGGGAAGCATGTGAACAGATCGACATGTGCTATCAAAGTGATCACATGAGAAACGCCCTTTTAAAGTAAATTTTTAATTGCTTCCTCGTTGGTGACAGTTTGAATCATGATGGGACTAGCTTCGTAATGCATTAGAGTCAATGTTAGAGCTACGCCGGAGTACCCGAGCCGAAAGTCGGTCACGGCAGTATCGCCTCGTGTTGGGTAGATCCAAATCCAGAACGTGTCTGTGGGCAAATATCAGCTAAGCCCATAATCAATAGACTTGGGTGATCTACATTTCCTAATTATACAATGATCGTCAATTCCAATGCTATTCGAGCCACGTACTCATCCATCCGTATTGAAATAGCTAAGTGCTGTAATATCTTAACGTCGCAGGCCTTTGAGTGATATTTACGGTATAGAATACTCAAATATCAAGAGCGGGTGCTACGTAGGCGAATGCAGTTTGCAGATCTCAAAGCCAGGCAGTCTATCTATATTGATTACTCAGTCTTTTCCTTTCTTTCTCTTTCTTCTCTGGGAACCATTCGTTTTCAAAAAGCATTTTTGCGTGCGGTCCATTGTTCATTCATTACCAGGAAAATCTCAGAGCTTCTTACATGCAACTAAAGCCCTGCCTTACTATGACAAAACTTGAGCAAGTTGATCAGATACCTGGCGTCAATGAGTCGACGCCAGGAAGTTCAATTTCCGGTATTGGAATTGGCTCGCCTATTGTCAATGCGAATTTTGTTCATAACGCCGATGACAAGCGTGCACTTGATGTCTCCAAGGGCAATGAAGCTTGCCGTAATCAGCAAGAACTTCAAGTCCCCGACGCTCGCTGTTGGAACTCGAAGTATAAATTGCTCGTTTCTTTTAGCGCCATTTGCTCTTATTTCGTCATGTGAGTCAATTTATGCACGCTCACCGTCCTATCTGAATTAATACTAATTGGGACCAACATAATGCATTAGTACATTGGCGACTTCGATTTATATCGCGAGTATTCCTGGAATAATGCGGGAATTTCACGTTGGAGAGACATTGGCCATTTCTCCTATAACGTTTTATGCAATAGGATTCATAATTGGGCCTATGTGCACGTCTGCGCTCTCAGAGGAGTTTGGCAGGCAATACATCTACAAGCTCTCATTGTTTCTTCATTTGATCTTCACCATCGTGGGTGGATCAGCCCCGAACTTCCGGACATTAGCAGTTGCTCGTGGCATCTGCGGCATCGTTGGGTCTCCTTGCGTGACTGTCTTCTCGGGTCTGTTAAACGATCTATGGAGGATGCCCGAGGATAAATTGGGGGGTGTGCTGTTCGCAATTTACGGCATAATGGGGGCGGTTGCTACTGAGGTCGGACCAATTGCTGGCGAGGCGATAGTGACCGACCGTGATTGGCGCTGGACATTTTGGCTCACAGCAATGCTGGTTGGTGTATGTTTTCTGGCGATGGTGTCAATACCAGAGACATATCGTCCTGAGGTCCGGAGAAAAATGCTGAAGCTGCCTCGGCGGAACCTCTGGCACTGTCTGGCTCCTGCTATCGCCCGTCCGATACAGATGCTGCTGATGGAGCCTATCATCTTTCCAACGGCGGCTATTGTAACCATGGGTCAGGTTGTGGTGTTTGTGTTCTATGCAAGCTATCCATTGGTCCTCGCGCGAGTGTATCAGTTCACGTCATACGAAACCGGATTAGCATTCATACCATTGGTAATTGGAAGTCTGCTAGCATTGCCTATCATTTCCATAGTTATGAAAAGGAGGGATAAGTTGTCAGATCCTAAACCCGAAGATTCACTTCCTGCGGCGAGTATAGCAGGGATTTTGCTACCCATCAGCTTGTTTTGGTGGGTTGACTGAGACCGATGAGAATGCAAGTTGTAGGATGGTGCTAATACGGGTGAATAGGCTTGCGTGGACAGCTCGCGTCAGTATTCACTGGATATGTCCGCTCATCGCTGGAGGGCTCTATGGGCTAGCGTTCGCGTTGTCGCAGGTACGTATTGGATGATGTCGCAGATTGTACTGTACTAATAGAAACAAAAATACAGCTGGTCTATCCCCTCTACAAGAACGAGGTATATGGAGCTGAATTCGGGGCTTCCTCATTTGCAGTTGATGTCGCTATGCGGTATACAATTCTCATCTGTCTTCCCTCTATTCACCATTCAAATGGTCAACCGTATTGGGTTTGACTGGACAATCACGCTGTGTGCATTGGTCCTTTTGGCGCTGACACCTGTTCCATTTGTACTTCAACGATATGGGCCGGCGTTACGGGAAAGAAGTCGGTATGTTCAACAGACCAAACGGAACAACTTGCACGATATTTCTGCATGATATGCTGGAAATGGACAGAAAATGTTTGTGTTGGAGGATCAACTGCATAGTGTACCCTGTTTCTAGACTATACTCACGAAACATTCCATGTAGTGACACAAATGTTGAATTTGGCAAATAACGGACGATATGGTTTTAATGATGTCTATCTTAGGAGAGAAAATTTTCCATTGCGAAATGGGTTCTTACCTTCAAATAGAATTGATGTTAATTTTTCTTTTCTTTCCCTCCTCGGTCATCTGGCCTCTGACCTTGGGAAAGTTGTTGATACCGTAACATTATCGCACCTTTCATACTTTCCCTCAAACGCAACTAATTTAACTCCAGCTTCTGCTCGCATAATAAAAGATTCACCAATCGATCTTAGTCACCCATGAATTCCTTTGTAGTTGAACAGGGGTCTTGACCACCGAGCAGATTGAGCCGCACCCACAGTACCTGCAAGATGCGGCCACCGGGATGACAGGGCTGTTCGGCCAAAGAAGCATTCTACTGTAATGAACGAATTCTAGAATCCCATCTGCATGTCGTTCCACCAAACACGACCGCGTTCAGCCTCCTAGCAGCAAGGGTCATGGTCACGCATAGTGTCGGATCCCCGCCAAAATCGGCAAATTGCTTGGTGATCATGTTTAGTAGCAATCTAACAATGATGCTATGTCTGGAGACTAGATTACTGACTAGATATTGTTCCATCGTAAATAGATTCCCTCAAAGATTCGAATTGCTTCGTAGACCTCAAGCATGTACTATTTCCCCTCTGAACTCCAAGGAGCACAAGAAAGCGAGGCGCGAATCTCATCTACAGTGCAGTATAGCACGCGCAATTGGATATCAACACTGTGAACTTATTGCCCAACTCATGCTGCGGTTTCGCGTGAAATACGCGACCGGGGCTAAATCGCGGAAGACAGTGCTCAGGGAGATCTGCACGCCGTGGCTGTCGCGAAACTTTGCGAAGGTTGGATGACTTCAGCGGCGTCCGGGAGGCGCCACACATATTTACTGACCAACAAGGCAAGGGCAGTAGATTTCGATCAGATTTCGAAGCCGGATCTGAGAATTTGGCTATGCCACGCGACCAAGCGAGGACGCGACAGGACGCGGGCTAAACCGGAACTGCCTAAAGGGGTAGGTTGCATTGCGCATCCCCCAGGATCCGGGGGACAGAGAGACTATAACGCGACAAAATTGGGCGGATCTTGTTGGCTGATGCTATTGGCAGTGGAGACTGTGGCTGCTTGTCGTGCGACATTTTTTTCTCCAGAACTGAGTCACCGTCACCTTTGGAGATGGAGACGTCAAACACCTCACTCTGGCCGAGAACTAAAGAAAAGAAGCAGTAGACAGGGGAAATAAGGGTTTGGTACCCCTGGTCCCTGGTACCGAAATGTAGCCAACTGTAGCATGGAGACCAATCTGCGAACAAAGAAAACAAGTTTAGGACACACGCATTGCCAAGATGTTCCAGGGCTATTTTTCGCCCCCTGGTCGGAGAGGCATGGGCTGATGGCGTATAGGGTTGAACACTATTTCTCATGAATTATCGCTCAGTCGACAAGCTAAAGTAGCATAATATTGGCACCACATTGGCACTGCATTGGCATAGACAAGCCTCTAAGCCAAGCGTGAATCCCAATTCAATCCGAAGCTCAAACATTAACACCTCACATCCCCAGATTCCAACCCCAGACCCAATTTTCTGTAGAGACGCGGGGGAGTTTCCACATGTATAGAACAAGCCACTGAAAGGCGATCGGCGGGGCTGAACCTGAACCGTCCAGCCGAGTGAGAGCAGCTAACTGAGTTTGGAGAAGCCGAAGCTGTCGCCCGATGCCTTTGCCCGATGTATGCAAAGCTGATTGGTCTCTTCGACTGGTGTGGGCAATTCCCGGGCTACGCCATGTCTAGAGCCGTTGATGGCCTGTGCTATTCTGGAAACTCGGGGCTCATTGCTCGCATCAGGAGGGGTGGAGCCGGTGAATTCACTCCCCGAATCATATTTTGTTTGCTTTGTCGCCGCGGCTCGGCAGCAGGATGAAGCCATAACAAGACCCCTGGTCTGGGGGTCAAGGCACCCCGGTCAAGTCCTTTAAAACCTGCCGAGTTCCCCGCGTTGATCATCGTTTTGTCTTTTGCGATCTTCTCTATCTTGTACTGTTCCCATTCTCCGACTGGCTCGGTCTAGTATCGTTTTGGGGTATTCACAGCAGAAGAGGCTTCTTACTCAAGCGCGCCCAAAATGCAGACAAAGCGGTTCTTGGGCCTGAACGGCACCAAGCTGCAGATCGCCATTGGCTTTCTGGCTGGCATGGACTTTTTGTTGTTCGGATATGACCAAGGTGTGACCGGTGGCTTGCTTACGCTCACTTCTTTCAACAAATACTTCCCTGAAATCAACACGTTGGATTCATATACCGAAGGATGGACGCAAGCAGAGAAGAATAACCAGTCAACACGTCAGGGTATCACAGTTGCAGCATACAACTTGGGATGTTTCGCCGGCTCAATTCCCACGATTTGGATTGGTAACATCCTGGGTCGTCGCAAGGCTATCTTCGTGGGATCTTTCATCATGTGCATCGGTGCGATTCTGCAGTGTACTTCGTACGGGCTTGCTCAACTCGTTGTCGGTCGATTGGTAACCGGGTTCGGTAAGTGTCACTAAGCAAAGTGCTGGTGAAAGTTTCTAACAATTAATACCAGGCAATGGCATCAACACATCCACGGTTCCTACCTGGCAGTCCGGTAAGTGGATTTGAACCCCAAGTGACATCGATGATCGAAACATCACTACTTCGTTGATGGGCAAGAAAAGGCTGATTTGAATAGAATGCTGCAAGTCTCACCGACGAGGCCAAATGGTCATGATCGAGGGTGCCATGATCACTTGCGGTATCACCATCAGTTACTGGATCGATTTTGGATTGATGTTTGCCGACCCCAATGAAGTTGCCTGGCGGTTCCCGTTGGCTTTCCAGATCTTCTTCGCGGCCATTATTTTAGGATTCGTCATGTTCCTGCCTGAATCACCCCGTTGGCTCATCCTGAAGGGCCGTGAGGAAGAAGCAAGGGAAGTCCTGGCATGCTTGATGGGTGACGAGACCGATGAGCTGTTCATTGACACCGAGTTCACTGCTATCAAGGCGACCGTTCTGGAGATGGCAAAAGGATCGTTCCGAGATATGTTCACCATGGGCGAGGACCGTCACTTCCACCGCACTATGCTCGCATATGTCAACCAAATGTTCCAGCAGATCTCTGGTATCAACCTGATTACTTACTATATCCCAACTCTACTTGAATCCAATGTCGGACTGGACGCCACGACATCACGTTTAATCGCCGCCTGCAACGGAACTGAATATTTCATTGCTTCCTGGATCGCCGTGTTTACTGTGGAGAAGTTTGGACGTCGGTCACTTATGCTGTTTGGCGCAGTCGGAATGTCCATTTCCATGGCGGTTCTGGCCATCTCCGACAGCATTTCCTCCTCCCACAAGCAGACCTCTACCGGTGTCAAGGCTGGCGTTGCCCAAACAGTTTTCTTGTTCGTGTTCAACACCTTCTTTGCTATCGGCTGGCTTGGTATGACTTGGCTGTACCCTGCCGAAATTGTTCCATTGAAGATTCGTGCACCAGCCAATGCGCTTTCTACCTCTTCCAACTGGATCTGGAACTTCATGGTTGTCATGATCACCCCCGTGGCCTTCCAGAGCATCGGCTACAAAACCTACGTTATTTTCGCCGTAATGTGAGTGTTTCTCTTATAAAATTACCCGCAATGTATCTCATACTGACTCGATTTAGTAACGCGGCCATCGTACCTGTCGTCTACTTCTTCTTCCCAGAAACCACCATGCGGTCCCTGGAAGAGATGGACCTCATCTTCCGCAAGACTACAAATGTCTTCAATGTGGTCTCGGTTGCCCGCACCGAGCCGCACATGTACGGTCCGAATGGTGAACTCCTGCGTACTCTGGATGATATCGAAGATAGTGCCGTTCGTCGTGCCAGCATCATGAACAAGGAGAGCAAGGCTCACGGCCAGAGTCATAGCCAACATGCAGAGAAATATAGCGATGGAAACACAAGTGAGGAACGATCTGTTTGATTCGAATCGCGTTGTTCTGTCGATTTTATTCATTATGCGGAGAATGGATGACAGACCGACCAATGGTTCTGCTTGAAGCAACTCGGCTTTCTATGTCGGTTTCATTCTTTGTTTAACTTTTGTGAAAAGTCTATCTCGATCTTTTCGTGTGGAAAGATCTAATACCCATGTTAGACTGAACGATTTTCAATGTCACTATATTTATTCAATCGATCTATTTTCGAGTTATGCTTAGATTCCGTTTTATTACAGCTGTGCGTAGGCGGACGCGTACTCAAGGAAAGTTTTCAAAACAGTACCTACTAGAGATCTAAACACTATCGAGTTTGGGGATACTGATGCGGCTGAAACCCTACTTGTATTTTTGTGATTGGCTAAGCCCTAGTAGTACATCATTTAAAGTATAGTATAATCTGTAACTGATTCTCATTGACTCATGAAGGATTCTAAGCGCCTAGCGGCTTTGTTATAGTTCGTTTAGGGCGGCTCCGTCTCAATCTCTATTTAAACCACCTCCTCATGGCTAGCACCACCGGCGTCTTTCTTGGCACTGACATCCTTATGGCGCTCAACTTCCTCCCCAAACATATCACTGATTTTGTGAGTGTGCCATGGCTTGACATTGGTCTCAAAGACCATGTCAATCTCCTCCAGGGAGCGGCCCACTGTCTCAGGGTACATGAAGAACACATGGAAGGTCATCACCGTGCAGAAAACTCCGAAGATAATGTACGTCTTCCACTGGATGTTGTGGAAGGCTGGTGCTACAAAGTATGCGAGGGCAAAGTTGAAGATCCAGTTAGTCGCTGCTGAAACACCGACACCCTTGGCTCGGTACTTCAGTGGGAAGACCTCTGACGCGTAAATCCACCCGGTGGGAGCCTAGAAGTGTCAGTAAAATACTTTATCATTAGGAGAGTATATCAAGAGAAGCAAATAACATACCCATGTCAAGCCGTAGATTCCGGTGAAGATGTATGAAAATGCTATGACAGTCATGCCAGCACTACCCTTGATTTCCCAAGTCAAATTGGCATTTCCATTCACATTGGGAACAGGTCTTCCTTTACTGGCCATAACGCCAGCAATGATGAAATGGACAATCATGCAAGACACAGATCCGACCAGAAGCAGATTTCTCCGACCGACGCGGTCGATATATGGAAGCATCACGCCGGTAGTCACCAAGAAGATTACATATTGAATAGCCGATGACCATAGGGTCGTGTTGCCGGTCTGCAATCGAAAGTCAGCAAATGCTCCGTACATCACAGTCGACGATACTCACCATGCCAGCCATCTGGAAGATATAGACCACGTAGTACATTGCAACATTACCACCCAAAAGCTGCTGCCACATCTGAACCGTCATTCCACACATGGTGCGTCTCCAAATGCGCGGGCCGAACAAAGCCAAGAAAGAAACATCTTGAGCTTGATGTGCGACTCGTACAGCCTCTTGGACCTCTTCGAATTCGACCTGCACAACGGGATCATGACGATCACCGTTGGCATGCAGGAGAGCCAGGGTATCCAAAGCCTCTTCCCAGCGCTCCACAGATGCAAGCCAACGAGGAGACTCGGGGAAGAAGAACAGCGCAATGAAGAGGATCAGACCGGGAACCGCCTGCACACCCCAGCAGATACGGAAGGCAGCAGGACCGGATACACCCACGACACAGCCATAAGCAACCAGGTACATGATCAAAATACCCCATTCGATAGCCCATTGCTGAATACCGACGATACGGCCACGAATGCGAGCGGGCGCAAGTTCAGACAGGTAGACACAGACCTGGGAGGAGGTCACGCCGACAGCGAGGCCACTGACGACGCGGCCCGCAACCAGATGGGTCACATTCTGTGCGCTGCACTGCACCATGGCACCAACAATCCAAACCAGCGAAGCGATCATCAGGGCATAGCGACGGCCAAGGATATCGGATAGCCAACCAGCAGCAATCGAGCCGGCGAAGGAACCGGCAGACATGGAAGCTGTAATCTAAGATGGTGTACCTGTTAGCATGTTGAAGATACCCCGTGCAGAGAATACGCACTCCTCCTTGAAGATTAGAATTCGGCGAGCCGAAATAGTCCATATATGTATCCACGCCAATCCAGGCGCTCATCGAGCTGGCATTGTGTTAGTTATTGTCATCGGTAGATGAAAATGAATACACACCTCACATCGAAACCGAAAAGAGCACCTCCAATGGTGCCGAACGCGGCAAGGACTGCTGGACATTAGTCGTGCCAGTAACCATTGATGCACTCGAACATACCGTATATATTTGTGATGGTATACATCGTCGCTAGTCGGAAGATGTCGCCCGAGAAGCTTGCGGCACGGCGTTTTTATAAGTCGACGGGCCAATGCGTATCAGGGTCGCATGGCACGACACCGGGACCGGGGGGTCAACCCCGGACGGGCAAAGATGGGCAAAGGGAATTGCGGAGAGGGCAGAAATCCCGGGGATGCCAAAGTCGGGGATGGACGTCATTGGCGGGTCGGCGGCCACGCAGAGCCAGTCGGGCCATTGTTCGGCTGAACACGTATTAACCGAGCTGGGGATTTAGCCGGGGATCTCGCAGGTTTCCCGCAAACTGGCTTCTTCCGGTATGATTGTCTGTATGGCTGTTGTTCTTCGCGTCTGTATAGGTGTCGGCCCGTGGATCGGCATACCGACGTCATTGATGGAACTTGTATTATGGGTGTGTTCATGAGTGAAAGAGAAGATTAGATCTGTGGTCGGTGTTTTCTCTTTCCTTGTTCGTACCAAGACTGCACTAGAGCCTGGCATTATGTTACAGTATACATATGTAGCCGGTTCCGCTTAGCCAAGCTGTCATATACAGGGCTATCTTGGATGCTTGGAATGTCGACAATGCCCATCTCTCTAGTTGACGCGATATTGGCTGAGTTTACCACAATGGTATCCTCCAAATCACCCCCCTGCGATGGGAGTTCCTTGGGAGCTTCTAGGTTTTGGTTACATTGGATCCTGAATTACCCCTCCATGTGAATGGCGGTAAATCCCGACTAGTGTCATCTGTCTCGAGGGATGTTTATCTTAGAGCTGTCTAGATTCAGACTACAGAAGCAAAATTGAATCTACAAGTGACAGTGGCATTGAAAATAGGGTACCGTTCTCTTACATTTTCCACTCGCAACATGGTTTGAAGGACATATAGCACGAGGACGATAGCTAATTTCCTGGACGGGGGTACTCTCCCAGCATGAAAGAAGGAATCCCGAGTGATTATGTCACATATAAAAGTAGACGGAAAACATAGAGGGCATACGTTGAGCAATCAAAATGTTGGTCACCACATCCTCTTTTACCGAGGACGGGTAAATGCACCCGGGGCTAGAATGCGCCCCTGCCGATGACCCGGCCGCCCATGGCGCTCCCATGAGCTGGTGGCGCTCTTGAAGATTCATACCAGATCATCCTATAGCAGGGACATCATAAATCCAAGAAACAGACAGAAAAGTGAATTGACACGCATCATGGCTCAAATCCAAGTCTAAATTCCCGTTGGGGCGGGTAAATGATAGGGTTTGGGGGACCACCACCGGAGTATTACCTTTTTGATTGGAGCTCGTCTATTTGTCTGGGGCTCTCAGACTGTTTCTCCGTCTCTTGGATCTCTTGACTCCTGACGGTTTGCAGGGTTTGCATCGTGTCGGGCATTAGTTGATAGTCTTGGCAGGGTCTTAGGGGTGAATGGGCCAGATGCGCTTATACTACGTCTCATTTCAGTTCATTATGGCTACATGCTCCGAGGTTTAGTAGATGGATTAAAATGAGCTTTTTAAAGAGCATTCAAAAGAGTATTGCTGTTGCTTGATACAACCGAATGCGCAATTACAGCTTTCAGTTCTGCCGATATCCAAGTCAAGATTACTGGTTGTCTTTAATATCTCGGGTAATAGCAGTGAACCTTCATGCCCTGGAATCAACGCTGATATTTTCATTCCTGGGCGAAAAGCAGGCAACTGGGATAACGAGTTCGGCCCTGGATTCTATACAATCGACTATTTGAAAAATGCAAGTGTATATGTCGCATTCGACGGCGCTCTCATAGCTTTCTGCGCCCTAAATCCTCACATGACTCGAAGTCAGAGTCTAACCGAAGCGGAGTAGGTGACTCGGTGGCTATGAGTACCTCTTCCCGTTATGGATAGCGCAATTCCATGGACTTCGTGAAAGGAGCTATTCGGGGGACGGCTGCTATGCCCGGAACGATCTCATATCTAATCATATGATAATGAGCCAGTCGCTATTCTCCACTTCTCCCTCTATTCGGAGATTTAGTTGAGTCTTACATGGAGGCGACCACCTCCTGTACACTGCTTAGGAGACACTCGGTTTTTATTTCATCAAGGCATTCCCAGACAATTCCAATTAAGTTTTTCTAACTGATCAAGTCCGCTGACAACCTTTCATTCAGAGAATCCCACAACCAATTACCCGGAAATCCACCTGACAATCATGGCAAAGGCCAACTCCAGACTCAGCAAGCAACAGTTTGAGCTACTGCAGCATAAAAATATTCAATTTACAGGATACTCTACTGGTCGGGCTTTGGCAAAGAGATAATCAGCTGTACTTTGAGCTTTCTTTACTCAAGCACTTACGACCTACTCACAGCTCCACAGGACAACGAACCAACCTTTTCAGCAGATACCAGAATTTACAACGCTGTCTGCTACTACACACAAGTCAAATGATTCACAGATCTATGTACACTGCCCGACCTCGCTTCAAGAAGCTTGCAGCCTAACTTTCTGAACGCCCGGCTATTTCCTCGAAATGCCGTCGTCCGAGTCAATTGCCCAGTTTGGAGGGTATGGGTTCTTTGTCGGCAGTTCGGGTGTCTCGTATTGGTCTATAGCGTATTCAATGAGTTGTACCAGTAATGGACTAAATACAATTGCGTGGCTCAGAGGATCTCGTTGTGGAACCCATTGATGTGATATGCCAGCAACATGAACGCTTGGAGCCGTTTCGCCGACTTACTGTCCTCCGATATGTGCCGTGTCTGTTGTCCTTCGGAAAGGGACGGTGGTGGATAGAGGGTCACCACGCGATGAGCCGATGAGTGATGATAATGATGTCGGTCTTGATAGGTGATTGACAGAATATTCAGAGAAGAGCTTGTCGATCAGACGTGCGCTGGGCTCGCGTATCACGCCTGTGTGATGTTCTTGGCTGTGGCGGCGTCGCCAGGTATCCATCGAGACCGCTCGATATCTGGCCTTGTGATGGTGTCAGCTTGGAAAGTGTGATGTGTGAGGCGTAGCCGGTTATTGATCTGCGTTACTGCTATGCTTATCCAACGTCTTTTATTTGTGCGTGGATGAGTTCAACTTCTGTTGCTCCATGAAGTGAAGATTATTTTGTAAGATTCGTGAGAGGGGGAAGTTGAAACAGAATGAAGTTCGAGCTGTGTTCGCCGTAGCGACTGAGAGATCGTAAAGAAAGGGACAGACATGTTAGAACTACGCCTCCCCTTAGAATCATGGATGTATAACATTAGCGTTGGGATTGGCATTTTTTTCAGTATTATATTTGACCACATATTTTACCTTAAAAAATACAACAAATCTAAAAATACAACAAGTCTATCTTAATAAATCACATAAATCATCAATTCTTGCATACAAATTTCGGACTTTGGGGACATTCGGTACGTACTTTAACTATATGACAGTAATTTGAGGTACGTCTTGTCTCCAGCTTCTGGGAGTTAGAGTCAAGGAAAGCATTCCACTTTACATGCAATTTCATCGTATTTAACTTTTGACATCCAGGCACATGATGAACTCGGCAATCCTGGGCAGCGAGACGTGTTTTTAACATGGCCCTCAAGACACTGACCATGTACAAGACTTGACTTAGTTTGGGGTAGTGACTGAAAGATAAGTGATTATAAGAGATGACGCGTGGGAATGAGTCTAAGGTAGTAACTCTGTGTCCTAAGTAGATAAAGGGTGAATTTGTATGAAATGCTACTTCGTGGAGTACCCAGGTCATTCTGAGATCTAGTCTGAGACCCGATCTATCAACTTGGATTAGTCGTTGCTATAATATAGCTGATTTATTCTACCCGTCGATGCTCAAATTCTCAAATTAGGTCTTTACAACCCACCGCGTTTCTATCAAGTGCCCATTCCGCTTCTTCGTACGAGAGGCTCTCCCATTAGACAAAGTATTCCTTGGTTTTCCTGTCACGCATGAGATTGGCTCGCATCTACATCCATTCATTACTTTCACAGTAATAGACAGCAAAGGCGTTTTTGCAGCTCAGTGCCGGGAAAGGAGAGGTACGCATACATTGAGTCCTATCTGAAAGCCTGGAGCAAGACAATTTCGTACTTGAAGAAAGCCCAAATGGCAAAGCGAAACAACACAATTTTCACCTCTTCCAGTGGATCCAGGAACGGGTACTGACAGTACATACGTATGTCTCAATTCAGAGATGACATATCAGGGGAAAAGATAAGCTTTTTACTCTCTCATTTCTGCTTCCTTCTTCCTCTTCTTCCCTGTTAATCCTTTGCCTTGTCCCATATCGCTTTTTTTATTGTTTTTACTTCCTTGCTGTCCTCTATCGAGATTTCATGAGCCCTTGCTCATCTGAAACTGTCGAAAAAGGACCATTCGATTTTTAACTGAGAGGAGACTTCGGAATTCCAGCTAGACTCGCACGGTCAATCAACAACGGCAAAGACCCCGCAAGAGGGGCAGTCCGACCCCCATCACGATTCTCAGAGCCCAGCTCGGCACAAATGCACGAAGCAAAAGCGCCACAGGGAGGAGACCGAAAGTTAAAAGTCAGAGGAGGATGCGACAGACAGCATCATATTGGTTGGTAAAGGCGAACAGAATGTACTATAATCCAACACGAATTGGCACTAACTTCAAAGTTAGTATCTCCAGTCTTACTAAGAGTCGAGAACTTGTATATCGCAGGAACGTCCATGGAACAAATTATTCAACTGAACGGGAGAACTTCATTGATGCTTTTACTTCGGCCGTACTGCAAAGATATGATGTTGAGATTTATGGTGGCCGGCCATGGTTTATGCCATGAATGAGCCATGACGGCAACCACAGTGATTCATCACCTGGGAAATCTAATTAGGACTAGCTTAAGGCAGAGTTTTCTGGTATATAAGGAGATTCTCACGCAAATGAGAATCTCCAGACTTAAACACCTCGATAATCTATTATTAGATTATCTATATTGTACGGTCGTACCGGTCATCATTCCTACTTGCATCGTAGCCTTTAACATATGAGACTGGTTGGTTCCTTCAGGCCTATCCCACTCTTCTTTTTTGGCTACCCACACCGTGGAATATATATATTTTTAAGCAAGAAAGACAAAATCCCTATCGACGTATCTTAGAATTGCACCCTTATGTGTAAGCAGCGGGGTGTAAAGAGGGGAATGGGCGTATCAAGTCTCACGCGTTAGGGTTAGCAAGGCAAGTCACGATGAATTCACGGAGAAAAGCCGGGAATTGGGCCCACAAGCACTTGAAGCGTATAAGCCTTGAATGCAGTACCTGCGATCGGATATCACGGCAAATCCGGTTTGTCCAGTTTTCCTCCCCGAGGCTGGTCAGGTACAATGCGATACAACTATATACTTCATCGTTTCCCCATGGGGAAACCAAAATGCGGGGTGAGCGGGTGCTGCCGACGATAAACTTATGCAGTATACCCAATTTATCCTCTCTGCTGTGCCGATTCTGACGCTCATTGCAACATACTACTAAGATTCTGTTATGCGACATGCAGCAAATTGCGAGATCGGCATTCATCATACCGAAGATGGTATGTCCACGGAATGCACAACTACGCGCTTGCACGCGTTGCGGTGTAGAGATTCCCCGGCATTTCCGTAGACGTCAATGCAAAGTATCTAATTTGTATTTAGCCTCTAGCCGATTATACCCCTCTCTTATGAGAAGACTAGTTTGGAAATAGTCGACCTTGTTCCACCAGCGCTCTAGCAAGTCGAGCGCCCAGCTCTAGGAGGGGATAGTGATTATCCCTCTATCTCACTAGCACTCGGTTGCATTTCGGGACCACTGCGGAGGTTCAAGTATAAATTGGAGGATATCACCTGTCAAAAAAGCTGTGTTCTGCGATCTTCATCTGCAAAGATGGTATACAAAGCCTATACTTCGGGCCTCTTGCTAAGCCTTGCTCTAAGTTCTGCCACACAAGCGGAGAATATCACCAGTGACAATTTCTTCTATGGACAGTCTCCACCAGTCTACCCGTCGCGTATGTGATCCCTGGGTTTGTTCGGGGCAGGAAGACAAATACTAACTAAAGCTTTAGCGGAGGGGACTGGCTCCGGTTCATGGACCTCAGCTTATCAGAAAGCTAGACAATTTGTTGGCAAGCTCACTCCCGAGGAAAAGGTCAATTTAACAGCAGGAGTCTCGGTTAAGAATGGGTGTTCCGGCAACATTGGAGCGGTTGAGCACCTAGGATTTCCTGGCTTCTGTGTCTCTGACGCTGGCAATGGGTTGGTGAGTACTAACCGTCGAAGTCGATGTAATTCATCTGACAAGTATTAGAGAGGAACCGATTATGTCAGTAGTTGGCCCAGTGGGATTCATGTCGGAGCTAGGTAAGAACTTCCACTGACTTGAATTTACCGCAAACTGATCATACCGTATAGCTGGAACAAGAATTTGGCCAACCAACGAGGAAGTCACATGGGTGCTGAGTTCCGTAGAAAAGGCGTGAATCTCTTACTTGGACCCGTTGTTGGCCCTCTCGGCCGTGTCGTTGAAAGCGGACGGAACTGGGAAGGGTTTTCGACTGATCCCTATCTGACTGGTGCACTTGTGTATGAGACAATCACGGGTGTACAGTCGGCAGGAGTGGGAACATCTACAAAGGTAAGGTCGATGTGTTGGTTTTGAAGGAATGAGCTAACAATTACTAGCACTACATCGCAAATGAGCAAGAAACAAACCGGAACCCTGGAAAGAACGCACAAGGTGAAGCTGTGGCGGCGGTATCTTCCAACATAGATGACAAGACTATGCATGAACTGTATCTATGGCCGTTTCAGGATGCTGTGCTGGCTGGTAGTGCATCGATAATGTGTTCATACCAACGGATCAACAATTCATACGGCTGCCAAAACAGCAAGACTCTCAACGGTCTGCTCAAAACCGAACTTGGATTTCAAGGTGAGTTACTCTTCTATAGTCACTGCCAGCCCAACTAACATCCCCAGGCTATGTGATCACTGACTGGGGTGCTCAGCATGCTGGCATTGCAGCAGCCAATGCGGGTCTGGATATGGTGATGCCTTCTTCATCGTTGTGGGGAGGTAATTTAGAAACTGCCATCGCCAATGGATCCATGAAGGCCTCCAGGTTGGATGACATGGTTACTCGGTATGCAATCGCTCTTGCTGCTTCTATGTTTACTAAAAACTAACATTGGTACTATTAGTATCATGGCAACTTGGTACCAGTTCAAGCAAGACACGGGCATTCCTAATCCAGGCATTGGTATGCCCTCAGATGTCAGCGCCCCGCATAAAAAAGTGATCGGAAAGTCTGCAGATTCGAAAGACACTTTGCTTCAGGGAGCCATTGAAGGACACGTTCTGGTCAAGAACACGAAAAACGCACTACCCTTGAACAAGCCCGGTCTTGTATCGGTATTTGGATATGACGCCAAAGGGCCGGACTTCTTGGAGGTCTCGCTCGGCTGGACCCAGGGGACTCCTGTGACTCAAAATAGCACTTTATACGTTGGAGGAGGCTCGGGTGCCAACTCCGCCGCGTACGTGGATAGTCCCATTGATGCTATTCAGCGCCAGGCCTACGCCGATGGTAGCTCTGTCATGTGGGATTTCGATTCTCAGGACCCTGACGTGGATCCCACTTCGGACGTCTGTCTAGTCTTCGTTAACAGCTACGCCAGTGAAGGCTTTGATCGTCCTGGACTGAGTGATGAGTACAGCGACACATTGATTACCAACGTGGCGAGCAAGTGTTCCAACACTGTAGTTGTGATTCACAATGCGGGTATTCGTGTTGTCGATGACTGGATTGAGAATGCAAACATCACCGCAGTCATATTCGCTCACTTGCCCGGTCAGGATTCCGGTCGCGCAGTTGTTGAACTTCTTTACGGCCAGGCCAACCCATCAGGACGGCTTCCTTACACCGTCGCCAAACAGGCAAGCGATTACGGAGACTTACTGCAACCCTCTCAGCCGGAAGGGGACTACTGGCAATACCCACAGTCCGACTTTACGGAGGGGCAATTCATTGATTATCGCGCATTCGACTCCCAGGGGATTGTCCCTCGATTCGAGTTCGGATATGGACTATCATATACCACCTTCAAATACTCCAGTCTTCAGTTACAGAAGAAGAGTACCCCCTGGTCAACATACCCAGCCGCAGCTAAGATTGTGGAAGGTGGCAACCCTCGCCTTTGGGATGAACTCGTGCACGTCTCTGCTACCGTGCAAAACTCAGGCTCGGTGGATGGTAGTGAGGTGGCACAGTTGTACGTTGGAATCCCCAATGGCCCTGTACGTCAACTGCGCGGATTCGAAAAGGTGCCTTTACAACGTGGGAAGAGTGCGACAGTCTCTTTCTCGTTGACACGGAGAGATCTGAGCAGCTGGGATGTCACGGCGCAGCAGTGGGCTCTTCAGAAGGGGCAGTACAAGATCTGGGTGGGACATTCGAGTCGGAACCTGCCACTCGAGAGTACTTTCACATTCTAAATATGGATGATGATCGAGACTGAGAATGGAGAACGTATATCTAATTCGAGTAATCAAATTCCAATAACTTTTGTTTCAAAACTCCATGCCATATGCACCCCGGCATTCCCTCGGTGCGGGTTTCAGGAATTAGAGTAGCTTCAGAGGACGAGCCAGGGCACATGCACCTCCGAATAGAGCTGTCACTCCAGTGAAGATGATAATGTTGCCGTAAGTACTGCCATAGGCATACGCGCTGGTAGAAACAGTATGCGCAATCAAAGCCTCACTCAAGAACCCACTAGCGATATTTCCAATCCCACGACCAGTCTCGAGGATGCCAAAGATCATCGACATATCAGCTCGTTCATTCTTCTTCTGAGTCTCCCTTGTGATAGCGGTCCATGTTGACGTGAATGAGCCCGCAAAGAAACCATAGACAATGCAGAATATATATAGAGGCGCAATTGAAACGCTGAAGCCCCAGATGAGGAAGACAGACAGTGTGGTTCCAACGCTGGACAGGAGCATGCAAGTCGTAGCATGGTGTCTGTCCACGAGCATTCCCATCACCACACATCCACCAATAGAAGCAAGATTGAACAAGATGACAGTCAACGAAGCCAACGGACCGGTCACGCCCAATGATCGGGCTTGACTTGGGAGATACACAGCCGGAAGGAAGAAGCCTAATGCTTCGATCGTGTTGCACACTTGATAGATGGCAAAGGACCGTGTCCAGATGAAGCCAAGATCGAATGGTCTGATCTTGCTAGAAGTCGAAGACGAAGTCGGAATACGTGGCTTGACGAAGTAGATAACCGGCGCAATAAGAATCATCAAGAGAACAGACCAGACGCGCAGAGTAGTTCGGAAGCCATACTCGTTCAGCATCCACTGAAGCACAATGGGGAACACAACACCAGATAGACCAGTCCCTGCCTAAAATCGAGTAAGTCGGTATTACCACAATCAAGATGAGAACCTAACGCACCCACATAGTCCCAAAAGCAAGCCCACGCTTCTTGACAAACCACTCACCCATCCACAGAATGACAGGCGAATAAGCCAACCCAGCCCCAAGACCGTAGCCCACGCCCTGCGAGAGAATAAGATGTGTCGTAGTCGTGGAGAAAGAACTTAAAGCTAGCGCCAAACACATAACCAAGAAGCCCACTGGAGTCGCAAGTCTTCTAAAGCGAGGTACTCCGAGCAACAATGCAAAATCCAGAGGAGCAGAGAGATACGCGATTCCCTGCCGTATATTAGCACAAGCACATCGAACATAGAAACGGACATTTTACCAATGCACAAGTACCAATAGCAGCGATATTACCCGAGTTCTTGAACTCATCACTGGAAAGATAATAATCCTGAAAAACACCATAAGAAAACGCGAAACCTGCAGAACTATTAGCACGGTCAAGATAGTAGATAGTCATATCACTGCTAACCCCAGGTCAATCCTTCGATGATGAAGCCAGCTACTAGGAACATCCATGCATCTTTGCCTCCATCCACTGGGGGGAGTTGTCTTCCTTCGTGTGCATGAACCAGGTCATCCGGCTCCGAGAAGTCAGTGTTGCTGTTGCTAGATTCGAGTTCCATTTTTATATATGAAGAATTATCATTGGAATAAGGAATGATAATGTTTCGAGGTTTATAAATGTCCAACGAGACTTATAGGGGAGATAGTGGGTCTTGAATAGCGAATCAGATGGGAGATGTAGTCCACAGGGCGCATATGTCGGTCGCCCTTAGGGTATTTAGCAACGGGCTACTGTTGCATCGCGCTTTGGTATTAAAGTGGGAGATTGATTTCATTGATGGCCATTGATGAGATCTATTTCATATCTATGGTCTAACATCCACAAACAGGCGTAATAATTACAACGAAGAAACGTATACAGGTATCTAAAGCTTGCTCTTAGGCTCATTCTTGAGCAGGGCGGAGTTCCAGGGGTATGGGTCGAAGGTGAGGTCGTTGACCGGGTTCTCCTGGCTGGCGCGACGGAAGAGATCCTCGTACACCTTACCGTCGTACCGGCCGAGACTGCTGTCAAGCTGCCAGTCGGGAATGGCCCAGGAGTCGACGAGGCGAACAGCGTGTGGGCGGATCTCATCGAGCAGATTCATGACAGCGGTGGTGCGAGTCAAGGTGATCTGTCGGACGGTGACAGCACCGGAGGAGAAGAACTCTGCGGCCTCGCGCTCCAGAGTGTGAAGTGCGTACAGGCGGAAGAGCTGGTGCATCAGTGCCTTGGTCTCAGGGTCCAAGGCTGAGGAGAGCTCGGGGGAGGAGACGGCATCGTAGAAGTTCTTAACCACAAGGTACTGGGAGTGAGCGGTCGACAGGCGCCAGAAGTCAACCAAGAGGCTGTTCCAGGAGCGCTGCTCGGCATCGCGGTGCTTCAGAGCCTCAAAGGTCAGGTGGGCTGTGCGCCACGCGAATGCAGCCACAATATCCTTATCCTCTTGGAGCACATCGAAGGAAGCTCCCTTGTCACGGCGGTCAAGGTATGTCTGAAGGATCTGGCTGGTGTCGTTGCCAGCGGGCTTTCCGGCCAGGACGGCACGGGCAGACTTGAGCAGCTGTGAAATGGATTAGTATCAAATAGAAGCGACGATCATTAATAAAACGACTTACGTAACGGGCGACCTGCTGGGTCAGCATGTAGTTATCACCCTCCCAGGTCAGAGTGGGGAGGTAGTCAGAGTACCACGGGCCAATGCCGCTGTAGCTGCTGTATCCATGGCCACCACATGCGCGACGGCAGACCTCCAAACCCTCACCAGCGGTGGTACTGGCCAGAGCCTTCAGGCCACACGAGGTAGCGTGGAGATCCGCCAAGAGGTTGGCACCAGCACGGAGCTCCTCAGGTCCAGCGCCACGCGAGTCCTGTCCAGGAGAGTTGGCAGCCTTCATGCGGCTTTGGTTCTCTTCGTAGAGACGCATCATGCCGCGACCAGTGAAGTGGAGTGCGTACATGGATGCCAGGAGTGGCAAGAGTCGGACCTGAACCATCTTGTAGTTCAAGACTTGGTTCTCGCCAGCATGGGCGTCCGCGTCACGATCCTGGAACTGTCTTCGAACGGCACAGTATCTGGTTGCAATAGTAACACCACGAGCCAAGACACCACCAGCCTGGAGAACAATGTTGGATCGCACCCAGGTAAGAGTGCCGAAGACCAACGAGGGAAGAGCGGGCCGAGAGTAGGCATTCGTGCTCTTGTCGATGGAAGAGAAACGGGCCAGCATGTTGACATGGGGCACCTTGACATTGTTGAACAGCAAGAAGCCGTTGTCCATAGTGCTGGATTGGGTTAGTCACTGTACTTGCGCCGTTGGTAAATCAAACTTACTTGTATCCAAATTTAGGACCAATATCGCCCACATACACGTTCTCCAAGGGCTGATGGCTCTGCAAGTCACGGACTTGCACCACGAATGGGTGAGGACCATAGTTCTTGCCATCGATGAATAGCTGGGCCATCACAACAGCATGATTGGCAGTGCGACCGAGGGATCCAATCCACCACTTGGAGGCAGTCAATGTGGGCGAGTTGATGGTGAAGGTCTTGTCGCTGGAGTTCCAGGTGGCGGTGGTCTCGAGACCGCGGACGTTGGATCCGTGGCCCAATTCGGTCTGTGCGTAACATCCGATAATTTCGTATTTCTGAGCCCGCTCAAGGAACAGCTTGTGTTGCTCGGGGGTACCTTGTTCCCGGAGAGTCACCTAGAAGACGAGGGAGCGGTTAGTCTTGTTCTGCCGATGTATATATTTTGTCACTTACCAGGAACATGCTGGCGTGCAAGCCATAGGGTGTGGGCTCTCCAATCAGCTCATTGGCTGCATGAAGCTCCTCCATTGACCATTTGTGTTGCTCCGACAGCTGCTGAAGGCGCTTGGCCTTGGCCAAAGAGCGTTGCAGCCGCTCCACTCGGCCGAGTGAGTGGTTTTGCGACTTGTCAAAGACCTTCTCAGGCTGCAAGAGGGCCAGGAGAGATTCTTGACGTTTTAATGATTCCTTGGTGTGGAGCAATTCGGACAACTTTTCCACGTTGACGTTGGACTGCGCTCGCTCCTGTTGGAGCAGCTCGGAGCCTTGCGGACCCGATGGCTTAAGGGCCTTGACCCATTCAGGAGTAGGAGATGGCATGGTGTGAAGATTGGAGAGATGTGAGAAACACAGTGGAGGAAAGCCAGGGATTATGAACCCGGGGACAAGTCAGTGACGTTTCCCCAGGCCGAGGGACATTCGTCCTAACTAGGAAAGAGCCGAGGCAGAGCTCGGCCAATCAGAACCGCGCGATGGAGTTCCGGCTTCGGGCCCTCTCTCTTCACTATGGAGAACACACTACGGAGCACAGAAAATGGGGACTGGAGAGCCTAGGCATTTTTCTCATCTGAATTACCGTGGCTTTTCTCCCCCGCACAAGTGCCGACCTATTTGTTCTGGGGTAACCGGGGCAAACCTGAGTCCAGCTCGGCATCTCGAAGCCCGAGATCAGCTAATAACCTTGGGAAGATCGGCGATTTCACGGCATGAATAAGCAGACCTTCGGGGATCAGCTGACTGCATCACATGGATTCGATCTGATAAGAAAAAATGGCATGTGACGCTTTATTCGCTGCTGAACTTCACCCGCGGCAAGCCCAGCCACGTAAGGAGAATGGCACCTGACAGAGCAATGATGAACGGCTGAAGCACCTTGACTCCTTTGGCCTGTGCCAGTACACCCACCGCAAAAGGGAGAATCGCGGCTCCACTGCCTCCAAACGCAGCCACAAACCCAATCGACGTGACGTGCAGGTGCCGGGGCAGAAGCTTGGTGACCATCACGATGGCCCCTGGAAAGAGAGGTCCCAGGAAGAAACCCTGGAACGAGACTGCCACGGCCGAGGCATAGAACTGGGGCACGAGCCACAGAACGAGACCAAAAGCGATTGAACAAACAATGTATCCCTTGAAAAAGTCAGTGCCAGATCTCGTGGCAGATGGCGGATGATCTCACCGAGATTGCAATCTTCTCACCCACCCGGGGTGTGACGAAGCCCAGAATCACGCGGCCTACGGTGATGCCGAGCCAGAACCCGGTGGCCGTCATACCGCTGGCAAAGGCACCGCCTTGTCGGACTCGAATCATGAAGGTCACAATCCACCCTCCAAGGGCGACCTCCACACCAACATAGCCCAACAAGAACAAGGCACAAAGCCATGTGATCCGGGCCGCTGGACGTTTAAAAAGTGCATCTCGGAGTCCGCCCTTTTTATTCTCCTCAACTGATTGTCTGTTCGCTGCACGGAATTCTACGGCGGTGGATTTCCAGAAGCAAGAAGTGGAAACCACAATTTCAACGGCCGCACATCCAACCTGACTATTAAGCTGTGCTCGTGTTGCGGGCGAGACGCACTTACCATGACATAGTAGAAATAATACCATGGCAGACCACCCCTCGCGATCATCGATGTTGCGATCAACGGACTGATGACTGCCCCAACCCCGTAGATTCCATGCAAAAATCCCAGCACCTCATTTGCATTGGCCATATTACCGATCCATGCGTTCCAAGCTGCATCTTCCACCCCATTGCCTAATCCCGCAAAGATGAACGCGACCACGAGCACTGGATAGGGCGGGTGAACACAGTTGATCACATAGGCGATGAGATGGCATCCTGACCCGAGGATCGCCACACCACGCTGTCCAAAGGCGTTGTGGATGCGCTGATTCAGAAATGCAGCGATGGTGTACCCTACCAGAGGCGACAAGAAAACCAAGGAAACGATCGTATAAGATAGGTTATAGTATGATTCCAGCTGACATCCAGGTTAGAGCTTGGCACATTGATCATGAGGGATCTTACATATGGAATCAGGGCCTGTATTTAGTTAGCATTCATCACGACCGAGGCACTTTCCCCACAACTCACACCATAAGCAGCATCATTCGCTCCCATCACGAGAAAACACCAGAACGTCGCAAACGTTCGATACATGTTGAGACGATTCTGGTTCCACTTTTCTAAAACCGGGAACTGATTTGGCTGGCCGGAGGTTGATTCTGCATCTGACTGTTGGCGAGGCAAAGCCTCGAGCGTGATGAGACTTGCATCATGGGATTCTTGAATCACACAGGTAGACATGGTACTGAGGGTTCATTTGAAGGTGAAAGCGAATTCTCGTCGAGAAAGACATGCAAACACATCAAATGCGGAGTTTGGACCCGCGTTGCCGGATCGGGATGAGGGGACAATGACGCCGGTTGAACTTCGGCGTTCACCGCTTCCTGTTAGGCTTTGAGAGCTGAATCTCGGAGATTTGAATTGACAGGATTCTTTTATTCTTGGTAGGCTGTAATTCCTGGTGGTTTACGGGGTTTATATCTACATGTCTGGAGCATCGCTTGACTTGTTGAGAGTGTTAAGGGTTTCTCGATCCGCGATGCTTATAGTCTACTGTGGGTGATGGCAAAATTGCCCCAAGAGCATGAGATGAGTCACCGTGGCGCCCCGAGCGGCTCACAGGCGACCTGAGCAGCTTTAGCTGATCGGTCTATGTCTAGTTTAGTTTATCCTTTCAAATGCTCAAATAATAACCACACTATAAACGAATTTTAGCAGTTTAGCATATAGCAAAGCACTTCAAACAATATGTTATATAGTACAAGCGCCTATCTAAAGATGTAATATCTAGATTTATAGTTGTCATTGCCACGTAGACCAAGAGCAGAAAGTAAAGAACGATAAGTGAAATTTCCCAAATTGATATTGACCACAGCGTATAAGATGAGAAATAAACCTCCAGATTACAGCATCTTGGTTGTTTCTTCTGCTGCAAGCGTCTCTAGTATTGCTTACCGGTGCAAGGAGAAATTGGGTCAGATTACGGGGGAGAACGACTGTCGGTGCTTGCTCCGCACACGTTATTCGTTGCCTGACTTCTTTGGCAAAATATGACTTCCAACAGGACAACAATGCACCTTAGAAGCACTTCCTGAACCAACATGGATCCCTACAAGATTCAAATCATCAAGGAGATCGCGTGCTCTGATTCATCCTCTATATCCGGGGTAGATCTGGATGGACACAAGTATGCATTGAAGCATTTCCACGACAACGACGACCCTGGATATACCAAAAAAGGCCGTGATTTGAATCAGTTTCGCTGCGAACTCAATTCATATGAGAAGTTCCTTGCCTCCGGTGTCTGCAGGCGCCATTTCGTTCCCATTCTACGACTACATGAATCGCATAGATCCCACAGCATTCCATCCTGCTCTCCAACATTTCGTCCAAGACCAGTTCAACCCAAGAGCAATATTCCTAGAATATTTTCCAAATGCAGAGAGTTTAAACTGCTTGAACTATTCAGATGTGCTCTATCCCAAGGCAGTCGAGGGCATGAAAGAGATACACTAGACAGGCGTTCACCACTAACAAATCTACCCCAGAATTCTTCTCCTTGTTCGTGGAAACCCCGATAGACTGGTTTGGGTTGACTTTGATGTTGCAACGACCTTTACCGACTTTGGACCTGAACAGATTGCCTGTTGTGACCATGAAATTGCGGTTGTGAAGGGATTTGGGGATGCACTAGTAGGGTCAAGCTACTCCGTATCTTAGACGAGGTAAGCATGCTGACCGATACAGCGAGATGACCAGGCTGAGGGTCTGCCACCGTATACAAAATTTTATTAAGAGTGTCATAGGCTCGAAAATATTCTGTCAATGTTTGACCGCGTGCATGCATTCTTGGAACACAACGAACGGAGTCCTGAGCAGGGGCTGTTCTAGTTCATTTTACTCTATTTTATTTTCTACTTAAAATCAAGGGCAAGGTTAACGCCGATCTAATCAAGAGGCTTCACGGCCAATTGGTCCTGTCTTAGTCAAAATCATCTTCTATCGAGGCACATCGACAGATCAAAGTTGGCAGAGGGTTTTTCTTATACAGATTAGAGCCCTTACACCTAAAACGAAATGGCAGTGGGAGCACGATACATGTTCCTAAGTTCCGACATCAAACATTTGCTCTTTGATATTGTCACTTTGACTGAATAGGAAACGTTTGACCGGAAGGCTGTATGAAGCCCGTGAATCTACATTTATATCCTCAATCAAAATCCTACCGCAGTTATATAATCAACAGCGAAATTGTCGAAAATTGGAGAACTCCTCTCGGTCTATCGGCCTTGGTAACCCCGCAATACGAGCCAACCCGCCTTTTGGCTGTTTGGGATGTTGTTTCTCCACCAATCGGGACATTCATGTTCATATATAAAGCATTTCACCATCGTCAAACCACTTCGGCGACAATGAGTTATACAAATCCAATCATACCAGGGTTCAACCCCGACCCGTCCATCATCCGGGTCGACAAAGACTTTTTCCTTGTAACATCCACATTTGAATATTTTCCGGGAGCCCCTATATACCATAGTCGGGATTTGATCAAATGGAAGTTGATCGGCCATGCCTTGACCAGGCGCAGCCAGATTCAGATCCATACACCAGAGCCAGGAGGTGGCTTATGGGCCACGACAATCCGGTATCATCGTGGAATTTACTATGTCATCGCAGCGAGCTTCCAGCGGTATCACCCACAACAGGATGACCGAGTGTGGCCACAGGGATTCTATGTCAAAACCACCAATATCTGGGATGAAAAGGCATGGTCTGATCCAATTTATTTTGATCAAGTTGGCTTCGACCAAGATGTGAGTTACGAAAAAGAGCATGACGAACATCAAATGACAATAGATAGCTTTTCTGGGACGACGATGGGACCGTATACCTATCGTCTACCTACCGAAAACTTCAACCGACGCCAGGGGCGAAACTCAAGGATTTCGCCATTCATATCTGCACTGTTGACTTGGAAAGCGGCCATTCCACGTCTGAGCCGAAACTGATTCGCGAGTCTTCCTCTGGAGTTGCAGAAGGCTCACACATCTTCAAGCGCGGTAGATACTGGTATCTTTTCACTGCGGAGGGGGGCACTGAAAGTGGGCATTCAGAATGGGTCAGTCGCAGCGAGGTTGGGCCCCTTGGACCTTGGGAACTCGGACCAAACAATCCACTTTGGCGTAATGGGGTTGACGATGAAGTTCAAAATACCGGACATGCTGATTTGGTCGAGGATATCAACGGGCAGTGGTGGGCTGTTTTGCTTGGGGTTCGTCCACTACGACGAGATGGCAAGTGGGAGGAATCGGTGCTAGGTCAGTGCACTCCGATATCAGGTCAACCACTTTACTAACAAAATAGGCCGAGAAACCTTCTTGGTACCGATGGACTGGGAGCAGGATTGGCCTGTCATCAACAAAGGACAGAAGATTGCGCTTCAATCTCAAGGGCCGGGTCTTTATCAGCTTGAGAGTCCAGTGTCTTGGAAAGACGAGTTCACTGCTCCTGAAATGCAGTTGGGGTGGTATAGAAAGAGTATGAAATTCACCTAGTTGTCACACAGGTTATTGAACTGTGCTGATGATTGATAGACACGCCCTTTGTCAAGGATTACTCGCTCACTGAACGCCCAAGTTATCTCCGACTCTATGGCGGTCCTTATAATCTGTCGGTGCCAGCTTCCCCAACCATGTTTCTCCGCAAGCAAACTCATAGACGCTGCGTATGGGAGACACGGATGTCGTTTTCCCCTACGACAGATGCCACAGAAGCAGGGACTGTGCTCTGGATGAACTACTTTACCTACAGCAGTCTTGGCATTCGCCAGACCGAAAAGGGGCGTTGCATTATGTTTCGACCATCAGAAGGAGAAACAGTGGAGTGTGAGATAGGCGCAACAACAGACGTCATTTTCACGATCGAATGTGGCACTGAATATCGATTTGGGTATCGAGCACACAACGAAACCAGTTTCCATTGGATCGGCTCAGTCTCGAATGACGTCGCAACCAAAGCCCCCTCCGTCGGGGCCAATTTTACAGGCATGATGATGGGACTGTATTGTTTCGGAGAGCGACAACGATGCCTCACACCCGCCGATTTTGTGTATGCTGAATTCCGGGAGAATCTCGGGTGAAGTGGAAGGGAAAATGCAAGGGGTCCCGGACCCGTTTATTACCGTACCAAACACTGTGCTTAACTCCGTCGTAATTAAAACCGCCATCCACCTGGACTTCGTTCATAAAGCCCGTTCTGTTCAACTTGCTGACACCCGACACCCGCGCTAACATGACCGACTCCTCTACTCACATCGCCAATCCAATTTCGTCCGATGAAGCGGATGACAATTGGTCAGGGCTGACTGACCCGGCTGAGCGTCGACGGCGGCAAAACCGCATCAACCAGCGGGCCTACCGTAAGCTGCAAGCCCCAGTCCATTTAGGTAATTCATCAGACGCTAACTTGGATCTGATAGGGAAGCGTAAGCGGCTCCAAAATAAGGACATCCACCCTAAGAGCTTGGTCAAATCGACCAAGCCAGTATCATCGACATCATTGGCATCACCTACATCGGCATCGGCATCATCGGCATCATCGGTATCATCAACATCGCCCCAGTCCCAGAACGCCATCATTCCATCTAAACTCAAAGCATGCAGCCCGGGGACTCTACAAGATCTACTGGAGAAATTTGCAAAATCAGCCATTGAAAGCTACGCACGCGGCGATCCGACAGCCGACCACCTCATGACACTGACGAAAGTCAATGTCTTCCGAGCCTTCACGCAGAATTTAGAATTGATCGGCTGGTCACCATATTGGATGGAAGACGACGCCATCTCCATCTTCAATCAAGGGTCCCCCCAAAGAGAATCCACAGCCTTCGATCACAGCCATCTCCCACCCATGCTTCAGCCCACGCGGGTCCAAAAAGCCATGCCTCACCACCCGTGGCTAGATTTCTTCCCTCTCCCCAAAATGCGCGACAATCTCATCGAAGCAGGCGATGAATGGGACGACGAACAGCTCTGCCATGACATCATGGGATTCTGGGGCGAGTCGACAATGGACTCCGGACTCCTGGTGTGGGGGGAACCGTGGGACATTCGAAATTGGGAAGTGACAGAGCCGTTTTTGAAGAAGTGGCAGTGGATAGTTCGGGGGTGTCCTGAATTGATGAACGCGACGAATGCTTGGCGCGCGCGTCGGGGCGAGAAGTTGATATTCCGCTATATCTAAACCAATACCAATGCAGGATTATCATGCTAAGACGATGGAAATGCCAATTAACTGAGTTGCCTGATCAGAAATTCTTGGGTTCAGTGGCGCTGCAGGCTGCTGACCGCGCTAGTTGAGCCTAATTCTTAACTCCGTAGCTCCAGCCAATCAGGATGGAGAGATCCGGTATGGTTTTGTAAGAACAGTACTGACTTGGAGTATTGTAAGGGTATCGTTCTTGATTGGTGAGTATAAGTGAAACTTCAATCTGGAAACTACTCATTGCTTCGATGCCGTATAAAGCTTCCGAAACTCCGACTCACGCGCCAACAATGCTGCCGGGGCATCGAACTCGACAACAGCTCCGTTCTGTAGAAGCGCCACACTATCAAAGCGCTCAATATGCCGTAACCGATGCACGACAGCAATAACCGTTTGAGCCGCGCACTCCTGCTCAATAATGTCCAGCATCCGATTCTCGGTTTCCCAGTCGACACTACTAGTCGCTTCGTCCAAGATGAGCAACGGGCTCGGGGTAGTCAATGCCCGGGCCAGTGCCAACAGTTGCTTTTCGCCAAATGACCAGTCTAGTGCGCCGAGATTGGCATCCAGCCCGCCTTTTGCGAGGATTGAATCCCAGAGTCCCACTTTCTTGATTGCAGCGATGATCTGCTCTTTTGATACGGTGCCCTCGGGGTCGAAGTTATCACACAGTGTGCCGGGGAGAAAGAATGGGCTCTGTGGGATGACCGTAATCTGTGAACGGAGCGCAGCAATCTTGATTGTGGAAATGTCTACGTTGTCAATGGTGATGTGGCCCTGGGTGATTTCTAGCATGCGTAGTAGGCTCATGATGAGGGAAGTCTTGCCGCTGCCAGAAGGCCCGCAGACGGCGATCTTATGACCACTGAGGATATGCAATGAAAGATCAGAGAGAATAGATCTATCACGAGCACTATCGGAGCCAGGACATTCCAGTCAGCGTTCTTCATCCAATTGAGGTGGGGGAATCATTCGTGACCTGCTCTCCCTCGACATACCTATATCCCGCGCTGACATTCTCAAAGCGAATATCTGCGCGAGTAAGCCAGTCCGACTCTATCCCGTCTGATGGTTCAGCAGGCGTCGCTGCAGTAAACTCCTTAACGCGTGACACTGCCCCGAGTGAGATCTCCATTTCTGTCCATGACTCAATGGCAGTATTCAGGTTCTGACTGATGGATATGATCAGATTCAGCGCAACTCCGATCTCACCGGCGCTGAAACGGTCTTTGAGACCGGTAAAAATGGCAACGAGGACAACTGCAAAAATCATGACGAGCAGGTCTAGTGCCAGTTTGAGCCCCTGCCGCGTACAAAACAGCATATAAAATGGCTTTTGGGTGACATCTAGCTTGGCGATGCATTGCTGGTGGAACTGCGGTTGCCAGTGCAGGCTTTGAATCACCGTGAGTCCGCTTACAGTCTCTTGGAAGTGAGAGAATAAGAGTGCCTTGGCTTCAATATCCAAGAGGCGAACCTGTCGGGAGGTTCGAAGGTAGCCTAGTTGGAGGACCCAGATCGCAATTAACACGAATGGAAGTGCTATGGTGATATACTTGCCGACCACGCAGAGTATGACCATACTGACGACACCGAGGCTTAGAGCTGGACGATTGATGTTAGTCAAGGGGCCTTGAACATGCATGAGGGACAGCAACTTGCCTTCCACGAAATTTAATGCTGTTATCGGAAGGAGAAAATCGATGAGCTGCATATCTTCGCTAAAGCGGTTCATGATGCTTCCGCTATCTGACTTCTGGAAGAAACTGAAGCGGGCACTGAAGGTTAATCAGTAAAAGTTTCCTGTAGCTGATTTCTGTCAACGCACCGTAGAACAGATTGCAAGAGGTCCGAATGAAGAGCCAGCGAAGTGTTGCCGACGATCTCGACGATCAACAACCTACGTCTAAATCAGCATATTCACATAGCGAGAGAATGGCAAAGATCTTACCAGCATCCGGCTCCAAGAGAAATAATAGCCAAGAGAGAAATGACCGTATAAACACCGAGGTATTTTCCCACATTTGTATTTGGATGCGCCTCATTTGCATCCGACCACCATTTCAACCAAATTGCTAAGTAGCTAGTTTAGCCTCAACTCATTACAAGTCTGTGAGCAAACTTACAGGCGAACTGGGTGGTGAAGGCGTATCCTAGCAAGAAGGCAGCGAAGAGAGAGACTTGCAGAAGCCCGGCTTTACGCGCGTAGTAGCTGTAGATGGACCAGCTGCCATCTCGCCTTGCCAAGTTTTTCTTCAGCTCAGTGGACTCTGGTTCCCTTCCGTCGCTACTTGTAAGCTTTACAGGCAGCAAGGGCTCTGTTGCTTTGTTAGACTGTTCGTTCACTTTGTCATCTGTGCCGTTATTGCCGACGTCCTCATACTCGGGCAACTGGTCAATAAGTTCCCGGTATGTGCATTGCAGGACCTTTCGACCACTTTCGAGGAGAATTATTTCGTCCGCATATGATAGCAGGGATCCTGAAGCTTTCACATTAGCAACCATATATAAAGGGACTGTGTGATTACCCACGAGTATGAGTCGCAAGAATCACGGTTGCACTTGTCCGTCGGAAGATACCATTACGCCCAAACAGGCGCTCGGCAACGATGTGAGTATTTTGTGCATCTAGTCCACTGAAGGTATCATCCAGAATGACATTCGGGAGGCGAGAGTAGACGGCGCGCGCAAGAGCCTGAGTTTCATTAGCACACAGTCTACAATGATAGATTCTTAAGGGATTTACTTACCACTCGCTGTTTTTGTCCGCCACTGAGTGCTATTCCGCCACTGCCAGCGATGTGCATGTTTCCTTGCGGGAATTTGTTGATGTCGTCCAAGAGCCCACAAGCCGAGATTGTAAGATCATACCATTCTTGATCTAATGCAGTCCACCCGGTGATGTTATTTTGGATAGAGCAGTTCATAATCCAAGGGATCTGCGGAGAATAGGCTATTCTTTCTGGCCGTAGGGACATAGTCCCACGGTCAATCTGAGTCTGGCCCATGATTGTATCCAGAAGGGCGGATTTCCCACATCCGACCGGCCCTACGACCATGACGATCTTACATTTTGGAATGGAAAAGGTCAGGTCGTGGAGGACGGCAGACGTTCCGGCTGTCCAAGATATAGATGTGTTGTGGAATGACACCAATTTGTCGCATGGAACCGATATTCCATGGGCCGTGGCCGGTGAAACCTTGGAAAGCTCAATAGTATCACCGATTGGTGATTCAGATTTTGTCTGAGTTGGTATCAGTTCAAACGATCTTTCTCGCAGGCAATAATTTTGAATTCGATCGAAGCAGCCGATTGACTGTGTCATTGTTGGCAACGACTGAATGAACAACATCAGAGGAGATGTCAAGATAGAGATAAGAGACAGAGTTGTAAATGCCTGCGTAGTCAGAATCTGTGTATCGTGTCTGGTCACAGCTATAATTGTATACAAGAGAAACACAGCATATGGCGCAAGGTCCACCGAGATAGATGCTAATCAAGCCAGATTACCACAAAATTAGTGTCCGTCTACAATACTTTCTTTTTCTGAGGAAGGTAACTTACATAACATGACGACTCCCACAATAAGCTTTCGAAAGCGCTTAGAGGCAATGAGCTCGACCTTGCGATACCGAGTAATGATATCAAATAAGACGACCTCGAGTCCCATCATCTTGACAGCTTTCATATCCCCAAGCATCGTAGTAGTAACCGCTAAACGTTCCTGGATATGTTCCACCCACTTCTTCTGCGCCTCTGCGCATCTGGCAGAGACCGGGGTAGTGGCCAGTATGCACAATATGGCAATAACGGCCGGGAGCACACAGGCGACATACACCTGAATCTCTAGCAGCCAGATCGCGATGACCACAGAGAGAAGAGAGGCCCATATCTCATGGAATGATCGCACACTCGATATGATACGTGCCGTATCTGTACCCATGAGCGCGACCGCGTCTCCAGCTTTTGAGTTTGTTGTACTTCGCAGTGCTAGAGTTTGCTCATCAATCAAAGCAACAAGACCCGACCGGACGGTAGTTGCCAAACGGCTGGCCTGGCGGTAGTAGATGGCCGTGCAAACAGCGATTCCTGTGTAGACGAGCGCGTATGCTCCGACTAGGGCATGTCCATACCGTTGGCTCTTCGCAGTAGTCGGTGAATCCATCCACTCGATGGTGGCGGAAAGCAAGAAGGGTTGGCAAAAGGTGAATGCGGCGAGCAGAATCCGCGGGACAATTGCGGAGAGAAGGAGTCGATAGTAGGCTCGGAAGGTCGCTTTAATCAGCCTGTACTTCCCATTGGTCTTAGACCAGGTCTGCACTAAGCGGGCTTCTGCGTATTGTCCGAGTAGTGTAGAGTCTATGGCTGGAAGGTCGTCGAGGGTGATAATGGATCTATAGGCGTTGCGGAACAGAGGAAGGACCCAGGCGAAGAGGTTTCGCCCCCAGAATCCGTGAAGCTCTTCAATGGCAACATTTCGATATAGTGGCTGGATGAAGTGGACTTTCTGAGCAGACTCTAGTACCGCGGTGATGATGACTATTATATAGATGGCCGTGAATAGTCCTCGAGGAACAATAGCGGATGGAATAAGCCATAACGTGCGTAGATGAGGTAGGTAGAGAATAGATACGGCCGAAAAATAGATGATGAGCGTGTTAGACGGTTGGACTGTTCGTTGATCCTCGAGAAAGGATAGCACGATTGCAGCGAAGCTTGTGGCTATGTTGATTGCTGTTGCTGGAGTGGAGATCTTAGTACGTAGCGCCGGGGTTTGCATTTGGTACACCATAAAGATTATCCATAGCACCGAAAGCACAAAAAGTAATACCGATTTGTAGATTGCGAATTTGAGGGAGTTGGACTTCACGGGGGACCGTCGCAGGATCTCCAGTCGAGGAATGAGCCACAGTAAGAGCGCGACTGAGGGCAAAATATTGAAAATTGCATCCTCAAAAAGCAGTGTAAAGTCGAAGGCTCGACAGTCACTATCGACTCGAATGTTGAAATGATCATCGCTAACACAAATGTTCAACCCCATCCTATTCGAACGGTGAACCCGTAGTCTCAAATTCTGAAAGGGCCAGTTTCCGGACGATGTCAGGTTGGGTAAGATAAGCTAACAGAGATCCAGCGCGGCAGCGGACTCATGGCAACAGATAAAGGTGAGATGTGTGAGGCGCTCTTGGCCCGTCGGATCTCCGCTACAGGGGGAGATCAATGAACAAAGACTACGTTCCTCACCCCTGACCCTGCCTCTATTTTAAAAAGGTGTAACTTGTACATTCTCGGATCTTACTTAAGGGTGTTTGTCTGTAGGGAGACTATTTATTCGTGGATCTGCTCGGGAAACGACTCACAGTACTGTCTGAATTCCCAAGTCCTTTTAGGGCTGGGTATCCAGACTCCTGCCTCTAATTGTCTCCATGGCTTTCTTTGGACTTGATAAAACTGGAGATATGGTTCACATGATCACATTAGTTGGTCTATTTGGTACCTTGGAAGACCCTTGGGGAATTGCTGAGATTACATAACATCATTTAGTTCCCAAAGGTCAGTTACGTTAACTAAACTAAGTGACAAATTAAGTTAGCGATGGGGTCGGACGAGTGATCTACGATCAAGTAGAATGGAATATTCAATCTGACTCGTGAGAGGACTGTTTGATAGAGGAGATCTGGCGGTATCTTCTGCCTGATGGTAAAATCGCTATGAATCAAAAATGAGTTGCTTTACACGGCGCGACCGGGAGCTTACTAGTCCAACATGGATTTTCTAGCATTGTGGAAGACTTTCTTCTCGAAGGGAAAGCTCCAGCTGAATGGAGAGGCTCTGTCACGCGGCAACCAACAGCTCATGAGATTGTGCTTGATATGCAATGATATGATTAAAAATGGACAGGCAGAATGAAAAACACATAAACTCGGAAACCGCTGTGTTACTGCTTAATGCAGGGGATCCTGGACTAGGCGGGAAATACCGCATAATGAGAAGAGCTAACAACAAGCTAAGATCAGAGGGCCGAGCCTTTAGCGCCACACACAACTACCTTCCGATTGGCTCAGAGCTTCAAAAGGACTCGGAACTAAGCAGTTGCAGGCTTATCTCGCTATGCCTTGCTCTTTCTCGAGACCCACATCGCATCTAGACAAGAATCAAAAGGAAAGAGAATTGTCTTCTTTTCATTCCCCCCAGTTTGCGAGAGAATGGCATTTCCGACAGAAAGCAGCTTCACTACAAAGATCTCTTGTAGCCAAACGATATGGGATGCAGAGGTGCAAAAAGAGAATAAGGCTGATCCGTTGGATCCCAAGACATGGCGAAAGGCAAGTTCAGAGCCATCACAATGTATTAGAAAATGGTTCTAATGGATTTTATAGCGGAAAAAAATGTTCGTGGTTTTCATTGGCCTCCTCACGCTGTTCAACAGCGTCTTCGATTCTACCATCCCAAGCGGTGGGATTCGCTTCATTTCAAAAGCCTTGAATGTCCAAAGTGAGACTCAACAGGTACTACCCACATCAGTCTACCTGATCGGGTATGTGACGGGACCTCTCGCCTTTGGGCCCATGAGCGAGCTGTACGGTCGACGACCAGTGATGGTAGGAACATTCATCCTGTTTACTATCTTCACTCTCGCATGTGCCGTTGCGCCCAACTGGCCGGCCTTCATTATTTTCCGCGCTCTCTGTGGCATCTGCGCATCGAGTCCAATTGCCGTCACCGGCGGACTCTTCGCCGATCTGTATGGCTCCCCTCTTGCCCGGGGACGAACCATGGCGCTGTCAATGGGGATCACGACTGCTGGTCCCCAATTTGCACCGCTCATTGCGGGTTTTATTGCACCGGTGGCGTGGAGGTGGGTTTTCTGGCTGTCACTCATCCTTGCTGGTGTCACCTTGGTCCCGGTGCTTTTCCTCCCCGAAACATTCCAGCCTGCCCTCTCTCGCCAGCCCCGAAAGCGCGGGGAGGGCATTCTAGTCAAAACTCTTACCCGGCCGCTGTACATGATATTTTATGAGCCTATCATCACTTTCACTTGTCTCTATTTGTCCTTTGCAAGCGCAATCTTCTGTGAGTACTCCATTCCTAAGAGTCAGATTGATGATCTGATTTGAGACAGTTATGTACTTCGAGGCGTATCCCTTGATCTTCCAAGGAATATACGGGATGAGCGATGGTATTGCTGGACTGGCGTTTCTTCCGAGTATGTACCAAAGCCGTGAGAAAGAAAAGTCTAGAGCTAACTCGGTGTGCTGATCAACTGTAGTTGCTGTGGGAGCCTGTATTGGAATGGCCATATTTCTAGCATATGAATCCTTTCTCCAGCGCGCAAAAGCGCGAAACGCCCCGTGGTCCAACATGGAAGAATACCAGCGCCTTCCTCTCGCATGCCTAGGGGGCCCCTCTACGTCGTGGCCCTATTCTGGCTGGGCTGGACTTCATCTATGAACATTCACTGGATTGTTCCCATGCTTGCAGGGATACCGTTTGGAATGGGATTCTTCCTCATCTTCGTGGCGCTGATCAATTACATGATTGATGCTTATCACGAGTACGCTGCCAGTGCGATGGCAGCCGCTAGCTGTTGTCGAAGTGTCTTCGGCGCAGTTTTACCTTTGGCAGCGGCCCCCATGTTTCGCCCACTGGGTATAGCATGGGGCTGTAGTCTGCTGGGATTTTTGAGTCTTGTCATGACTTTGATCCCGTTTGTGTTTATCCGCTACGGGGATCTTATTCGGTCGAGGAGCAAGTTCCGGCAACAAGTTCAGCATGCATGAGTGTTTTATGGTTTGGTGGAACTAATGGGAAGAAAAGAACGATTTCATCTTCAGCTTCTCGGACACGTCCCACTAGCTCAACAATTCGACACGCCGGGGACTGTCTCGCAGACCGTCGAATCGATACCGAGTATCTCACGTTCGGCTATCGACTGAGCAATGATATTGGCCATATTTTAGCTTGATGGAAGAAGATTCTTCGACCATTAAGGCATGCTCTTAGCGTCCGTGAAAGGAACCAATATACACAACCACACCACAGCGACTTCTCTCTCGCTTGCGATTAGGAATCATATATCCGCCTTCGTTCAGGATCGTCGGTTTACATTATTCTCCTCCTGGCAGCTTCCATCTAGCCTCATTGCCACAATGTACCCACAAAGCCATTCCTACTCCCCACTCAAAGCAACCCCACCGTCCAAATAGAATGATAGTATAAGGTGCGATAAGCTGGATTTGAAGCGGCATACTCCGAACCCCGAACCACGAGCCGGAAAGGGAGTCAGGAGACGAAACCAAACAGAAACGGAATACCACCCTCCGCTTCCAATCTGGCAAATTCCATCATTCCATCAATCCATCCAAAGCGAGGTATCCATAGCGTTAGCGGCACCTTCACTCAAGCCCACGACCCTATCAAACCGACCGGAATGTTTCAAAACGAACCCGATAGAGAACAGCCTCCTAGCGGTTAAATTTCGCCAACAGATTCAAATTGATACTAGGTCCATACGCCATGCCGATCCCGCATTCGGACAGACTACCAGAATCTGTTTAGCGAAAAGGGGACGCCTCAATTCTCGCGAGGCTTCAATCTTCGGAAAGATCTCCCCGATTGGCGGAATCTTTTCTCGTGATAATGAAGATCATCTCAGAGTCTCAGACAGTCAGCAAATAGCGCGATCATGGAAATTTCGGGGTTGGGCAGTGTGTCCGAAGGTGAGGAATCTGACTTCCTGCAGAGGACTCACAAGTCGGGGCCACTAAGCACCGCTTAGTCCCAATACGGCTGTGACAGACCTGTATTTCTTGTTTCACCACTGCGATGCGACCATTAGCACCCGTGGGATCGAGCCGATGACGGGCGGCGCGGCTGGGCCAGCCCGCGCGCTAGTGCGTATTTCATGGCTTGAGCGTACCACTGCTGGACAGTCTGGCCGTGGGGAATCTTTTAGTATTCACGTTTTGAGTTTCGCTCGGCTCTCAGAGAAATCTTTACAGCCCACTAGTAACAGTGGCTATGGTTTCTGCAGTGGAAAACGAATTAAAAAAACAGCCAAGGGATTTACTAGGCAAGTGGGCCACTGCAGAAGACTAGGATTGTTGGAAGATAAGGGCTTTTCATTACTTAAACCTGATATTAGTTAAACATTATTTAGATATTAACGTTGGTTAGATATGTCTGCAGCCTGAGATGTTGCAACAATGCATTGCAACGTGATAGTCAATTGTTTGATACGCAAGAACAATTCGATGTTACGCTATTGGCAATGCAAGGAAACCACGCTTAATCTGAGGCTCATGCCATATCTAGATCTAACCCCTGACTGGTCTTCCACTGCTAAAGGTACCAACACGTATGTCTACAATATGCTGCAACCATCAACCTGTATGAAGTGAACCTTTACCGTACCCAAATCGGTAATTACAAGTAAAAGTCATCGTCATTTGTCAGGACCCAGTTGGTAATCTCGGCGATCTGGACTCTGTTCTTCTAGCATCGGCGTGGGCCGAACGATGCAGCTTTACTTGCGCACGCCATGTCTCTATGAATTGATAGACTCCTGTAGAGCCGACCACGCGTCCTAGACCCGTATCTCTTTTGTCATTCATGCTTGTTGGAGTACTTTTGAAATACCACTTTGTCTCCCATGAAGAAAGTCTAATTCAACGGACAGTTTCCTGAAACTGAACCATTGATCGCGCCGGTCTAACGCTGTAGCTTGCATAAGTGACTTGCTAGGGCTGACTGTGTTTTGCTCTACTCAGGGCCGTTTATGCTGTATAGTATTTGCTTTGGTCTTTTAGTCAAAGATCGGAGAATAGATTTAAATAGGCTGGACGGTGCTGAAGTCGCAGGGATATTTTCTACAGATTCATCGGCAAGCAGGTCTATTATCGTGCTATTTTCCGCTCTTTGTCTTCTAGGCCGCTGAATTCAATTCAAAATGGCCATTGAAACCATCAACGCAGAGACTCGCGCAGTAATTGCAGATCTCATTCAGCTCCGGGAACAGTTTATCAAAAACCGTCTCATCTTCGTGAAAGGGACACGCCTGATTCCCATTCTCAAGCTGCTTGGCGCCACCGACCACGATCTGGAGAAGATGAAGACGGTGAGTAACACTTTACGCGACGACCCGACTCTTCCATTCCGGAAAAGCAAGAATGGGCGCTTCTGCTTCGACTTCGAGCAGTCGCAAGTCCGTCGTCTCGAATTCCAGCCCTTCGCCTTATCCGTCGAGGAAGATTTCGTGCGCCACGACTCCGGCCAAATCAGAGAGTTCCAAGAGGTCGACGAAGATCTCCAGGGCAACTCGACCTTGCATGCTCTGTTCGTCTTCAAGGCCCTGATCTTCCGGGGCGTCCCCATCAAACAACGCCCAAAGCTGAACTACAACACGGAAAACTTCGTGTGTACGCTCTTCAACCTGCGGACCGTAACCAACCAGGATCTTGTAGGCGAGCCCGCGCTGGAGGGGGTGCACAGTGATGGAGTCGACTTTACCATGACGACGTTCCTGGGCAGCGAGAACATGACCGACGACAGTGCAGTGACTTTTGTGCATGACATGCGTGCCCCGAACGCCTTGCGTTGGAACAAAGTCAACCCGGAGTATACGCTGGGCAGTCATCAGCACCGAGATTTCTTGGACACATTGCTCTTTGTCGATCACGAGAGGAAGCATAGCCTGTCTCCCCTTCACGCGGTCGACCCTGAACTCCCTGCCACCCGCGACATGCTCATCTTCTTCACGCGGAAGCCAGTGGTTGAGGGACATATCTCACACCCCTATGATTCGTTGAACTCCCACGGCTCCCTTCCTATGCAGGTGGAGTTGGCGTAGCCCGGCCTCTGCTTCAATTTCCTTCCAACCCAAAATTCATTTCTTTCCTCCGGCCTGGTCATGTTTTGCTTGTTTGTGTCAGTGTTGTTTGTCTGTGAAAAATAATGGGATGCATCGATATATCTGCACACGAGGAGGGTGTAGCATTTGTCTGTTGAAGACCGAGTCCTGTAATTAATGGAAACAAAAATAAACGACTGGATTTGCAGTGTTTTATAGTCAACTTCACCATGATCTTCCCATCAACAGCTTGTCTGCAACATCGAAGATTACCTAAAATGCCGCTAAGCGCCAAGTGGACACGATCATCTCTCATCTCCCCGCCATGAGATGTCCTTGACGATGACCATCGCCCCGCGACACCGGAGAGAGTTTACAGTAAGCGCCTCAAGTCCCATCGGAGCCCGAGACTAATCGTGCAGGGGTGTTGGTCCTGTCGAGAACGCAAGGTAAAATGCGACGAAGGCTCGCCGTGTTCGGCCTGTCAACGATTAGGCCTGCAGTGTGATGGATCCAGTACACGCCTTGTCTGGCTCACTGGAAAGAACAAATCCTATCGATCTACCGGCCGGCGATATATGCACTGTGGTATGTGACTTTTTCGGCCCTGCGCAAGCCTCATCTCACCTCGAAACAGAGCGGACATGGGACAATCACGCTCCTCTGGACTCCGAAGTGGTAGATCTCTTGATCGCACAATGTGATGAAGTGGAAGGGAACGAAATTCTATCGCCTGTGATCGATCGTAGCCCGTTTCTCGTATTCCCAGTGCTGCCTCCCACCTCTTTAGCGTCAACAATCAATCTGGTCTTGGCGAACGGTACTACTCCAGCGAGGTACGCCGACAGCGACGATAAGCTCCTCTTTCATCACTATGTCAATTATGTGGCGTCGGTCATGATGCCCTTTGAGCACCCCTGGAACCCCTGGAAGCTCTTCTATCCATCGGTGTCCCTGGAATACTCGGAGCCCGGGGAACGTGCCCTGTTTCATGCTCTCCTAGCTCATGCCGCTTTCAATCTGGCACATCTCGGTGGCAACGCGGCCAAAATGATGCGCTTGGCAGCAAAGCATTATAACGCGTCCATTCAACACGTCAATGACGGGATCCAAACGTCGGCGGACAAGGGCCCCGGGGCAATCCTGGCGGCGATCATGACGCTGATGATGGCAGAGGTAAGAACCCTATCTCGGCCACACTTGACGAGAAAGAGACTAAACCTAGGCCTGTAGGTGTACAGCGGTCAATCTAGAAAGTGGAAACACCACCTGCAGGGGGCGTGGGCCTTTCTTCTCAACACTAACAGCAGCGAATTGTGGAACCAGTCCCGATTCACATGCTTCTCTGTCCAGAGCTTGCTGATTGTGAAGATTATCGGCAGCACTACTTCAACAGACGACAACTACTCCCCTTTGACACTGACACCTGCTCTCTCGCATACACATGTAACGGATGACATATTCCCTAGCACTGCTCTCTCAATTTTGCCAGTTAACACCAATACCGAATTGAAATTTGCTGCCTCTATCTCATCCACTCCACAGTTCGGGTTCACAATCGGGGCTCAGAGATCCCTACTCGAATGTATTTCAGTCATCGCCACCGTCAGCCGGCAGATGCAATTGGGCCCACCGGCCAGCGACCCATTCAACGCGGACCGCGCCGTGGCCGAAGTTCTGGCCCGTCTAGGGCATCTCCAGGCACAGGCTCAGGACGACCTACCCTTTCAACCGGAGATCAAGTCGGCCCCTTCCACGGACCCCGATCGGCCCGATCCTCATGTCCAGGATCTGGCCCGCTATCAGCTCAATGCGTTTATCTACGCCACATACATCTACCTGTACCGATCGCTGATGGATACCCCACCGAAGCGGGTCGCAACTTATGTTTCGCTGACATTCCGAAACATTTCGTCCTTTTGCGCCCAGAGTAACGGGAATTTCTCGCTGTGGCCCGCTTTCATTGCTGCAGTTGAAGCTTACACGGAGGAGGACATGGCGTTGGCGCAGGCGTGGCTGCAGCAATCTATTCACTTTGGGCTCGGAAACCGGCTCCTTGTTAAACAGATCATCGAGGAGGTTTGGCGGAGGAGAGAGCATGCGCACTGTGAAAGGGGGATAGACAAGGGGCTCATCACTGTGGACTGGAGAGATGTGGTGAGAGAACTTGGGGTGGATATCCTGCTGGTTTAAGGCTTGATTTGCGACTTGACAAGACTTAAGATTCATTCTGTCGAGCTACTGTGATACCTGGTCAAGCTATCGATATTCACACAAAGATTCTCTACAATCTAGCGAGACGCGCTGTAAATCTTTTTCCGCCGTTCGGCGTCAGCGAGCCTTTCTCAATCTTCCCAGTCGGGGTTTGTTTCAGCTCTTCTAGAATCTGAATCACCGTGGGCACCTGGTTCCGCGCCATATGCTGCTGCGACCATTGCCACAGGGACGTTTCATCCGTCTTGCTCCCATTGCGCAACTTAACCACAACCTTGAGGTCATCCTCCGTTCCAGCTCCTAGTTCGCTAGGAATCGCAAACGCGGCAGCGATGACAACCTCAGGATGCAGCAGAAACTCCTCCTCCACCTCCAAGGCATTGATGTTCTCGCCTCGTCTTCGGATGATATCCTTGATACGACCAACAAAGTAGACATTGCCGTGTTTATCCATCTTGGCGATGTCGCCTGTGTGCAACCACATATTGGCAAACGTCCTGACCGTATTGGCAGGGTCATTGAAATATCCTTGGAAAAAGGCGTTCGGGTTATCACTGCGCAGCAACAACTGACCAGGGGTGTCAAACGGCAGGGGCTCGTCTTCCGCGCCCGCGATGCGGAGTTGATACCCTGGACGCAATACGCCACAGGAACCAGGAACGAGGGAACCCTGCTGCACGATCGGAATGCTAGCCTCTACACTACCGTACAAGGTACGAAGGGGATGGCCAAACCGCTGCTGGTAATCATCCGCAAATGCCGGGATGGGAACACCCCAAGCGAGGCGAACGCGATGCTCCCGATCGCGCGGGCTCGGCGGCTGCTTGTAGATCAAGGCCAGAGTGGCGCCCATGAAATCGTACACCGTTGCCTTGGTCTCACGAATCTCATCCCAGAATCGGCTGGCCGTGAATTTGGGAGACAGGGCGGCGGTGGCACCAAGGAGAATGGCTGGAATGACGGTAAGTGCCGTTGCATCTGCGTGGAACAATGGGAAGGGACAGTAGAGCACATCGTCTGCTCGCAGCTTGCAGCTTTCTATCAGAAGCGTAGCCTGGATGATGAAGTACTCGTGAGAGAGCATACAAGGCTTGGACTTGCCCGTTGTCCCGCTGGTATACAAGAACGCCGATGTTGTGGCCGGCGTCGCGGCGAAGGACTCCAGGACCATTTCGCTGAGATAGAGCTTGGACAGATCTCGGGCATTGCCGCTACCATGAGTCCAGATATTTCCACTATTTAAGGCGCTTGTCGCTTCAACCAGGTCAACAAATTGGTTGTCCACGATGGCCAGTGTTGCATCTGCTGCAGCGATGGCATTCTTCAACGTCAATGACCGCCAGTCGGTGTTTACCGGGACCCAAACGGCGCCTATCCGGTTCGTGGCCATCCAGGTGTGAACCATCTCAATACTGTTCTTCATCATGACCAGCACTCGGTTGCCTGCTTGGGCTCCTGCTGCGCGCAATCCGCTGGCGAGTGCAGCCACGCTGCGATCAAAGTCTTGGAAGGTGACATCCTGGCCCTGACATCGGATGAACACTCTGTTAGGATAGTTCTGAACGGCAGTTCTCAATGCAGTATTGATATCACGGATTTGGGGGGGTGTTTGTTTCCTATGGGCGAAATTCTTGAACGCGTTGGCCGCCTCCATTCGCGAGAAACAATAACTGGCGGCATTCACCTCGTCATGTAGAGCAGACTCCATATTTGGGAAGACCCCCCGCTCCAGGGACATCTTCAGACTAGACGATGCAGCTTTCGGTAGCTGGGCAAGTTCCAACGCCAGATGGTGAGCGCGAGCTTTGGGATCTTCCGCAATCTCAGTCAGTAGACCGATGCGCAGCGCCTCCGGGGCATCTATAGTTGTACCGCGGATGAGAAGCTCCTTAGCTTTCAGCATACCCACCATATGAGAGAGTCGCAGGGAAATACCGCCCGTCACAGCATGGCCCAGCGTCACCTCAGGGAATCTGAACTTCGCATTAGGGCCGCCAACGACGAAGTCAGCAGCCAGGGCAATCTCTGCTCCGCCACCCACCGCATAACCCTGGACAGCAGCTACGACGATAGCGGACGACGAAGCCGTCAGCCGCGTGATATCTTGTAACAGACCGAACGCGATGCGAAGTTCCTCTGCAGATCCCGTTTGGGGGGCCAGGGTTTCCTTGAGGTCCTCGCCAGCGCAGAATGCCCGATCTCCGGCGCCTTCTAGGATGATGACATGTGCATCGGCGTGAGTGTGCAGCGCACAAGTCAAGTCTCTGAGAAGCTGGACATTGAGTGCGTTTAGGTGTTGCGGTCGGTTCAGCGTGATCTTGACCACGCTGGGGGCGGGTTGGGAAATAATCATCGCCATAGGAGATATAATCTAGATACAATTGAATGAATGGTCAGAGGGGTATAAGAGAATAGGATGGAAAAGATTGTTTGCTTCCTGCAACCAGGTAGGACTTATATGACTTCATTCTACGGTGCAGAATATATGATGGCAACTCATAGCGAGATAGCAGGGGTTTTCTCCAAGCGCTAATCTTGAGCGGGCGTGGGTTTCATTGGGCAAAGACACTTTGTTTTCCTTCTCTTAGATGCACACTTCTAGATTATTATTCGAACAGCCTCTTAGATCCCGAGCAGATTTGGTGGACAATTAATTTATATTGGGGAGTCTATGGTTTATATGCAAGGACTATGACTCCGTTCTTTTGACTAGCTCTTACCAATGAGCGCCAATGACACCAGTATGAGTGCGAAGAAAACAAAAAGAAAACGCCCAGTGTCATCATAAACCAAGCGCAAAACTTTTACACTATTGTGTCTGCCGCTCTCTCAGTTAACGCGCCCTTCATCACCTGTTGAGAGAATGGACTTCGGCTTCGAATCCACTGTCCATACTTGATAAACACGAATGGAATCACCGCAAGGAGAATGGCAATAAAAGCCAAAAGTGAGCTCGCCCAGTTGATCCCCAACGTTCCATACATCGGATTCGTGGCCAACGGCAGACAAACCGCAAGGCACGATCGCAGCGTACTTGCAGCAGCCTGCGCAGATGCCGAGTACTGCTTGTACGCATCAGTGAGGTAGTTGATCATAGCCATGAAGATCAGGATATACCCGATGCCGAAGAAGAGACCAGACATCATGGGAACGATGGGGTGGATGGACAATTTAGAAGACCATCCTAACCAGAAGAGGGCAATTGGGAGTCTAGGAGGTCAGTTATTTCTGCTGAATAGTTGGAGATATGCCCAGGGCTTTCCAGGTTGACTTACAATGGTGCCCCCAATGCAGCAAGCGGCAGACGACGATACTCCTCAAGTGTGGCCCAAGGCTTGCCTTCTTTCACGGCCTTGGAGTGATACGAGCCATATAGCAAGAAGAGTGCGAAAGCGACCAAAGCGCCCACGCTAACTGTTGCTAATGTTAGTCTCCATAACAGAGCGCGAACTGACTGACATACTGGGTAAAAATGCGAGCCCTGCGACTCCCGGCGATAATCCATAGAGATCTATCGAATGTCAGTAGATCTTCCAAGATTAACACGCCCGTCAAAATAGATCTTACTTTGGAATATAAGCGGATAAGCCTGGAAGTACAGGTAAAACATCGCATATGTGAAACCCATAAAGAGCGAAGCAAAGAGAAGAACCGGCTCCTTGGCTGTCATTACAAACGGCCTCATGAAAATAGACAGAACATCATCTCCACGATGACCAGGACCTTGAGGCGGAACAACATCACCAGCCTTCAACTCATATTTCCCGGCCTTGGCCAATCGCCGCGCATGTTGCCTTTTCAACACCGGCACATACGTCTCCGGGATGAAGAGAATAAACGGATATCCGACACCAGCAGCCGCAAGACCAACCCAAAAGGTCCAGCGCCACGAAACGGTAGAAATAAACCCGGAGACAAGCGGCGCAAGCTGAGGCCCAAAGCCAGTGACGACCATGAAAAGCGCCATGGCAATGCCACGAGTTTGAGGATTATCCAAGATATCAGCATACAAACCTCCCAGCACGGCGTTTGGAGAAGCAGCATTCAAGCCACAGAGAAGACGTAAAACAAGCAAGGCCGGAAAGTTAGGCGATAACGCGCAAGCCATGGTGAAGATGATATAACCGCTAAAGGTGCCGATGAGAACGGGCCTGCGGCCGACATGCTCGCTCAGCGGTCCAAAGATGAGTGGACCAATGGCAAAACCCACGAGATACAGCGAGTTCAAAAGGACGAGCTTGGTATCATCATGGGCGATGTGGAAATAGTCTGCGATTGCATCGTGGGCACCCGAGGGAAGAGAAGAACCAAAAGCACTGTTGAAAATGAACAAAATGCCCGCGAGCACGATGTGTACTTTTCGAATCTGACTTAAATATTAGAATGCAAAGAAGAGACAAGGTCTCGAGTTGAGCCAGGTTATAGTGGGCGTCACTCAGAAGACTGGAACACTATAATTTCACGCACCGGCGACAGAGTAAGAGGATCTCGATAATCCTCCACGGCCTTCAAACCCATTTTGCAAATAATGCAATGCAAAGCTAATTTATGACACAGTAGTCTTCTTGTCAAGAAAAGACCCCGGCCAGACTTTAAACAGCATTTCCTCTACATTCAGCGACGAATTTTCATCACCGGTTCTCGGGCTGCAGAAGCCGGGTGACTGGATCTATAGCCCACATGGAACTGTAGCACCAATTGACTTCTCTTTTACTTGATGATAATTTCCCCTGGCCTATAAAGATATCGGCTTCTTCGTGGAGAACGCTCCACCGATGCCCCACAGCACGCCCTACACGCCCTGCATCGCACTTTTGATTGGACGCGCCAGACTGTCATCGGAGATGTCTCCGACTAGGGTTTGACTATGGTAGCCCTGGTATATCGGCCAGATGTCCGAACTGTAGAAGTATACATGTCATGGCCAAGTAGGTTACAGGATGAATTGAATCAGATTTTCTGCTTGTAGAATCTTTCTTTAATTCTTAAACGAAGCACTCGGTTCCAGTTCGGGCATAGCTTGGTTCCAACCATGGAATCGGCTTGGAATGAAATGTCACGTGATTAGGGTTATCAAGCACAGCATTGAGTCAAAGCTTCAAAAGTTCGGGAGTTGGGTCGATGGCCTTGAAATGAGCTGGATAGAGTAGAGCCGGACAAATGATTGATTATGCATTGAGTAGATTGTTTTGAGTATTCAAGGTGTTTCCACGATCACGGCATAATTTCATAATTATGTTCAGGGAGGACAACTACGTCTGATGTCTCCCTTCAAGACAAATATCTATTGAAGCAATACAAGATCCAGCATTATTTATCCTTCTTGGAATATGTCATGCGAAATGGGATTTCAGACAATCCACTGACCAGAGATATTGAGAGGGGAATCAAATTAGTAAATAACTGATAGCCTATTCAACATTCTACTGGTCATATAGGGATAGAATAGGCACAGCGCTAGTAATCCGATCGACCCAGGGTCACACACTATTCTTCCTTTCTGGGCTTGTATTAAGCTAAGGGCTCTACTCACGCAGTAAATTGTGATTTTGAGCCTCGGCGCGGGTTTCGACCTCCCCGCAAAGTTGGGAAAATTGTGGGGAAGCCGAGTCGGGATGTGGACAAGTATCCGAGGTATAGCTTTGGGCATAGTTGCAGTACAGTCATAGAGGTCACTTGTTAGCGTGCTCGATTCTAGTTGTTATGTATGACACATCCCACTCCACAGAGATGGGTGATTAGATTCGTAACTGGGTATCAATAGAACATAGAATATCGGTAATACAAATTAGAACAGAGACATCAACCACCTCTTACACAGTGACCCAAATCCCCCATTAATTGAGCCAACATCTGGACCAATGGAGGCGTTCTGTCAGAGTTCTCCATGCGAAGGATCGCTTGCAAAACATCCATTGTAGACCCCGGATCAACCAAATAGACCGCTCCCCGGGGACCCTGTAAGGCAGGGGAGCCGCAGGCTAGGGTAACAAACTTGGAGACATCGGGTATATCATGGCCATCCAGAAGGACCGTAGGGCCGGCCGTGAGTTCAGGCGGGGAATGAGGAGTCCCCGTGATTCGGGCAGTGTTCGCCTTGGACACAACACTATAAGACCAAAACGCAAGACCCGCGTAGTAAACGCCGATAGCCAAGAAGCCTGTGACGGAGCCAGGAGGCATGCTTCTCGCAGCGCGGATGACCTGGCCGGCATGCCAGACCGCTCGGCGGGAATCCGAACTGGCAATCCACTCCAGAGCGGAATGGTACACGCGGCGAGCCTCTTGTTTATCTTCCTTTCCGGCGAAGAGCTGGAGTTCTTCGAGGGACATGTGCAAGAGCATAGAGACAACTTCGCAGACGAGCATGGTCTCAGGTCGACATTGGATGCGCAGTTCAGAGCAGACCATTCGGAAATGCTGGAGAGCCTGGTCCAGTTCTTGTTGGCGGGAGTTTGTCACGAGGGCATGCCAGTGCTTGGAGGTATTGGTTGAAATGAATTTTAGTCGATGGTACTCATTGATTAGCGCGGCTAGACCGTGGATCAAGATCGATGCTGCAAATTGGGTGTCGACGCGATCTTGGAAGATTGTGAGTTGGGACATGTCACGGAGAAGATCGGCTAGGGATGGTAGACGTTCTGGAGTCATTCCGCCAAAGAGATCTTTCCACTCGGTGGCAGATTTGGCCTCCCATAGTTGACGGGACGCGGGCAGAGGAAGCTCCATGTCGGCATATGATATTATTGGATTGACATTCAAAGACATTGCTGTCTGGGAGTCATGCATGAAGAGATGGTAAACAAGTCTGATCAAGAAAGTTAGTATGTGACAGAATGACAGAAAAAGATGTGGAACTAGAGGTACCTCTTGTATGATTCTTGTTCAACCCATGCATGCCACTTCTCCTCGAGAACAGGTCCCGCATCCTCTGCAAGAGGCACAATATTAGTGTAAACTGAGCGACGAAATCGTAAACCGCGACGAAGCATTGTAATGAGCGGCTGTGCGAAGCTCTCTGCGATTTCCGTCTTTCGGCGGTTCCCACTCCAGATACCAATATCGATAGTTATGGCATAGATTTGCGAGGTCCGTAGATCACGGGTGAATGTATTATCTCGTTCGTACTAGAAGTGTCAACATCATTATCCTCTATGTGAATGGAAGTAACGTTACCTTTCCTGGCAGATGTAGCCGCACCATCTCGTTCAACGCATAACCGAGTTTCCTGATAGTAGGAACAGGTGATAAAACGGCACCAGCAGCAGCCAGGCCAGCAAGAACACCGGGATCTTCGGCGTTCGTTTGAAAAGTTGGCATGTGAATAAAAGTCTGAACGGTATGTTTCTGCAGCTCGAAATATTGCTGAATCAGTCCATCCAGCAAGTCTGTGCTTGGAAACGACTTCACGATCCGACTCAGGCTGGCCTCTCGACTAACTTCCAAAACCAGGCTCAGAATCAGATCGCGACTACTAGATGTCAACCGCTCACATAAGCAAGCCCTTTCTGACAGAACGCCTGTTTCGGGGCTGTTGATTACTTGGGGAACAGACAAGTTTTCGTGGTCATTAAAGGCATGATCTTCAGGCGCAGGTTTCCACGCGGAGAGTGATGAGCGGTGGTAGGCCTCTGCACCGATTCCGATGCCACTGTCGGTATCATAAATTTCATAGTTCTGGGTGTAGAAGTTTGGCAAAAGACTCCGAGAGTTGTACAAGTCAATCAGGCCGAAGTCGCCATCGGTTAGGGTAAAGTCAAAGTGAAGGTTGTCCAACGCGCCATAATGGACATATTCGGATGCCACTTGCGATGGATCCGGATCATTATATCGGGCAAGAGAAGGAATCAAGGAGTCGGGGATGAAGTTTGGAAAAAATGTGCCGTCGATACTAAATATGCCACTTTCGTGGTCATTGGGTGATACTACCGCTTCCAGGACCAGTTCGTCGCTCCCGTGGGCAACTTCAGGAGAAATCATGTTGTTTGACAGAGACGGCCTGGGGGTCATCAAAATAGTCGCCGCTGAGAAATCCTCCAGCGGCGTTGGCATTGGTGAGAATGTCACTGCCGGCGAAGTCGTCAAGTCCATATGCGAATTGCTTTGCGCAGGCGTATCGAAGATATTGCGCTGCGGTGCCGGCTCTGGCGATGAATCCTGAGAGGCATCCTGCCAGTCACAGGGCTGGTTGCGCTCGCGACACCTCCGACAGGGCTTGTCATCGTCGCATTTGAGCTTTGACGTGGCGCAGGATCTGCATGCCTGTGAGACTCTACTCTGCTTGATCACTGATGAGCTTCGTTTTCGTTTCCGGTCTCGGTCATTGGCATGGCCGGTCACATGGCGTTTTAACAGATCGCTACGAACTCATTAGCTCCATGCCAGACCCTCCGACAGGGGGGCTCACGGCCGCGCAAAGCCTTTGTCGCATATATCGCAGACGTATGGCTTTTCTCGGGTATGCGAGCGAACATGGCGGATTAGATGATCCGCTCGATTATAGTGACGTTTACAGAAGCCGCATTGAAAATAGCCGTTCTCTTTCTTCGGCAGAGAGTTCGCACTGTTCAGCTGTTCCGACTTTGGCGATGAGTCCGTGAACATGATCAGACTGCAACTATATCGTACTCGGGGGAATGAGAAGGGAGGCAAGAAAGAAAAGAGAGAAGAGAAGAGAAGAAAGAAGGGAAAGTAGGAAATCCGGGGGAAGTGGCAGATCGACGCCACGGAAGTGTTGGGGGATTCCAGTTCGACCAATCAGAAGGGCGAGAATTCGGTGGTTTGAGAGGTGTCAGGGGCCCCGCGTTCCTCCGCTGTTCGTTCTGCATTCCCCAGATTTGTCTGCAGCCATGGAAGCAGCGGCAGGATTCCTGGATATGGCCCTCATTTACCCCAGGCGTCAAAGGGCAGAAGTGGCTGACTGCAATTGGTCGAAAAGGGTCTGATTCGGTCGAAGATGAGGGATTTGGCAGAGACAGAGTCGGGATGTGGGGGACATCGCCCGAGCAGGCAGTTCAAGAGGAATCGGAGTATTTGTACGGCGTTGGTCCCGGAGAGATCCTGTCAAGTTGACCAAAGATTCACAATGGGTATGTGGGAGTCCTTGATAACAAACGCGTGCTAACAACACAGGCCTCACACCCGTCCACTTCTTCTCCCATGGCTCGACCATGATGTTAGGAGAAGACTCCGAAAGCGCAGACTACTGGAAGAAATGCGGCGATGAAGCCCTGGAGCGTCAAATCAAAGGCGTAGTCATCATGGTCAGTCATCAAGCACATATACCCAGCAGAGCTAACACCCAACAGGGGGCACACTGGGACTGTCTGGGGGACAAGATCGAGCTAGCAACAAACCCCAATCCCGAAAAGAGTCCAGTGGCCTATGTCCATCCCGACAAATACCAGAACTACAAGCTGAACCCAGATCTGGAAACGACCAAGCGCTGCATCGAAATGCTGACGCAGGAAGGATTCAACGTGAGCGGGAATGACACGTTCGACTGGATCCACGACGTCTTTCTAATTCTCATTCGCATGTTCCCGGCCGGATGTCCACCGACGACTCTCGTGTCCGCCAACGCCCGCTTCGACCCTCATTTCCATATGAAGATGGGGGCGACGCTGCGCCAGCTACGACGTGAGAACTACCTGATCATCGGGACGGGAGGAGCGGTGCACAACCTCTACCGGAATCGGTGGGCGCCGATGATGCGCTTCCGGGATAACTTCGCCATGGAGACCGCGCCGGAGGATTGGGCGATGGAGTTTCGCCAGGCGGTGGAGGATGTCATCACGAAGACGTCTGGGGTGCAGCTACGGCGTGCGATGACGAGGCTCATGAAACATCCTCGATTCCGGGATGCTCATGCTACCGATGACCACTTCATGGCAGCCATGTTTGTGGCTGGTGCGGCGGGGGATGCAGAGGATGAGAACACGCCGGCGATATTGGGGGCGGAGAGTTGGGAGTTGACCAACATGTGCAACTCGCAATTTACCTTGGGGAGATGGCCCAAGGAGATTGCCGTGTAATTCAGATCCTGGGAATCTCGGCTTAGGGTTTTTATGGTCCAGGGACGCAGCAGTGAGCAAGAGGCCGTCAGCAATACCTATCCAGATTGAATACAGATTGAATAATACAATAAGAGAAGAAGAAAGTAAAGCCCTGAGAGATAAATCCGTACATTGTAACTGCGTATGTACAAGGGGACGCGGAGGAGACCCAAAAGTAACAAACAGGAAAAGGGGAAGCGTAACCATTTCAGTACAGACTTCCATCACACGCCTATTAAATGCTGTAGGAATGATGATCAGGGGCCCCGTATACATCGGGGTCGCAAGGAAAACTCGTGCAAAGTTCCATGCTCGTGGCTCATCGCTTCGTAGAAACAAAGGGAATAACAAAAAAATAACACAAAAGAGAATCGTAAAACTCCGTCAACCCAAAGGAATAATCCAAACAAAGGGGATATCCAACTCCAACTCATGAATCCGAATCAAAATTAAACGATTAAATGACGACCACATCGCCTTCGGCGTCCGCAGGATCGGAGACCATCATGTCTCCATATTTGCCGACTGCCATTAACATGGTATCGTCTTCGAGGTCGATGGCACTGTCGTCATTGTTGTGAGCTTGAAAGCCCGGATCAGCAAGAGACAGTCGCTTCTCGCTGGGGGGCTGTTTAAAATCCGAATGTCCATTGGCATGGACCTGGCCGTTCTGAGGCACAGGACTGTTATTTGACTTGGTTTGAGGCTGAGTCGCTTCAAAAGGGGATTGTTCGGGGACAGTTTGCTTCATCTGAAAGTTGCCTAGCGACTCCGGACCAAAAGTGGCACTTTGCAGGGATCCAGGGGTGTTGCGCATGAATCCGCCCTTCTCAGCCTGCCAGACCATCATTTCGTGGAAGAAAACCTTGGTCATCCACCAGGCACTGAAGCTAGCGGCACCACCCAGGGTGAGTCGATGCAGAACGCTGTCCCACAGGGCATCAACCTTCTCAATGACACACTGGGTGCGGTGATGAGCGAAAGCAGCGGGAAGGTTCAAGATGAATTGAACCCATTTGTCTGGAAAGTTGTACTCATCACCGGGGGCACTCTCCACGGGGAACTTGTGAGCCTCAACAGAATCGGGCGAATCGGGTCGTGTGAAGAAAGGCAATGCCGTGGTGGGGTCTGCATCGGTCAATGGGGTGAGAAGTGCGCGAACGTCGTGTTTGAGGATCTGCTCCGTGGCCAGCTCAGCACAGGTCGGGATATTGGCCTTGGTCATCATGTCACGAGGGTTGACCAGAGTCTTGTAGTCAAACCACATTTGGTTTCGGTTGTCTGGGTGGCAAAGCCAGGCGGCAGCAGCATTGGCAGCCTGATTCACATCAAGCATGTGCTTGAGGAGATTGCAGAAGATGTGTGCGGGAATTAATCGTGCCAGTGAAACGTGAGTTGGCTGAGCCTTGAAAGTCTCGGAGATGTGACCACACAGTCGTTGTGAGATGGAGTTGAAGGCATCGAGAACCGGCTTGGGGACCACCTGGGTTGTGAGGGGTGCCACAAAAGCAATCATCTTCTGATACATCATCCAATCACATTCCTTGATCCACGGCGCAACATTGGGGTGGGTCAACATCTTCTGAACAGGGACAGTCAAGGTACCATGGAAGGCGGAAAAGTATTTCATGAGGTTCCTTTCCTTGCAATAACGGAAACTGTCAATGACGGAGATGCAGTGGGAACGGTATAGAGCTGCGAGAGCTGCAGCAACTTTCAGGTCACTGTTCGCGGGGAGGAAGGGTCGTATATCGGGGAGTTGGAGGGCTTCATTGTCGACCAGAGGATTTTCGTCCAGCGGGAACTGCAACATTTGATGGATCATCTTGCCAGCTTGCTGAGCCACATTTTCACGTGTAATGGTTTCATCTGATCCATGAGGGTTTGGGGATTGGCAATTGCAATCACCAGGTGCAGGATTGCTCGGGAATCGAGGGGCGAATGAGGTGGTAGGGGAAGGAAACACTGCAGTATCCGCGGTAGGCTGCTGTACACTGGCACTGGGAATTGTTAGCATGCCACACTTGAATGCGGGAAAGTGGAATCGTACCTCCTCGAGCGCATTGCACTGGCGGGTCTTGATGGCGGCAGAGGGCCACTTATACTTTGGGTGGGTTGAGGGTTGAGCGGTGCGAGCTTTTGTTGCTTCTCCTCAATCACCGACAAATCGACGTAATGGTACTTGGATTCGCCTCGAACTCCAAGTCGTCGAGTCTGCACATTGGGGAAGATGATGCGAACGAGCTTCCCAAATGAAGCAGGGTTCAATACTGAGACACGTTCTGTGCCACAGTTCTCTGCATAGCAGCAGTAGACGCGGTCACGACGCACTGAGCCAGTACTCTTGCGACAGTTCTCTCTCAACCTATGACAAACGTCAACTTGGAACATTCAAGATATTGCGAGAGATATTCCTTACCAGATCATGGCAAACACTTGCTTAACTTTTTCTGCCTTGCCTCCACCTCCTTCATGCTTCATGACTTCTGCTGCCATCTGCTTCAAGGTCCATCCCTCATACTGACGCAGCAACTTTCGCAGTTCCATATCATTTGCCAATGTTGAGCTGGCCCCCTTTTTCTTTTTCGTGCCTTGTTCGGACATTTCCTGATCCTCAGTGATGTGATCAGGCAAATGATTTTCAACCCCACTGTCATATACTGGTTGATATTGTGGGATTGCATGAATTGCATGCGGCATCGGTGGTTGTATAGGTTGGTGGGCGAGGGTGTGGTCGTGCATCGCGTGATTCTGGAACTCATCTGCTCGAGGCATGGCGCTATGCTCGTGAATTGATTGATCTAACGACGGACTATTGGAGTGGTGGGAAAACTGATGCCCAAATCGCATCAGCATATCCTCCGGATTACCACCAAACATGTGTTGGCCCGGAACCTGCGAGGGCATAAACTGTGGGAATCCGTCGAGGTGCTGGTCTTGCGTTTGTTGTGTGGTACTCGAGTGAATACTCGCTGTCGAACCTCGGGATCGAGGACGCCGGCCAGCTCTGGACGCAGTTTCTGACCGTGCCCGCATTGGGTCCGCGGTACCAGGTCGGCTCTGGGGGGCAATCTGTGTTGTCTGGGACACCACACTTCCCTGTGACTGGGCTCGAGCTTTGGGAGGTCAGGATAGGAACACTAACGTGACTTAAAGTTCAACGTTGACTTACCCAGTTCTGGCGGCATAATGCTCATTTGCGTTGTGGAGGAAGCGGTAACCACGGCGATGACCCTGCACTTTCCACGACACACTTCACGTCTCAAACCAAAACCAAAATGACACCCAGAGACAAACAGAACTCGCAATGCAAAATCCAAAATCCAAAAAGCGAGTCGCAAGCCTACTGGCGCTGTTGAGGCGTGCCGCGTGTGAGTCGAGGGAGGATAAACAGAAAAGGGCCGTTCCTCTGACAACGTTGTTTGGCCGGTCACGTGGCTGAGGTAAGCATTCTTTGGCTTGTTTTTGTTTACTTCGCATTGTTCGCTTTCGCTTGAAGTGAGTTTGGTGAAGCTACGTGAGGTTACAGTGGCTGTTATGTTATTTGACTGTGACTTTGAAGTTCTCTATAAATATGAGCACACTGTCGTCAAGTCGAGCCCCTGTGCGTAGGTGATCCCAGTTCACAAGAGATAGACTTAGTAAAAAGTAGTGTAGAGGCTTTTTGGCAAGATTCACTTGTATAAATAGCATCTCATGTGTCCCTGTATTGATTCTTTTCTAATCTCTCACTCTACACTGCTTGTCTTTCCTCTCCGCGCTCACCTGCTGTCACGCGTCAGCGGCGCGGAGAGGAAAAACTTGGCATATTACATCATTGATCTTCATGCACCAAATATCTCCAGGGCTGATCTTTGCGGATACTGTATTGCTTGTAGAAGGGCTCAAATATTCTAGATTATCAGATGATATTGCCTTATTTAACCTTGATTATACTCTCGCCACATGTTTTCTGCAGGGTCACGAATCAGAGTCCACACGGAGTATATATATCTCCACCAAGATCGACTCCCCACCAGATCTCTTCTATTTTTGCCTGGAATAGTATCTATTCGCACATCCACTGCAAGCTTCTCTTTCGTATATCCCAAGCCAAAATGCGAACCCCCGGCAAGTGCCAAGAAACTAAAGTGGTCCGATATCGTCGGGTACCACGGAAATACAGGCTCCACGCACGGGAAATTGGAGGGAAACAGGAACAAAATGAATCAGAGGTGTAGATCTGCATTTCCTATCACAAATCATAAGATAATCAAGCGCCGAGATCCGTTAAGCCATTAGGGTTGCCCGTGATGTCACTTTTATGATCTCCAGATTCCCCTCCCCCAATATTTTCCCCCTCCACAACTCCTCGCAAGTATGCAGAAATTCAAGGCAAAGCTCGAACATTCAATCGACCATCTAGAGGGGTCTTTCAAAGGTTTGTCGTGAGATTCCTTTACCAGACCCAACACTAACCCATCCCAGATACCCATATCCACGATGTCAAAGCCGAAGCCACACATTTCAAGCACAAGGTGGGCAAGTTCTTCAACATAATAAACCCCAATCATCGCCACGATGAGGAGCATGAGCAAGAAACAGATCGAAAGCGTTCTGCGATCGCAGAGTCGCACCGCTTTGAGTCATTTGCGCCCGTCCATGATGGCAATCGCGTCAAGTGGTATGTCGACGCCATGGATTACATGTGGGCGGTCTCCGAAGCGCTTGAAAAAGCGACCGAGACCATTTACATCGCCGATTGGTGGCTGTCTCCGGAGCTGTTCATGCGCCGCCCTCCTGTGGATCACCAGGAATGGCGATTGGACCAGGTCCTGAAGCGACGCGCGGAGGCTGGTGTGAAGATCTATGTGATTGTCTACAAAGAGGTTGGTCGTTAATTTCTGGATTGTAATGGATGTCCCATATTGATATTTTGGAAGGTCAACCAAGCCTTGACTTGCAATTCGGCGCACACCAAGCATGCGCTGCGAAACCTCTGCCCAGAGGGAACTCCGGGCTACGGCAACATTCGAGTGATGCGCCACCCCGATCACAATGTCTTTGAAAACGCAGCCGATATGACCCTTTACTGGGTATGCAAAGCCCTGTACCAAGGCTCTTTTCGAGTCAACTGACAATAGACAGGCCCATCACGAGAAATTCGTTGTCATCGACTACGCTGTCGCATTTATTGGAGGTATTGATCTTTGCTTTGGACGGTGGGATGTGAACCAGCACCCACTGGCAGACGTCCACCCAGCCGGTCTGCGGGACGACATCTTCCCCGGACAGGAATTTAACAATAACCGAATTATGGACTTCCAGGGCGTGGAAGACTGGCAGAGCAACGAAGTTAGCAAGGCTGACTTCGGTCGTATGCCCTGGCACGATGTGGCTATGGGATTAATGGGTGACTGCGTATTTGATATTGCAGAGCACTTTGTCCTGCGCTGGAACTTTATCAAGCGTGACAAATACAAGCGTAATCACGATGTCGACTGGTTGATTATGGAGGGTCGCACCGAGGATGAAGATATCATCGCTGTGCAGAGACCCAAGTACCCATGCGGTGACTACATTCAGCACCCATTGACTCCTCTCTTGTCTAAGCCCCGTGGGGATGTGGGCACTGTGCGCGCTCAGATCGTGCGAAGCAGTGATGACTGGAGTAGTGGAATTCTGAACGAGCACAGTATCCAGAACGCTTACTGCGAGACAATCCGCAACGCTCAGCACTTTGTGTACATTGAAAACCAGTTTTTCAGTAAGCCAGCTTCCTTTGACAATCTAGACACTTTGGCTAACATCCACAGTCACCGCTACTGGCGACCAGCAGCGTCCAATTGTTAACACGATTGGCCGGGCTATTGTCGATGCGTGCGTGAAAGCAGGTAAGGAAGGCCGCAAGTTCCGCGTCATTGTTGTCATCCCTGCGATTCCTGGTTTTGCTGGTGATCTGCGTGATAACGCCGCCACGGGAACCCGGGCTATCATGGACTATCAGTACAAGTCGATTTGTCGTGGCGAGCACTCAATCTTTGGGCAAATCGAGAAAGAGGGCGTTGACCCTCGTGGTAAGTTTACTCTTTTCCCGTGTCGAGATCGCACGTCCTAATCCGTCTCAGAGCATGTCTTCGTATTCGCCCTGCGAGCATACGACCGAATCAACAAGACGCCCGCTCTGGAGGAACTCGAGAAGCAGGCGGATGTAACATACCAGGATATTCAGCGCGGTATCGCCGAATCTATCATGAGTGAAAGTGTGCATCCGTCGATCGGCAAAGATGGTGACCGCAACGAGAAGGACTATGCCGGCGACACAAGTCAAAAAGAAATCACTCTGCAGAAACTGGAGAAGTTCGAAGAGAAGGTTGAGCAACGCAAGGCCAAGGATGGCTTCCACAGCAAGGACACAGTGTCGCACTGCACTATGTTAAACGGCGGTAAGCTGTCCGACGAAAACTGGGAGGGTGACCCCGAGGCCGAGAAGGGCAACTTTGTCCAGGAGGAGCTTTACGTGCATGGCAAAGTGTGTATTGTCGACGACCGCACGGTGATTTGCGGCAGTGCCAACATCAACGATCGGGTAAGTATGGCAACGACGTCTCCAAAACTCTCTCCCCATCCCCCCATTATGATCCTTCATTTCTGTTCTGTATCATCGGCTGATAACCACAGTCGCAACTGGGATCGCACGACAGCGAACTGGCCATTGTCATGGAAGATCAAGACTTCATCGACAGCACCATGAACGGACAACCCTACCGAGCCGCCCGATTGGCCGCAACCCTGCGGCGCCAACTCTGGCGCGAACACCTAGGCCTACTACCGGCGCAGGAATACGACGCCACAGGACATCCCAACGCGCGATCGCCGGACGAATGCTTAAACGAGATCATCCCAGGCGCCGAGGACGAGTTCGTGACGGATCCGCTGAGCGACGGGGTCTGGAACACCTGGACGTCTCAGGCGAGTGGGAACACCGAGACGTATCGGATGCTGTTCCGCGCGGATCCCGATGATAACATCAAGACCTTTGAGGATTATGACAATTTCCGACCGCGTGGCACGCATAAAGAGGGCCACTTGTTCGATCCGTATATGCCTGCCAAGGATGTGCGTGAGAAGCTCGACCAGATCAAGGGTCATTTGGTATGGTTACCATTGGATTTCCTGCGAGATGCTGAAATGGCAGAGCCTGGGTTGGCAGTGAATCAGATTACAGAGGTAAGTCGAATTTTGGTGGACCGGGAATGGGGAATGCATATGCTAACTGTTGAACAGAGTATCTACACCTAGTCTAGTGGATCGTGAATAGTGAATTGTGAATATTTAGTGCATAGTCAATAGTCCCCCTCTTATGCCAGGCCCATTTCCAGTAAAGGGTCACAAAGCAGTCCATTGTGCGGACATGTCAGGTCCAGGACTTTTGCCGATGGAGGTATTGTCCCAAGCCCCTGGGATCCCGATTTGCCCTCATTTCCCCAATTTCTGTTTAGTGTTGGACTTAGTCTCGTTTAGTCTGCTTTAGTCTGCCTTAGCCTGCTTTAGTATTCTTTTAGTCGCGATTAGTCTCGGCTAGGTCCAATGTTCGCGAGTCCACGTATGCCGCGATTCCGATACATCTCATTTGGCCTGCAGCCACTCACTTTGACTCAACGTGTGCGGATAAACTTTCCCCTAAGCACGGGATATAGCCCTGGCTTGGCGAGAGAATTATTGCCAATCCCTTCTCGGTTTCCAGAAAGAGAGAGGTTCGTTTCTATTCCGGGCACCGCTTGCATACCGGATCTCAGACCGAAACTTTGACGTGGTCAGAGTGACCATGAACGAGGACCCTGCATTGTCTCATAGTGCATGATCCAAACAAGAGCAAGGCTCTGGTGAGATCGCCCACCAAGTATACCAGTTGGTCGGGTAGGGTCTCGTTCACTGGCCTGTTCAGCCGGGACTGTCAAAGTGACACTGCAGATCCAACAGGATTTGGAATAGCATACGAGAAGAGACATTTGGAATCAAGAATGAATGACATTAAAGCTTTGTCATGGCTCACATCGCGAACTAGAATACACGACCCATTGGTCCAGAAATAACCCCGATCCAGGAAAGCCCGACAAAAGGGACCCAGGTCTATAAACTCCAAGATGCACGAAAAACAGGACTTTTGGAACACATCAAATGCAAAACAAAAGCGGATCTCCACCCGGTTCCAAGGGGCTGGGCTGGAGACAAAAGAAAACACCCTTACTCCGGAAAGCAGAGAGACCTGTGGATATGCCGGCAGATGCAGAAGTCTCTTTTGGGAAGTTAGTCACTTGCAAGGAGGCGTCCGAGATTTGTCGGGACCGACTTACCTATGCTTTGGCATTGTGGCATGCATTGCAGCGACAATGGCCACAAATCTTACAGCGCCAGATAGCCACAAAGGGTCCCGAGTTGCAGTCGGAGCATCGCCAGGTCAGGATGTTGCCGTTGGTAGCCTGGACAATGGCAAAGACGTGACCGGAACATTGGTTGGCCATGATAGCGGTGAAAGAGGTGAAAGAGGTGAAGTGGTCACGAAATCAACCTGTAGTTCGGTCAGTTAGGAGGCTCCGAACCCGAGACTCTGTCACGTACTAAGTAGTAAAACCCGAGGGTATGGAAGAAGGCGTCGATCACCGGAGAAGCTATCCAAGCCAGTAAATTGTGGAGGGAGGAAAGGAAGAAGGAGGTCAAAGAGATGTAGATGAAGATGGGGAAGTCACAAGTCAGCGCAAAGCAAGGCGTGTCGAGGATAGAAAGTCAATTGAGGAAGAGAGAGAGTTCTGGATCTAGAGAAAAACAGGCCCGGACGAGGACATTATATACTTCGTTCACTGGATCAGGATCTCGATCTCTGACGGTGAGCAATCCCAGTCAGTCGATGTCTAAACAGCCGACCCTGCAATAATCCGTATGACGCAGGTATCCGAACAGAAATGAAGTTCTCGTCCTCATGGGTGGGGGAGCGAAAAGTCGAATTAAAGAAATTAAGAAGCCGATCTACCGAAAAGCTCATCTTGCATGGAACCACCGACGCCAGGCAGATCCCAGGACGGAGAGATGCCAGCTCGATCTGGACATCGGAGCAAGCTGATTGGGAGCCGTCGATCTCTTGAGCTGGGGGGAAAGCCGGAAGGGAGCCGAAGAGTTCGAAAGGGCAAAGAGTCATTGGGGAGAGGAATAGATCCATTAGCCCTAAGTAGACTAAGTTGACTCCGTAGCCCCAGTCGCCCCAGTTGCCCCAGTAGACTAACTCGACGGAAACAAAAGAACAAATCGCAGTGCCGAATGCGTGGGAGATCGGGGCTTTGCATCCCAGGGCTTTGGGTCGATGATCATATTTGTTTTTTTGGGGGGTTTTTGGGAGTGTTTTTTAGGGTTATTTGTAAGGTCTGGGGGCGATTGGGCTTCACGACCCGTTGACAATCGTGGCTCGACTCGATTTGTCTTCGCATTTCTGCGATCTGGACTTGTTCAGTGATGGATCCTATTTCTGAAATACGGTCTTCCTATGGCTTCAATAATCGCCTCTCTATCTATCTACTCAGCCCCTGACTCTTAGACCCAACTCGGAAGTTGATACATCAACTAAACGCTGGGGCCGAATGATCCACACGGGAATGTCAGTATTGGTCCCTTTCTTTTTCTCCCACGGACTTCGCCTGGAAAACTAAAAAGTACTAGCAAGTGCTAAAAAAGTACTCAAAAAGTACGAAAGCCAGAAAGTACTGTACCGGATCTCGAGATGCTCCCAGCGATCGGAACTCGACCCCCGCTGCATTAGTGCGCCGGCGCTTGCACGGCCCTATTGCTTATTGAACAGCCGCATAATGGAATTGTTGAATTAGGAATAATAGAATGCTCGCTCTCTCACATTGTTCACCCCTGTCTCGGTTTCGGATGTTGAGAAGCCAAGACTCTTCAATGACTGGATAGGGCAGTTCCAACGAGAAACAGGCCCCCCGGGTGGTACGCAACGTAGACGGGAGCAGAGTCGAATTTCGGAGAGAGACACCTCTTCCGACGGATGATGAAGACAGGTATGTTCAGTACTTTCGGCAAGGTCCACTTGTCACACTGAAGATTGGGATTGGGACCAAGGGCCCGTTGCGACAGGGGATTGAGGGCGCCATACGTACTGTAGTCCTGGGATATCTCCACCGGTCTATAACACACCGACACTTGTACGCGACAACGACTGGGCCGCAACCGAATGGCAAACTTGCTTCGAGAAGCAATCATGCAATACTTCACGGCGGACTGCATATGAGGAGATATCATTGCCGCTCGGGAAGAAGAGACGGAAGTGGAGACGAATCGAAACTGAGATGGAATTGAATTGAGTTGTTTGCTATCAAATTACGTATGTTCGAGATCAACTCTTGCACCACTTCCACGGCCAGGGCCACTCGTCTCGAAAGAACTGGGAAAGGGGTGACACCTCCATGTTGGACGCTTCCGAGGAGATCACAACATGAAGAAAGAAGAAGACCCGATGTTTGCTCTGCCAACGCTCCGTTAAGAACACCCTGTGAGTAACAAGATGCCCCTGCAGTACCCACAAGTGGACTGCATCGCTGGGGGGGGGGAAGGGAAAAGATAGTGATATCACAGCTACGCAAGGGAAGGGGAAGATCGAACAGGTTCATTTCCAAAATAGGTATCATGTCATCAACGGGTTGCAGGGGGACCCTGCGCATCAATTTGCAAAAACGCCGTCCTAGATGTGGTTCGTGCCTCGTAACTGCCATCTGCCTCATCAGTCGTTAAGGTGAAAGAGGGCCGAGACACTGCTCGTTGTTAGTGGATTGGTCACGCGACACAGCCAATGGTAACAAACCTTTCGCCGTAATGGTGCCTCCGGATACTCTCTGCCAATAAGCTAGACACGTCAATCACAATCAGCTTTTTGGATCGCCGTAGCAACAGTGGTGAGATCGGGAAGGTGTTGGTCACGACGATGTTGTCGATGGACTGGCAGGCCTCCATCTGGTCCAGTGACTCTTCTGTAAAGAGTCCGTGGGTAGCGATACAGTAAACCTTGCTGGCGCCGCCACGCTTCACAACAGTCTCTGCAGCGGCAATCCACGACCCACTCTTGTCAATCATGTCATCAACAATGAAAACGGGTCGGTCGCGCACCTCGCCAACCAGCGTGATGGTCCGCTCGTCGGCGTGTCCAGCGCAAACACTAGCTTCGTCGTCAGACTCCACTGCATCAAAGGAGCCACCAAGCGCGTGATCAGGAGGCTGTGACGAGGCGTTGGAAATCATTGAGTTGAACATGGCATCCGGGATGGCCTCGTCGTGGTTGCTTCCTGCCCCCGGCGTGGTGTCACCGGAATGTGAGTCTTCATTGGAGCGATAGTCATCGTCAACCAATTGGCCTTGCACCAGACGCCCGGTGATGACATCCCGGACACGCACATCGGTGTACTCATAAGCTGCTTCCAGCTCCGATGGGCGGCGAGCTGCAGGTGGGGTCTCGGGACGCAGGAGCTGCTCCGGTGGAGGAGTGACCGGCTCCGGCACTTCCGGAATAGGGGGGTAGCAGGTGTTCTTTGAGATCTATGCATGTGCAGCTCAAAAGGCTGCGGGTCCTTGGTCGCGTTAGGATCTTCATCCACGGCATCGAAGAAGACTGTGCTGTCAGACATGGTGGCCACAGGGACCTTCGGCCGACGACGATCTGTCGTCACGATTCCGAAGTTGAGCTTGAGAGTATCGGCCAGCGATGTGACTCGCTTGGTACCGCCTGCGTTCTTGCTCACCACGACGGCGTCTTTCCAGCCAGCGACATTCATCCGGATCCAGCGCGCGATGAACGGTTCGGCAAAGAGGTTGTCGACCGGCTTTCCAAAGAACCCTTGCATCTGGGATGCCTAGGAGCCCATCAATATCCAAAGTATCAAACTGATCATCGCATAGAGACATACGTGCAGGTCCATGGTAATCACATGGTCCACGCCGGCGATCGTGAGGAGATTGGCGAGCATGCGGGCCGTGATGGCACCACGATGACTCTTCTTCTTAGATTGGCGCGAGTAGGGGAAATATCTCGTCTGCGTCAGCATTCACTGTATTTGAAGAGTCATTCAGGACGGGCAGCATACGGCATGACCGCTATATCCGGGTTAGTTCAGAGCTCTCCAACCGCGGGGGTTTCGACGACGGCATACCTGTAATCGACTTGGCTGAGCCACCCTTGCAAGCTGAGATCATAATCAAAAGCTCCATTACACTGTCGTTAATTTTTTCACTGCCACTTTGAACGATGTAGACATCCTGGTTCCGCACTGAGGTACCGATGTTGACACTGGTCTCGCCATTGGCGAATTTTCCCAAGTTAGCTTTAGCAGGCACTGTGCCTAACCTCTCGCAGATAGTATCTGCGAGAGCGGGGTGGGAATTCCCCGAAAAGATCTGGACACCACGCATTGTTGGAGGTGAAGAAGAAAAAGTTGAAGGAAGAGAAAAGTTTCGGAAAGAGAAAAGTTCACTAGCGGATGTGGTCTACACCGCCCGCCGTACAATGGGGGGGCATCGATAGCTGATTGTTGCATCATCATCCCACCATCCCACCATGTCCAAGTTTCCAGAAGTTCAGGGTGGTGGCTCATTGATCTTGGCCTGGCAGATTAGAGACAAGCATGTCTTAGTAGTGGGTGGTGGAGAGGTATATCTGTCCCCGATGTTGGTCTCGGAGCTATGACTGATCTATATATATTCCGTTAGGTTGCTGCAGGACGTATCCTGCATGCCCTCAATGCCGATGCACGAGTGACAGTCGTTTGCCCAGCTGCCGGACTCAACGAGGAAGTAGCATTCCGAGTGTCTGAAAAGCAAGTCTCACACGTGGACCGCAATTTCCAACCCAGCGACCTCGATAATGCCGATATGGTGCTCTGCGCCATTGACGACCCGGAAGCTTCAACCCAGGTCTGGAAGTTATGCAAGGAAAGACGCATTGCGGCCAACATTGCCGATGTACCACCCGAGTGCGATTTCTACTTTGGCAGTATCCATCGGGATGGTCCGTTGCAAGTGATGGTCAGCACTAATGGAAACGGCCCCAAGCTGGCCAGTATCGTGCGCAAGAAGATCGCCGAGACCTTGCCGAGCAATATGGGTGCTGCAATTGAGAACGTGGGAAAGCTCCGGAGGAAACTCCGCGAAGTAGCCCCCAATCCTGATCAGGGACCCAAGAGAATGAAATGGTAGGTTCCTTTTTCTATCTTTGTTCTTTCTTCTCGAGCTACGTCCTAACCAAGTACAGGATGTCTGGTGTGTGCGAACAATGGAGCTTGGAACAGCTCGTGGAGATGACCGAGCGCGATATGGACAGTGTGCTCACCTACTACGAGTCGGGCAAGATTCCCACGTTCCAGGAAGTCCAAAACTGAAATGAAATCAAATTAACGGAAATTTTATCTTATCAATACAGCTATGCATCTCTAGAAGTAGAAAGACAAAAAGAAATTTGTAAAAAATCCCGAAAACCCGGGTTATAGGAACGCCAAAGACAAGACCGCGAGGATATCCAAGAATATTACACAAAATTAGACCTGGCTGTCACGGCGCGACCCCTTCTGGGAAACGGAGCTCCGCGGGCTGATCGGAGCGTCCAGAGGGTTCGGCGGCGCAACGCCCAGTCGGACCTCGCCGATGCGGCGCAGAAGAGACTGGAGAGCGACGCGGATCTCCGGGTTGAGATCGCGACTCAACAAATCAATTCCGAGCGGATAGAAGGTCTCAATGTGTTTATCAAAGTCTACTTGCGGGAAGTTAGTGTATCCGTCAATGACATCCACCACCACTGGACGCCAGGCGACGATGTTGCGGTGTTGAGTGTCTTCCTCAAGACGGACGAAACTGCGAATGATATCCGCGCAGAGACTGGGAATACGTTAGTGATGAATAATAGGAAAACAAGAGAATAACATACGGAATGAGTGCAGCCTCAGTCTCAGTGCGACTGCTCTGTCTTTCCTCTCGCTCGTCGTGGTACATGCGGAAAAGAATATGCACGTAAGTGGAGGCACTGCCGCTTTCCTGCTTCAACAAATTGGGAGGTTGCTTCATGAAGCCCTGGCGCCAGAGCTGCATCCGCAAGTCCTTGTCCTCGTTGAACTTCTTGGCGAACTGATAGCTCTTCTTCAGCAAGCCCATGAGCCGGAGAAGCTCTCCACTGGGAATCTTTGCATAAACGTTTTCGTTCGAGAACAATTCATGAACAGTTTCAATCATGAGCAACTGCAGAACACAGTTGGTGATGATGCGGTTGAAATACCGGCGTCGCGCAGCAGTGACAGCAGCAGGCTGTTGCTGGTCTGATTGAGGTCGGTAATCCTCCAATTCGGCACGGGCCTCGCTTTGTACGGGGGGATCTCCATTTTCTTGGAGAGAAGTTGTACTTGGTGAGCCGTTGGCTTGCAGCGCTTCAGGCACATCTTCACCCGTGACTGCGGCTGCAGAGACCGCATCGGGAGTCTGGGTCAGTTCTCCATTCACGGCTTCCGCCGGCTTGGACATGGTCACTGCAGCAGTGAAAAGTTCATATGCAGTTGTCTTACTAAACAGCTCGACAAAAGCACCAACAATCTGGGACCAGTGCTCCTGCTGGAACTTTGCGACATTCTGCAGGATCAACTGCTGAAGGCAGTTACTACCAATGCGTGCAATTGTGTCATTTTCTTGACAGATGCAGAGGGTCAAGAGTTCCAAGAAGCGGCTCAGCATGTATTCCAGCGCATCGAAATAATGAGTGAAGAGAGTGATCATGTTTCGCAACGCCTGAATCATTGTAGTGGAGAGCCACACCGAAAGGTCCTCGTGATTGGGAACCTTGGACATTTCGGACTTCGATTGCAAGACCACAAATATTGGGCAAAGTAACTGTCTCCAAAGAACGTCCCAGAAGTCCCTGGGGAAGTTACCACCATGGCGGATCAAGGTATCGAAGAGATATGTGAGTGCTCGGGAGCGGACCTCGAGGTCATCACCCGTCATGAGTACATCCTGGAACGCGATAAGGATAGGGTACCAGAACTGCTCCTCCTGTGATTGACGAGTAAGTTGTTTGGCAAGATTTGTTCCATTGTCCTGGAATGTGGCCGCAGATGCGGCATCACGGTGAGACAATGGACATTCAGGAGTTCGCAACATCTTGGTGACTGTGGACTTCAATGTTTCAATTGCCTGCAAGGATTTCTTCTGGAACTTGGAGTTCTTGGAAAATTCAGTCAGACAGACAATGAGGTCTGCGAAGGCGCCTTGAGTGATCACAACTCCAAATCTAGTGTTGTAGACCTGGGTGACATGATCAAAGGCCATGTTGACAATTCCTTCATAGGGTTCCCGAGCGGCAACAGTAAAGACACCAAACATGGTTTTCCAGCCGGAGCGAATATTGTCGCCACGAGCTTGAATCATCTGAATCAAACACCGCAGAATCATGTCCTTGACAGCAGCAGCAGTGCTATTTGCCATAACATGCTCGAAGGGCTTGAGGAAGTCCTTCTGGAACTTGAAACCAGGCAACTCCTCGATCTCCATGAAACGCATGGAAAGTTGTCGGAGGGAATCCAACGCAAAGAAGACAACAGTGGTGTTAGAGTGACAGCCAACTTGATTGAAGTGCTGACCCAGAATCTCCCAAATCTTGGACCACTCAATCCTGACACGAGTCATGTTGTAGTAACTGATTTCAACCAGCTTCTGGAGACTGTATGTTCGAGGTGAGTCTGTGTGAGCGGAAGATTGAATCTCTTGCCAGCTGACTTCACTCAAGGCCCTGACGAATTCGATGATAGCCTCGTGCGAGAGGTTGGCGGTATTGGTAAAGATACGGTCAACGCCACGGATCATGTCTGCTGACCGGCTTTCCATGGCGATCTCGGGTCGGAAAGCAGTTGGTCCGTTAATAGAGCGCGGCCGAGCACGTCTTGTGCTTTGCATGGATCTGCGAGAAGAATCCACTGATGAAGGTACTCGTGAAACATCAGGCAGAGATCCCTCATCAACACCGTCACTCAGAAGCTGAAGACGGTCAAGTTGACTAACACAAGTCAGGACATCCCGCCATGAGCCCTGAAGATGGTTGCCCTCAGTGAGGGCGACGTCCAGCAAGGCCTTCAAAGCCTCGAAGTTCTTTGGCATCATTTCTCTCACGTTCCCGAGGTTGGTGAACTTGGCTAGCGCAGTCACGAATGCTACACGAGGAGTCTCTAAATCGAAGGCGCAGCTGATCCGAATGGACAGCTTGAGACCCTCCATGCAAAGCCTGATGGTCCGGATGTTCTGAGTATCTTGCATTGGTGCGGACAATCCAGACAAGAAAGACATCCAGGTGACATTGAACATAGAGCCAACGTGGCGTTCCGAGGTCGCAGGGATGAAGCGAGAGAGCGCATCCTTGACGGCTGTCTTGCGCTGGGCTCGAATCAGAGAGCGATAGAGCTGTTCCGTTTTGTTGGCCATCTCTTCTGAAGCCTGAGAATACTTCTCGCCCTGGATGTCTCGTCCGACAGTAGCAAATACCTGTCCAGCTCTTGTGGCAAGGCCAGTGGAAGGAGCTGGTTGAGCACCAAGGTTGGCAGCATGTTCCTGCTCTGTGTCAAGGACGATTTCGTTACTTCCAATCTCCTCATAGATAGCACCGAGATAGTCGGCAGGTAAGTCCTGATTGTCGTTAATACCACGGTTGTTCTTGATGAAGTCTTCCTTTGTCATACGACGGCCCTTCATTTTCGAACTGTGCTGATCGGTGTTGAGTAGAATTACGGAGTATGCGAGAACGTAAGCTGTGTCAGCATTGGCGAATGCATTCGGATTTTGAGTGGTGTAGCGTTCGGCAAACTTCAACATGAAACGATCGATCTTTTGGGCTTCACCAGGTAGGCGGAAATGTTGCAAGAAGGAGCGTAGGGAGTCGACGAAACGACGTTTCGTAAACTCCATCAGGTCAACGAAAGCATGCATAATAGCGATGTTTTCTGGTTCTCCTTCACCCAAGTATTCTCCCAACATGGCTTTGTCGATACGGTCATTGCGGAGCATGAAGCCAGCAATATCCTCAGGCGACTCCGAACGGATGAACCCTTCTTGAAGGAAGGCTTTGATTCCACGCTTCGGCTTGAAGTTAAATTGCTGAATAGCATTGGTGAGAGCAATCTTGTGCTGCTTAACCTTTTCAATCTGGTTCGGGTCGTCCTCAGGAAGAGGCGTGGACCGTCCAGTTCCGCCTTCATGGGTTTCAGGGCGGGGAGAAACCAGGAAGCTTGTGTCGAGGGATTCGCGGGAGTTGTCAATCGACCTAGATGGAACACCCGTTTCGGGTTGCTCATCAAGTCGCTGAGCGCCCCAGTTGTCAAGCGATCGTAGCATCTCAACAAGGCACTCAATGGCCTGTTGCTTCAACCCGTACTCCGGAGGGATAT